GGTTCCAAATGACATTATATGACCCTGAGATGTATCCTCTCAGATCTCAACACTTTTCGCCACCGAGCCCCGTAACATCAAAATTTCTCAAAAAAACGTAGATAATAGCCTTTAATTTTTGGATTTTTTGACCTTTTTTGCCCGAAAATAAAAATTACCGAGATGTTTATCATGGTCTCTAGTACCGTTCGGGAGCCCATTTAGGTGGGTAAAACCATCCAATATGTCATAAAACGGTCAATTGCACCGATTTCGTGAACTCAATCCTACCATGGACATTTATGACAACATATAATGGTCATATATGGTTCCAAACGGCATTATATGACCCTTAGATGTATCCTCTAGGATCTCAACACTTTTCGCCACCGGTACCCGTAACCTTAAAATTTCTCAAAAAGCGTGAATAATAGCCTTTAATTTTGGGATTTTTTTGACCTTTTTTCGCCCGGAAATAAAAATTACTGAGATATTTACCATGGTCCCTAATACCCTCTGGGAGCCCATTCGTGTGGGTAAAACTATCAAATATGCCTTTGAACGGTCAATTTACCCGTTCGCACCTTGCACCGATTTCGTGAACTCAAGGCTTCCACGGACATTTATGACAACTTATGATGGTCATATATGGTTCCAAACGTCATTATATGACCCTGAGATGTATCCTCTAGCATCTCAAGAGTTTCCGATATCGGGGTCCGAAACCTCCAAAATTCCTCAAAAAAGTGGATAATAGCCTTAAATTTTGATAAATTTTGACTTTTTTTAGGCCGGAAATAAAATTTGCCGAGATGTTTACCATGGACGCTAATATCCTCCCGCGGCCCATTTGGGTGGGTAAAACCATCCAATATGTCTTTAAACGGTCAAATTTACCCGTTCGCACCTTGCACCGATTTCGTGAACTCAAGCCTACCACAGACATTTATGACAACATATAATGGTCATACATGGTTCCAAACCGCATTATATGACCCTTAGATGTATCTCCTAGGATCTCAACACTTTTCACCTCCGGGCCCTGTAACCTTAAAATTCCTCAAAAAAACGTGAATAATAGCGCATTTAATTTTGGGATTATTTTTATCTTTTTTCGCCTGGAAATAAAAATTACCAAGATGATTGCCATGTTCCCTAATATCCTCCGGGAGCCCACTTGGCTAGTTGGCTGCGTAAAACCATCCAATATGCCTTTAAACGGTCAATTTACCCGTTCGCAACTTGCACCGTTTTCGTGAACTCAAGTCTACCACGGACATTTATAACAACATATAATGGTCACATATGGTTCTAAATGGCATTATATGACCGTGAAATGTATCCTCTAAGATCTCAACACTTTTCGCCACCGGGCCCCGTAACTTTAAAATTCCTCAAAAAAGCGTGGATAATAGCCTTTAATTTTAGGATTTAGGAAAATTTGTCAATTACTACCGCAAGTTAATACTACTTTGTAAATTAATACCGCAAATTTAAAAAGTTGTGAATTACTACCGCAAAAAATTTTAAGATGTTGCGATTATTACCAAACCCCCATTAAACCCAACTATGACGTCATTATATCACTTTAACCCATGGTTAAAGCCCTTAACCATGACGTCATTATATCCTTAAACCATTTTCTTTTTTGGGGGGCTGGTTAAAGCCCTTAACCATGGTCAAACACGGGTTAAAGGGATATAATGACGTCATAGTTTGGGTTTAATGGGGGTTTGGTAGTAATCGCAACATCTTAAAATATTTTGCGGTAGTAATTCACAACTTTTTAAATTTGCGGTAATAATTTACAAAGTGGTATTAACTTACGGTAGTAATTGGCAAATTATCCTAGGATTTATTGATCTTTTTTCGCCCAGAAATAAAAATTAACGAGATGTTTACCATGGTCCCTAATACCCATCGGGAGCGCATTTGGGTGAGTAAAACCATCCAATATGCCTTTAAACGGTCAATTTACCCGTTCGCACCTTGCACCGATTTCGTGAATTCAAGCCTTCCACGGACATTTATGACAACATATAATGTTCATATATGGTTCCAAATGTCATTATATGACCCTGAGATGTATCCTCTAACATCTCAAGACTTTCCAATACCGGCCCCCCAAACCTCCAAAATTCCTTACAAAAACGTGGATAATATTCTTAAATTTTGACAAATTTTGACTTTTTTAGGCCGGAAATAAAATTTGCCGAGATGATTACCATGGACCCTAATATCCTCCGGAAGTCCATTTGGGTGGGGAAAAACCATCCAATATGCCTTTAAACAGTCAATTTACCAGTTCACACCTTGCACCAATTTCGTGAACTCAAGCCTACCACGGATTTATGACAACATATAATGGTCATATATAGTTTCAAACGGCATTATATGACCCTGAGATGTATCCTCTCAGATCTCAACACTTTTCGCCACCGGGCCCCATAACATCAAAATTCCTCAAAAAAGGGGATAATAGCTTTTAATTTGGGATTTTTTGACCTTTTTTCGAACAGAAATTAAAATTACAGAGATGTTTACCAAGGTCCCTAATATCCTCCGGGAACCCATTTGGATGGGTAAAACCATCCAATATGCCTTTAAATGGTCAATTTACCTGTTCGCACCTTGGACCGATTTCGTGAACTCAAGCCTACCACGGACATTTATGACAACATATAATGGTTCTAAATGGCATTATATGTCCCTGAGATGTATCCTCTAGGATTTCTACACTTTTCGACACTGGGCCCCATAACTTCGAAATTTCTCAAAAAGCGTGAATAATAGCCTTTAATTTTGGGATTTTTTTACCTTTTTTCGCCCGGAAATAAAAATTACCGAGATGTTTTCCATGGTCCCTAATAACCTCCTGGGTCCCACTTGGCTGCGTAAAACCATCCAATATGACTTTAAACGGTCAATTTACCCGTTCGCACCTTGCACCGATTTCGTGAATTCAAGCCTACCACGGACATTTATAACAACATATAATGGTCATATAAGGTTCTAAATGGAATTATATGATCGTGAGATGTATCCTCTAGGATCTCAAGACTTTTTCGCCACCGGGCCCCGTAACTTCAAAATTCCTCAAAAAGCGTGGAGAATAGCCTTTAATTTTGGGATTTTTTTGACCTTTTTTCCCCCAAAAATAAAAATTACTGAGATGTTTACCATGGTCCCTAATACCATCCGGGAGCCCATTTGGGTGGGTAAAACCATCCAATTTGCCTTTAAACGGTCAATTTACCCGTTCGCATCTTGCACTGATTTCGTGAACTCAAGCCTTCCACGGACATTTATGACAACGTATAATGGTCATATATATAGTTCCAAACTTCATTTTATGACCCTGAGATGTATTCTCTAGTATCTCTAGACTTTCCGATATCGGGCCCCGAAACCTCCTAAATTCCTCAAAAAAACGTGGATAAAGCCTCAAATTTTGACTTTTTTTAGGCCGGAAATAAAGTTTGCCGAGATGATTACCGTGGACCCTAATATCCTCCGGGAGTCCATTTGGATAGGTGGAACCATCCAATTTGCCTTTAAACGATCAATTTACCCGTTCGCACCTTGCACCGATTTCATGAACTCAAGCCTACCACGGACATTTATGACAACATATAATGGTCATATATGGTTCCAAATGACATTATATGACCCTGAGATGTATCCTCTCAGATCTCAACACTTTTCGCCACCGAGCCCCGTAACATCAAAATTTCTCAAAAAAACGTAGATAATAGCCTTTAATTTTTGGATTTTTTGACCTTTTTTGCCCGAAAATAAAAATTACCGAGATGTTTATCATGGTCTCTAGTACCGTTCGGGAGCCCATTTAGGTGGGTAAAACCATCCAATATGCTTTAAACGGTCAATTTACCCGTTCTCTCTATTTATTTTCGAATTATTTTCCCACAATGCATTAGTAGAAAATAAGTGATGGGAAGCCCCAAATGACACATATTAAATGGTTAACATCTGACTATATTCTAAACAAATGACACATTTTTTTTTTCAACTATTCATATATTAAATTTGATATCAGTTTTTTTAGTAACATATTAGAAATAAATTTTATCGCAAAATACATGGTTAAATAGACGTAAACAATAATAGTATAAAGTTTTATAATATCAACTTATTTATATATATTTTTTTTGTCAAAAAAAAAAAACTTGTTTATATTTGTTACTGTCATTTATTTAATTATATACTACTACCTACATATCTAAGGTTTAATACTGTATTGACATGTGTGTCAAATTTGATTGTATCATTTATTTTGAAACAAGAGAGTGATTTAAAATGCATTGGTAGTAAAATACTATGAGAGATGGTTTCAAACATCGACTTATATAGTGTTATTTTGAGCTTCTAGGCAAAGAGAGCAGACTAGGTGTCAGTAAAGCATATTGAGTCAGCAAAGCATTATTCAACAGAGCTAAGCAGGAGCTTAATATTCTGAGATCACATTCGTGGTATAATTTTATACCACGGTGTAAATATTCAACCAAAATATGATAATTTTTGCTACAATGGTGGTGTAAAAGTATACCATGGAATGATATATACCATCCTATGGTAAACATTTGCTTTGGTCCCCGTGTAATATGAACCAACCAGGTCACGCCATGTGGCCTGATTATCATGTATCTTTTGTATAATATATATATATATATATATATATATATATATATATATATATATATATATATATATATATTATATTTTCAATTGCATTTTAAGAAAAAAAAAATATAAAGTAAATAATTATGAAAAAATTACCAGTGTTCATAATTTTTCAAGACCTAGATAGTTAGACACCCATATTGATATAGTTTAATATATTTTTTCGAATTCTCTTTTTACTACCTAAATTGCTTATTTTATTTAATTAACTTTACAAACTTTAATTAGTTATTTCCATTAATAAAATAAAATAAAATAAAATATAATTATAATTAAATTAATTATATAAGAGAAAGTATGAAGGAGTGAGAAGGGGATATTGGAGTCTCTTCGGGAAAAAAAAAAAAAAATCAAAAAATCCTAACTTTTATTGTTTACCCTAACAAAAATCTCCTTCACGCCTAGTTTAGTAGTTTCACTTCGCCTCGAGTGACTCTTCACACTTTGCCTCGTTGCCTGTTTCTTATTCTCTAAACTTCGCCGGAGTTTCACCGGAGCTTCATCGGAAGATTCAGTCATCACTACTAATCAGGTATTCATTCTCTCTTTTCCACACTTATTCCCATTTCTCAGCCTTTCCCATTCTCTTTCCCCACCTCATAATTTGGGGTTTAGGGTTTAGGGTTTATGTTCTGATTTTTAGGGTTTTGCACATTTTCAAATCCTCTCTCTTTCTCAGCTAAATTAGGGAAGATGAGGAAGCTCAAATTTCATGAACACAAGCTTTTGAAGAAATTAAACATCTTAGAATGGAAAAGAGAAGGTGGTCACAGAGAAGCCTCTGTTATGCAGCGATACCATATTACTGACCGTGACGATTACAAGAAGTATCAATCGCTTTCCTCTTTTGTATTCTCTTAAATTCTTGTTCTGGGTTGCAATTTTTGATGGGTTTCTCTTAATTCTTGTATTTTTGTTGTTGTTGATTGGTCTCTTCTTTTCGGGTGCCGAAAAACAGATATAATGGCTTGTGTAGGATGACGCAGAAATTGGTTAGCATTTTGAAGCAGATGGACCCGAAAGACCCTGATCGAATTGAGATGACTGATAATCTCTTGGAAAAGCTGTGAGCTTTCTTTCTTGTTTTCTCTTTGATTTTTGGTGGATTTAATACTTGTTGATTTTAATTTAATACACTGTATCATGTTGCGCTTTTTTTTTTTGCACTGTTGAATTGGTTAGTTGTTGATTGTGGAATCATACAATATTTGGGGATTCGAGTTCGTAGTGTGTGTAATTCGTAACTATTGGTGTCGTTTTACAACCAAGAGTCGAGTTACTGCTAAATTGAATGGGATTTCGCTATTTGATTAATATTGATTTTAGGGAATAGAATGATGGTTGAATAGAATGATGGTTAAGAAAGTCTTGTTTTGCTCAATAGTGTGTAGCAATCGTTCTGTGATTAATATCCAGGTGTTTATCTACTTAGCATATATCGTGGTATGATTTTAGTTTGAGGTTTGCAGTTAATCTCATATGATGATAGATATGTTTAGGGGATTAATTTGTAGTTTGTTGTTAGAAACTTGCCATGCCATTGGTCACTGATCATGAGTTATATGGCAATTAAGTATTTTCATGATGCTTCTTGAGTGATGCTGGTTTTAAGGATTGAAATGGAACGCATTACTAATCCACTTGACAAATTGTGTTACTCAATGCAGCATATCATAAACTTTCTTGATGATAAGATGTGGTTTCCTATATTAGTTAGAACCCCAGTTTACCTGCCCTAGGCAATCATCCTCACCCCCAAAACCACACATACACCCCTCTCCCCTCCTCCCCACAATAGGTTGCATTTAACCAAAGCTAGTAACTTGGTTATATGGGACCACTGTGCTATCCCTTAACTCTATTTATTATATATATACTACATGGTTGTTTGTAGTTTTCACATTCTCGCATTGTCATATTGCATGATTGTTTCAATAAATTGTAATGTGAGGATATGGTTCTCAAACTCCATGATAGATTGATAGGGGACCAGGCCAACTACACACGGCCAAGTTGACTTCACAACAACAACGAAGCCTTAGTCCCAAAATGATTTGAGGTCGGCTAACATGAATCGCCTTAAGGAATTGTCGAAATTGACTTGACCCAGACCAAAAATTATAGTTCAGGCTTTCTGTCTATGTATTGCTGCCATTAGTGTTTGATGATTATTGTATCCATTAGTGTAACGGACAGCTGCCTGGCATCAAATGTTTGTCCTTTCACTTAGTTTGGATTGTATGGAATTATGAATGATGTATCCAATTATTGTTTCTCATTGTTATTCATATTTGTTCAAGCCTTGTACTGCAAAAGTGAAAGAAACCACAATGGTAGAGCTGTTTTCATGTGAAAGAAAACATGTCTTCTATTTGTATGATGTTGTTAAGATGCAAATTTCAAGTTTGTCTCACATACCATTGTATTTCTTTTTTACAGATATAATATGGGTGTAATACCCAACAGGAGAAGCTTGGCTGTTTGTGAACGGTTGAGTGTGTCATCTATCTGCAGGTTAATACAAGCTTTACTATGTATACCTGTTACTGGATCCATGGCTTTTCTATACTTTTGTTGCTCTATTTTGTCTAAAGAAGGGATTGCATAAGGGCATAAGGCTGTATTCATGGTTGACACAATTCAAATTCCTTGCAATGGAAACCAAAAATTATACTATTAAACATTATTTTCTTGGCTGACAGCTTGAATTCCTTGCCCAAGGAAACAAATACCGCTATATGTGTATATAATAGCATAAAATAACAAAAAGTAACCCTTGCAAGTAAAGATCCTGAAGTTCCCCTTTTTTGTTTGCAGACGGAGGCTATCGTATATACTGGTGCATTTGAAGTTTGCAGAGTATCTGAAAGAAGCTGTGACATACATTGAACAGGGACACATTCGGGTGGGTACCGAGACAGTGACAGACCCAGCTTTCCTTGTTACCAGGAATATGGAAGATTTTGTGACCTGGGAAGATTCATCCAAAATAAAGAAGAAAGTATTACAATATAATGACAAATTGGATGACTATGATCTTATGCAGTAGTGACTAGTGAGCTATGGTGAATACTCATGGTTCTTTCTTTTTGTGGGGTAGTCCTTAATTTTGAGGCCTTATTTTTTTACTTTGAACTTTTATGATATTGCTGTACTGGTTACAAGTAGAAGAAATCAAATCATATATGAAGTATTATTGTTCAATCAATTTGTGCAGTTGTATGCAGTAAATTGACTGATTTTGGATTGGAACCAAATTGTGTAAAACAGTGGACCTCAATTGTTTTGGTTAAATACTACTCTAGGTCCATCTATTGAAGTTTTGGCTTAATGGTCTATTTTTACCACCCAACTGTACTTCATTTATGATCAACGTATGAAGAATCTGACTACTTTCTGGGCCTTAATTCCTGTAATCTTTTTTCTTAATGTCTTTTTCACTCTCAAATACGTTTACTAATGTCTTTTAGTCTGATAAATTCATATATAGTAATGGAACACGAATGCTTCCAACGTCTATTGGTTATTAGTCATCCCTTTCATCCAAGGCAAATTCAATAAGTATTACCTTGGTTTTGTGTCAACCGTGGTAGCTACTATCCTGTGAACAGGTTGATAGAGAGCACACGTAGATTCACAAATTGATGTGGCTCGCGCGCGTGCAGATGCGCAAGTCCATGTTAACTAAAAAAAATTCCAGCATTTCGTATAAAAGCATACTCAACAGTCAGGAAGGTTGATAGATGGGATTTTCCATAATCAGCTCAGCAAATTGAGACTTCATTGATTATAGGATGAAAGATTCAAATGCAGTTTATTCAATGTACCAAAAATCGACGTGAACTTGTAATAATGTACAGCAAAAGCCCAGAAAAATAGAACTCTTAACACTTGAATTGTACATCAAAAATACAATCTGCCGATATATACGTTTATCTTCAGCTCTTCCCTGCATTTATAGCTGCCTGCACAAATTCTTCACAGCTTTTAAACCCACCGGATAACACATCTGCTAAGGCACCAATAACATCAAAGGCTTCCTGCAAATCCCCAACAGAATTCATATCATCCAACCATGATAAAAGCTCCTTCGGAAGACTGATCATCTCCTTCATATTCAATAGTTTCTCCTTCATTACTACTTCCCAACTCTCCCAGCCATTCTCATCATCCCCTTCTTGTGATGTTCCTTCACCTTCAGAAGATACCCCAGCAGTGGACTTTCTGGGTTTGAAAAATTGATGGAGTTGTTCGATTAGACCTGTGTAGACAAGCATGGGTTGAATGATGGGCAGTAGAGCATCGCTACCGCTCGTGCTTGATATTTCCGATTTCGTTGACCCCGATCCTCTGGGCAGAGATTTGCTGTGTGCATGTTGCATGTATGCGTGGTGGATCCCTCGCTGAATGAAGGCACGTCGGTGTAGGAGCCAAGAGTCATAGGACTCAGTAAGGAGAGAGCTCACCATCATGAATTGTACAGTTTCTTCAGTTCCACCAGAAGAAGGCTGCAATGGAGATGAGGGCGAAGGTCGAGAATCTGAGGATGAGGTGAGATATGTCGAGATTGTCCTTGCCATTGATCGACGCTGAGAACCGCTGCCTTGATCTAGCAGGTGACGAGCCATCTGGATCATAAAAGGCAGAAATTTGGAGTTGCTCTCTTTCCCACCACCTTTGCAGTCAGAACTGAAAGATGCTCCTGTTGCAAAACGGGCCAGCATCTGTGCAGGGAGCAGAAAAATGGTCAAAAAGGGCTACAAGAACAAGGAAAACATATATGATGTTAAACTCACTTATAAATGAGGGATTTCTTTTTTCCCTAGTGTGAAGCACACCAGATGTAAGTAATAGAATATCGTGTCCAAGGACTAAGAACTCAATGACTTCAGGAGGCAAAACTATGTATCCATCTTAAAAAGTTAACCATAGCCCAGGAATACGTCATTACATCTCTAAAAGCAAGTTGAGATTATGAGTATATACGTCATCACATAAAAATTCGTGGCAAGATTTAATAATTGGTCATTGCAACTGCATGACTAGTGAGATTTCCTATCCTCAAATCAAACTTTAGGAAACTGAATAATAACACAAGGAAAAGAAGCTTGAAGGCATAAACAGTGGCCGTACCAGAACAATGTCATACATCAACAACCGAAGGCGACTTCCATCAGCACGTCCCAGAGCATTCAGATTATCCCAGTACTGGTCAACATAGCGAACATATTGACCCAATGGAACAGCGGGGCCTCTAATAGGAAACAATGCATTACAAAGAGTCTCATTGTTCCTGAGGGTAGCCCCTTCCCACTCTTTCTTGGGATTCTTTAGAGCAGCATCTGCTCTTTTAGCTTCCTGATGACACTGAAAATGAATAATGTTGAAATGACTCACAGTTGTGTAGACACACTCTCTTCTATCACTCCCTGAAGTACCAACACCTAGGTTTACCCGCTTGCTGTAGGTGTAAAGTCCCAGCAGATCATTGGGCCTCAAACTGTAACCCTCTCTGCATACCATACATGCTAGGCCATCTTCTTCTTCCTCCACATCTTCCAAACCTTCAAGATTTGGTCGAGAAACAACTATACGCTCTCCACCATCAGAAGATAACTCCCGCCGCATTCCTAGTCCCTGTAACAAGCCACAATGAGTCAAGTTAGCAACCTAACAAAACATTTACAGCCATAACAAAGAAACAAGCCTTGGAAGATGAAGCAAACAAAAGATGTTCCCTAAGTCACCTATCACAACATACCTGCAGCAATTCTTCCCTTTTCCTAAGAGCACGGCGTCTCATCTCATCCTTAGTGGCATGCCGTAACTTAAGAATTTTCTCACTTAAGAATCCGTCTCCATTCCCCTCTTTGTCAGATAGTGTATCCAGTAAATTCTCAGCTCTTGCCCCAATCTCGTTCTCCCCTGATACTCCTTCCAATGCATGGAGCAAAGGCAGGATGCCTCCGACATCAATACAATTTTGAGTGGTCAAGTGACCCATGGATAATCCTCTTAGCATAGATAAGATAAGTGGAACAGAAGGAAGTTGCAAACCCAGTGTCCACTCTTCCATAGATTTATAGCCAGGAAGCCCAGCAACTGCAAATATCTCTCTAAGGTGCTGAACTGCAACTTCGGTAATCCCCCTCTCCAGTACAATATCCTTCAACCGCTCACCACAAGAGCTTGTTTTGAGAGACTCGGAGACCCTGACAAAGTTCTCCACTGCAAACCTCTGATTTACAGCTTGCTGTGCAATGCTCTCATCTTTTGGATTGTCTTCATGCTGCTTTTGTAGCTTGTCAAATTCTGTCCAATTCTGTAAATAAGGATCAAAATGCTGGACAAGAGCTTCCATGGCTGCAGGTTCACCGTAGGTCAAATAAGGCAATATTCTAGCCACCATCTCAGTGTTTCTTTGTTGTTTACTTGATTTCTTCAGGCCAGAGGTATGAGATAATCGTTCCAAGAACATTAGTACAATCTTCTTGGCCTGTTCACCAGCACCACTCTCCTCACTAGTGATGGTAAGACCACCCTGTGTAATGTTAATATTATCACTCTCATTAGCCTCCAAGGTCAGTGCTTCAACAATCAAAAGGATGCCTTCAGCAGACTCCATAGCATCAACAGAGAAAGCACGTCTTGCTGTTTCAAGTAGTAGACCTAAAGCTCCCAATTTTAATAAGGCTCGTCTATTTTCCCTTATCTTACAGCAATGCATCAGAAGATTGAGCACTACAGTCAACTGCTCATGGTTGGACTTCAGATCATCTCGCAAGCGCTGTACATTTAAAACAAGTTCAACTCTTATCATCATGCATAACTTCAAGAAAAATCAATTTGGTCAAATTAAACACTGCTAATATATGTTGAAAATAAAATAATCAAGATTTAAAAAAGAACACTAAAAGAATATTTTATGACAGCTGAGTATACTGAATAGATGCATAAACCGTCAAAGCAAATTTCACAGCAAGAATTGCACCGTTTGTTTGAAGCAACATTTAGCAAGCACCAAGCATTACTTCAAATTCTACATCAGCATATTTATCACTCATTTAAGAATTGGGTGAAAAATGACATTAAGTCCAACTTATGGCTGTAGCCTAAAAGTAGAACAATAGAGAAGCAGCTGACTAGCTGAGCATAGAAAACAATCTACTTGACGTCAGTTATTTGCCTACAATAGTGAAGCATATACCGCACAAGGAATAAAGTTATTTGCCTACAACATTGTTGTTGAAGCTACAGTCAACTAGATGTTCAAAGAATAACATCTTGATTCATACCAAGGCCATTACCAATTTATTTGCAATTTTTTCTTCTTATGATTACTCAATTGTCTCAATCCTATCAGCCCCATAAAAATTCTGCGTAAGATACTTGACGACAATCCAGACAAGAAAAAATGCGAGCGGTCGGAAAGAGAATCATTTAAGTAAGATAAATTTTGACTTACCTTAATCATGTCCAATATGATTTCCAGCCCTCCATACTCCCTAACTGCACCTGCTATTGCAAATTCAACCTCTGGATCTTGAGACTCCTCTCTATCTTCATCCAGCTCTTTAATCATTGGCTCTGTGGCTTCACCATCCAATCCCTATCATTGTTTCAAAAAGCACAAGAAATTAGAGATAAGATTAGTACTGCTAACAAAGCTTAGAACAATATAATCTATATCTATACTTATATATTAAAAAGCGTTCCTAAACAGAATAGTTCCACGTGTCACTTTTTTTTTAAATTCGACATGTCAGCAATATGCGCCACATGTCATTATAAACATGATATGTCACTTTTACATGTATTAGATTTGCATCTAAAAAATACTTATAACAAGACTTGAACTCAAGACCAACAAGTCTTAAGAGTCTTACCATCTTAGCCATTTATTAAATGTGTTTTTTTATCCAACAAAATTATAGTTAACTTAGATAAGTTAATTTGTGTCATATTATTCTATTTGTTTCCATTATGTGATGATAGAGTTTGACAACTAAAAAATGTTTATAGCAAGACTTAAACCCAAAACCAACAAGTCTTACTATCTAAATAGCCGAATTTGATTAGCAAATTAAACAAGTACAAACTAGCAACCCGGGGCATCGCCCGGGCCACACACTAGTTTTATAACATATCAATGTGGGAACATGGCATTTTCAAGCCCTTTTAAAAAGCTCAGCTCACATCTACTTTAGTTACTTTTACTATTTTGTCCATCCTACACATAGTTACATTATTTATACGTTTTTATACTCTCTTACTTTATCTACCTATTTCTTACACCCATCCACCTTTTTACTCCATTTCTCTTACTTTATTCACTTTTTTCTTACACCCAGAAAAAAGAGTCTACAACTCATGCATCCTTCTCCCATTGGTTTTGTTTCACAATAGACAAAGGACGATAAAGATGGAAAATAGAGGAAAATCAGGATTGACTATCTACGCTGTATGTGTTATAAAAATTGCAGCAAATGGGCAAAAATTGGATGATAATAAACCAAAGAGAAAATAAAAATTTTAAAAATAAGGTCAGGTAGATGTTTTCTTTTTCACCAAACCCATCATCATTGACAATTTCTATACAATCTAGCAAAATGGTTTAATAGACATTAGGGGCTTAAGTACTTTCATTAAATACTAGAAGAAGAAGATTTTTAGTCAGCTAATCAGAAACTCACTCTCATGATTCCACAGGTTACTAGGGAGGAAGTCACAGAGACAAACTAATAATTTTACATGAATATTTTCCACTAAATTCATCAGTTCCAAAATTTTAAGATATATGCAAGAGACAGTCAAACCAGCCTCCATCAAATTAACTAACAGAAGGAGGTAGAGCTAACCTGAAGACGGTATGTCACTATCATAGGAGAACAATCCCTTGTAGAAGCAGTAGCACCAGTGGGTATCATAGTCGCACTAGTTACAGTATTTGAAGATTGAACATTGGCCTTCTTCCACACTTGCTCATAAACTTGTGAAACGCTCAGATCTAGAGAAATAATATTCCCAGCAACTAGCAATTCCATTCCATAATCATCCCCTACAAGCCCGACCATATCCAACTGATTGCAAATTTTATTTTTTACATCACGCATCAAAGGACCAACCTCAGCGCTGGAATAGGGATTTTTGGTCATGGAACCCCTGATAAATTCTTCCTGAGTGTGGGCCTTATTAAGAATCAACAAGTACACAGACTCTGGTTTTGATGGACAGATCAGATTGCAAAGCTGCTCTAAGATAAACTGCAATAGATACATTTTAGATAGAGACATCATGAGCAAGTTAATTACATGGGTTTCCAGAAATAATAACAAAGAATGCTACAAAGGGTTAGGGGGGCAGATATGCTTTACCAAGGAAGTTTGTCCTTTCTTTTCATCTCCGTGAATTTGCAGGCCACAGATACAAGCACGTATGAATTGTCGCTTATTCTCACTGCTTTCCTGCAGAAGACTGTCCAGAAGATCTTTCAACAGACGATTGCAATCACTAATTAGCTTTGTCTTTTGGACCACCAATCCCCGAATGACAATCAGGGCTTCCAAAACTTCGGAGAGCAAGTCGTCTCGCATAAATCTGAAAGAAGACAAATAACTTAAGGATTAACAAAGTCAGTTACCAATGAATTTCAAAATTAAGAAGATTTTTTAACAACCTTGCTCTAATTTTTGGGATCTCCAAAAATTTTCCAAGAAGCTCTATTAATTTGTGAAGTATGAACCCTTGTGAAATATCAATATGCAGACTCCTCTCCAGGGATTCTATATTTATTACTTCTTGGGTAATCAGCTTGGATATAGTACTCAAACATCCCCTGACAGTAAGGAATAAGCGAGCATCTTCTGTCTCTATCATCTTGAAGAGCAAGTCAAAATATTCCACAGCATTTTCAGCAGCGGAGAGAGTCAAGGGCAACCATGCCATTAACAAGTTCAACAAGCGGAACCGTCTAGTTGAACTCTGAGCACAGAGCAGGTTAACCAACATACACATTTCTGATCTTATTGATTGCGAACAAGCACTTAATATAAGTCCTGAAACCCATGATCCCAGTTCAAATGATGACAAGTTACTCCGAGAACAAGCACGGCGTTTCCATCTAAGTCCATACTTCAAAGCTAAGAAATCAGACCTTTGAGATCTTGACTTGTGACCAGAACCTCTGGATGCCTGTGAAACTTTGCACTGCCTCCTGACAAAATCAAGATATGATGCTCCCCTTTCCCATTCTGAATAACTCAACAATTGAATGTCTTGAGTTTTCTGTGAACCATTCCAATTTCTCTCCGATGACTCTAGTGTAGACTTGCTCCCATTGGCTGGGGCACCCAAGGTACTAGGAACATCTGAGCTATTGTCATCTTTTGAAGGCTGAATATTAGAAGACTTTCCGACTGTTTCTTTTTCCAGCAAGTCAGGTTTTGGAGGCGTACAAGCCTGAGATACAATTCTCAGGCAAGGAAGTATCACATGTTCTGATATGACTGGATGATTTGAGCCCACTTTTATTGAGGTAAATAGCAACTGAAAAACAACACGTAGCCTAGACTCCCAAAATTCATCAGTTGACGAACAAACCTCTGAAAGCAACAACATTTCTTCTCTGGTGGCCACAGCAATGTCCATGGATCGATGATGTTCAATGCAGTACAAAACTTTCTTCTGTATCAGATTATTCAACTGACTGACAGCATTCACATCGCCCTCTGAAAAAGCACAAAGAACAGCTCTTGCTTGTGAGCGAGCAGACTTTGGACCTTGATGAATGTTATTCTCAAACAATTCCGTTAAGATTCCCAATGCAACAAGCTGTTTCTTAGAACTGGGATGCTTTGATAGGACTTGCAATACCTCAAGACACTGAACAACAAATGTGGTAGCACAACCATAGCAACTTCTTGGGGACCTGGACACCACAAATCTTGAAGCTTCTGTAGTGTTAGCATAGTGTTTTTGGTGCAAATAATTCATCAGAACCCGACGAAGACCTTGCAGAGTCTGGACGCTTTTGCTCACAGAATCAAAGGCTGCCTTGCACTTTTCGCCATAAAGTACACCAAGAAGTGCAATTTTACGGTTAATCTTACAAGAAGGTCCAGGCAATGAAACCATCATCTGCTGGACAGAATCCTTTTGCTGTGAGTCTATGTCACTCTCACCAATGCTGGATACAATCTTTAGTAAAGGTTTTTTGAACCCTAAAAGCTGTTGATATCTCCTGTGAGCATTTTCTGATTCAGATTCTATTGCTGCAAGTCCTCTCTTCATATCTTCATCATTTTCCATGTTATCAAAAGTAAAGCTAGGCTTTGCCATGAAGTTAAACTCAAAACGGCCATATTTGCTGTAACCACATTCATTACACAGAAATGAGTCCAGATTCTCATAGTTGATGTTACGGCATTGCCTGCATTGATATGCATTCTCATGGCAGTTGCCGCAAATGCCATGGCGGTCAGTGACAGGCCGGCTGCATCTTGGGCATTGCAAAGGCTCCATTGATGAAGCCTGAAGATTTTCGTAGAACGAATCAAGTTCAATCATGAAATTGCAAGCAGTAATAGGAATAGGGAAATCCACTTTCAGCTCTGTCTGATTAGATGCGAGGTGGCAACTTTTGGCACGCTTCCACAAAGACCAATTATTTTTCAACTCCGATAAGTCCGTTACAGGCCTGTTATTGTAATACAAGTTCAGAACCTTCACAGATTTGGACTTACGAGCATCATGAACATTCATCGTAACCGATTGGATGGTGTAGCTGCCCGTACATTTTACTATTATACGGTTGTCGGTGAACTTGGTCTCAGATTTTAGGCTCTCCAGCTTCATCCTGCTGTAGGGCACCTCAGGAGAGCTACAAGAAACACAAGGCTCACTCTCAAGATAATATCCATCAAACTCTACAAGACCACTCAATGTGTTGTATATACGAGAATTGGGATGATTAGCCAGTAGTTCATTCTGCATATGAAGAGTCTCATAGAAGCACTGGATGACATCAGAAGTCAAACATTTATCTAAAAGTTCAGCATTTAGCTGCTTTGAGCTGACATCAGGGACCTTGCCCAGCAACCATGTCAGCAATTCCGTATATTCAGCAACGTTTGGTCCATACATCGGCAAACACTTCACTTTCTCAAAAAGCACCTTTAACATATTCTCCTTGAACAACTGCTTCCCATGCTGCCAGATGCCGTGAAGAACACACTTTGCTTCAGAGCGAACAGCACTCGAATTCCACTCCAGCAGGAAGCAATCAATGAACTGCCTCAAGACTTCACCATCCTTCTCAGTGAAGATGTTGACAGCCACTTCCATGTCCAAGCAAGATTTTTCAGAACTAGACTCCAGACCATCATCTCCTTTCTTTTTCTTCTTCGAATCCTGTGGCTGAGCAGCTGATTTTATTGAGCCCACTGAAGCATCCCCTGATTCACCTTTCTGAGAAGAAATGTTCATATCCTTTCCAGTATAAAAAGCTAGATTCAGGAGTTTAAGTGTCTGGATAACAGATTCCTCTCCAAGATAGAATATCCACTTCAACAAAAGTGGCAAAACATCTGCATGCCTCAAACAATACTTCTGCCAGTTTCTAGGACGTGCAGCAGCAACCTCAGCCATGGTGCACAAGCATTTGATAATTTTAACACTTCTCTCATATGGTACAGGATTCTGAAACCCACTCGTCTTGTTAACATGTTTGTGCAACCTCTTAAGTTCACTTGAGAACTGCCAGGAGTCCCGAACACTGTAATAATGAGACTTGCTTCCACATAAGTGCAAAAAGAGTCTTCTTGCATACCTTCTAACAAACGTTGTATGTGGATTATTTATATAACTACAAAGAACATCTTGGTATCCTTCTAACTTCAAGTCTTTGCTGGAAGACATCTTGTACACCTTCTCTTTTTCCCCAGTTTTGTCGTGCTTTTCAGGGCGAACCAGACTGTAGACCAACCGAAAAGTGTTTTCCAACAAAAGTCTATGGTAGTCAGCAAATAGGTCTGCTCTGTGGGCTTTTGCATAAGAATCAGAAAAGAAAGGAGAAAAATTGCCTGCTGGTAGCTCTCTCCGAACACTTAAAAGAGCCCCACACCCAGAACCAGGGTGTGAATTAGATGAACTTTCAAGATTACCAGCTGATGACTTGAAAACATAAACTAACTGCTGCAAGATATCCATGAGATAATTAACAAAAGATTGTTGGCGAAGAATATTACAAGCTCTCAGCAGCTGCGAAGCAAAGTCATTCTTATCTTGCATGTTTGAAGATAATGAAGCAGCAATTGAAGCAGACAACGGATTCTGAGTATAACTTTTATCAAGTGCATCAGATGATCCACCAGATTTCGGAACAGAGCCATCGCTACCAGGCTGGTGCCAGTTTCTTAGCATTAAGGTAAAGAACATAAAGACTAGGATTGTGATTTCACCACAAGAAGATCGATTTCTGGCCACAAATGGTTTCTTAAGATTAATCTCATCCAGAAACCACTTAATCAGTTTCTCCAGATCTAAGCTTTCAGGGTTTGAACTGTGTATAAAAGGTCCACCAACAGCAGAAGATAGCCTGTAGAAAAGTTGCATGACGGGAATAGCTCGAACACCAGAGGTTGTCTCCATCCAGCCTCTCAACTGTTCTAAGAGCTCAGAAAGAAGCAAGGAATTCACAGCTCGCTTAGATGCAGAGATCGAAACAGGATCCAGAACTGAAGGTGAGAAATCCTCAAGCTCATCAGGTTCTAGCACATGAATAGATGGTGTAGAGTTTTGCACATTTGAGTTCGATGAAGTAGGTAAAATGCTTGAATCACTTAGCTCATCAGCTGGAAAATGGATTTCATTGCCTTCTCCACCTAATGTCTCCACCTCAATTGGGATTGCCGTCATTGGATGATCTCGGGAATGTGGTGGAGGAAGCCGATCAGAATCAAGCACTTCATAGCATGCTTCGCATAAATCAAAATCAGGACAAATGGTGCAATGCCATCTTCTCCTTAATATAGGGACAGTGGAGCAACCATCACAACAATATTGTACCGAGGATGTGATAGAATCTTCTTCCATCATAACCTGTGCATTGCCTCCAGATGCAGTTACTGCACTAGGATGAGCAGATGCAGAAGTAGCATTGTCTGGCGTATCATCAGTAGCCAACATAGTTTGTTTTGGAAATGGAACCTGGAGCAATCTTGAAGAAATTGCCAGGCTACTCATTGCATGAAGGGAAATATGTCAGTAGTTTATACTTAAATGCAAACTAAAAGGCAAGAGGCAAAAGAACATTGTTTACCTGCTTGCTGTTTGGACAGCCTCATTTGGAGAAACTAAGAGCTTCTTTAACAACAAAACTGCAGCAGAAACAGAATGTCCACCTGCCTCCTTCCCATGTAAAGCCAAACATTCCGCATAACAATAAATGAGTTCCACAGAAGATATAACAATATTATTCATGGTCTGCGTGTCTGGCTGCTCTATCTCCAAAATTCCCCACAAGACTTGCATAAGACCATCTACTACTTCAGAACCTGCAATATCAAAATAAATTCACACTATCAAATATCAGGTTTACAACTAAGCTATTTTTGTATGACCATGAAACCCTTAAACCTAAATATCCCCAAACTTAAGTGTAAGGAATGAAATTTGCACATACTGGCAGTAAAATAGATTGATCATAAAACAGCGGGCAGAAAGTTGTAGTAGACATGTGGAGTAAAGAGCTAATATATGAAGCAGTCAAGAGCAAAACTAGAGACAACAACAATCCAAGAAAGTGAACAGAGGGAAATTGCTCTAGGAAAGGGCAATGTATAAAATTTGTCTTAATTTCGTATTTTCATGCCTCCAAGAAGAAGAAAACAGGATTTTAAAAAGGATTAACAAAGATAGAATTAATAGACATACTGTAAGTTAATCAACAGAAAACACCTATACAAATGCTTTCTAGTAGACTTCATGTCAAGACTTGAGCATAATAAATGACTAAAATCTCAACAAAACATGATGATTGCAGCATAATGTAATGCTAGGGAGCTTCGGCTGCAAGAATGTAAGTTCAACAACCAACTAAAGTGTTACAGTAATAAATAAAAGGCAACCACAAAGACTAAACACAATATAAATAAAGAAGAAGCAGCGAATTTACAGAACTCTTCATACCATTTGTCTCAAGAAAAGCAGCCAAATTTGCCCTTCGATGTAGAGCAATCTTAGATACAGCACGCATCTGAGCAGTAAACTCCTCAATGATCCATGCAGACGTAGAACCACCAACCCCCAACCTTGACAATAGCAAAGCAGCAGATTTTACCACTCCGAGAAGGCGCATACTATCCTTAACCTGAATAAAAGTTAATTCTGTACACATCAGATCATGAGACACAAATCTTTTCTCTAATATTAGCATGAGATGTAATATGAGAAAGAAAGGCATGGAAAAATATAGTGCTGTGTGAAAGGATTTATACTTGGTAGTAGTCTTCTCTTTTTGGGAATAAAGCCTGCAAGATACGGCATGCAGAAGACTGCAGTAATAGCTCCCGGTCACTTTCGAAAATTGTTTCTAGCAGCTGCTTGCACTTGAGCAAGCTTAATTCTGGTTTCACATCTTCAACATTGGTGCACCCCAGAGGCTTGCACAACAAATACAACTTAGATAGAAGTTTAAACCCGTCTGCTAGTACTTGTTCCTCAGGAGGTGCAGACTGCATAGAACGAATTTTTTTCCTAGAAGACGTAGCCCATGAATTACTTCCAAGTACACGGGCTTCCATATCAAGAACTGCATCCATTTTCTCTTTCCAACCAAACTCATCTTTTGGGCGTCCATAAACCTCCAGTGAATCTATTCTAGGCAATGCAGAGCCATTAAAAGTAGGTCCAACAGAGACCGTGAATTCCTCATCAGCAAGGAGAGACTCAGCAACAGTAAATGGAATGTCATACCAACACCGCATGCCTTCATCAAATTTAATCACCCTCTGAAAAATGGTCAAATCAGAAGGGATGTGATTTGCTGAGGTGTTTCCAACATGTACACGGATGCCAACCATTACTATGTCAGGGTTTGAATTTGACACTGTAATCTGAACCGAAGAACAAAGTAGTTTATTCACGGGCAATAAAGTTACAAATATCGAGAAGCATAAATAGACAGGAAAATTAATCTTTAAAGTGCTTGAAGAATTACTGCAAAGCAAAGTGGTCATACCTTAAATCCAGAAGGGTTGGGGCTTTCAAGAAACCCATCCTCAGATGCTAAGCTCTGCTTAGCTCCTTCAGAATCACCATTTCTGACAGCATCACCACCCAGTTTCACATCAGAAGTGATGCACACAGTTTTCTCAAAAAAATCAAGAGGAAATTCAGGATTTACACCAGAGTAAGCCTTATTACTAAGGATGGTTGGACCCAATTTTTTAACTTTCTCAGATGTCGCAGTTGACCCGAAATCAGTTCCAGATTGAACATGTGAAAATATCTGAAGGCTGCCATCATCATGCAGGACAAGAGAATGAAACTTGTCTTTGGATATAGGTTTATATGCAGTTGCACCAACCACAGGTGAATTTGAACCAACTGCATGTCGTACATTCTGAGCGTAAATATCCTTAGCCCCTATGGACAAAGCAAATGCAGAATTTGCCCTCCAACTTGAAAAGCATACAAATAATCCACTACCAGAAACCAATTCCTTCCAATGATGTAACCCAGCAGGTCGCCGCTTGTCATCTTGTTCATCCTCATATACAGCAGAAATCTCAGTTAAAGAGCTCGCATCAGAGTTCAGCCGACCAATAAACGTACTTCCATCCTGATATGATACAAAAAGTAACTTATAGGTAGATGAGAAGTACAATGACGACCCTTTGACATTGACATCTCTATTGGGAATCTCAACCTTTTCATTTAGTTGTTTGGTCCCCACGTTAACTTCAGTTGACAGCTCAAGCTTGAACAAACTTCCCAGTTCTGAAAGCACGATGAGATACACCTTACCCTGAGATGCCACAGACAGCACACCATCCGTGATCATTTGATCCGCCAACGTGAAGTAATGCAAAGGGCTGATATTGTCCTGTGAAAGATCATAAATCTTAACAAACCTATTAGTGACCACCATTAGTTGCACTTGAGAGCCCGGGACCCATTCAACCCGCCTGATATAAGCACCCTGAAGAGCTAGTTCAATGGCAAGACGATCTGTCACTTCACCCCGAGGACTAACAGTGAAGACCTGGCAGTCTTCATACCCAGCTACAGCTAGATAATTCTCAACCAAGGGGTTAAAAGCAAGATGTACAATTTCAAAGCGAACTACATTCTTGGAGAGAGGCTTGACATTAGTCTTGTCAGCCGTCACAGGTGCAACGGTGGCCTGTCCAATCAGCTGTCCAACATCAAATATAGCAACTTTGTCACCTTCCCCCACAGCAAGCCTACCACGACTGCTCACACTGAGCAAGGATTTCATAAGAGAACCACTAGAAAGAAGTGATCGAAGTTCCTTTGCATTGGAGTAGTCTGCTTTAATCTTTAGATCTAAGGAACCGCTTTTGTAAGCTTTCTTCAGCTGCAGAAGGTCAGATCCATATAATAGTACTTTATCTTCTCCTAAGACCAGACTTTTATCCCTCGAAAGGTTGCCATCCCTTCTCCTTGTGATGGAAGGAAGAAGCGAATTGCAAATTTTAAGCACCTGCGCCTCAAGGTCAAGTTCTTCATAAAGGCGGGGAATTGCACCTTGGATGTCATTGGGAACCGAAAGCCTCAGAGAGTTATCCGCTTCAATAAAAACATCTTCATCAGGATCTGAATCACTATCTGGCAATTGATCTCCATCCTCTGAGAAAGGCAATAACGGTTGGAAATTGCCAGCACCCCTAGCTGGTGCAGCTTCAGTTCCAGTAAATTTCCTTGGCTTCAAACACTGGCAAGTACTCCCTCTAACACCCCCAGCTCCACAATCACAGAAAAAACGACTGGAACGTGAGTACACAACACGATGACCACGGTGACATACTTTTGCACAAACAGAACAACAGCCTTTAGACACAGTTAGATCACACGTATAGCAGAAATACCAATGTTGTTCCATGAAATTGCTGCCACTAGAAGTAAATGTGCAAACTTTGGAAGCAAGGGCTCGTTCACTACTAGAATCCTCTTCATCTTCCTTGTCTATGCTAGCTGCCTCCCCATCAGAGGTTCCATCATCCTCATCTTCGTCAATAGATGCTGCATCACACTCAAAAGGCACTGAACTACCATCCTGATTGGCACTTAGAATCAAACTCTCAGAATTTTTTCTAGAACTAGCTGGTCTACTAGCTATAGATCCCAGCCCATGACTGCTTCCAGACAAAGATTTCCCAGTACTTTTAGTTGGCATAGTTGTTAAAGATCCAGATTCATTCAAGATAGTCTCAAAGAAACTGAAAAGGAATTTCAGCCCCTGTAGCTTACTTTCATCAACAACCAGTTTCTCCATCAAAGAGAGACTACTCTGCAGCAGTAATTTCATTGATGCTTCGTCTCTTATAAGTTGGGTCACAAAACCAAAATAAGATTTTGCAGCATGAATATCATATATTTTAAATGCTGACTCCAACGAAAGCAGCAAAGCGTTAAACAAATGGTTGTATAATTCTCTTGAAAGCGAGTCATCAGGAGATACAAGGCACAAAATGAAGCTCATGGTTGATTCTCTGAGGGTCATTGAACTTCCTTTAGCACATGTAACTGATGAAAGACTACAAGAATCTTCTGTAGGAAAACTCAACAACCTCTTTTCAAACCACTTGGACAGACAGCTTAGATCCACCCCAAGGAATTTCTTTTGTATCCTCTGTTTCACATAAACACCCAGCTCCCCCGATAACACATCAATAAAGAAATTGAGAACCTTTGCATTAACTGACTCAGAGTAGCAAGTATCCAGAGAGTCAATCAGAATAAGCAAATCACCACGCTGTGAACCATAAAGGTCAACAACCTGTTGAGGAACATCTTCAGCACCAAGATAAAATCTGAAAACATTGATCCCAAGGGAATCTCGCTGTAGACTTTCCATCATATCAATGGCTTTGACAACTAGCTGTTCAACCTTAACATGGTTAACATTTCCTCTGATATTAATATCCAAAAGAAATCCTTCAATTTGCTTCATCAGGAACAACAAGCTATAATCCGGCCCTTCTGCACCAGTACACCCACGGCATATATCTTCACACTTGCCACTCAAGTTCTGTAAAACCCTGTCATATTTTACTGTCATCACCGAACCAAGAATTTCATGAAGCACGTCAGTCTCCACAGAAATTTCTCCCCTTGTACCTCTGATTTTGAAGAGCAAATCAAAAAGACAAAGTATTCCTCTGATACTGAGAACAGAGGAAACAAGAGCACCACTAGAGGCTTGAGGGTGTGCAGGGAAACCATGGAGCATGCTTTCAGAAGATATAACACACAGTATGTGAGAGGCCCTCTTGCTGATGACATTGTCAATTTTTGGAAGGAGGTCACAAACAGACTCCAGCCCCACATGAACAAGACCGTTTTTCACCAAAATCTCATCCTTCATGAGCTCGTCGAATTCAGTATGTTTGAGAAGCAAAAGAGGAGAGCAATTCTGGGCATGTGACTGGTTTTCACTAATAGTGAACAAGAAGGCCCTCTGATATATTTTGATATATTTTGCCAACAATGAAGACAGGCTTTTCAGTATCACTGGGACCTTGTTAGTCTCCAATATCACAGAGATGAAGCCGTGAGCAAAAGCAACAAAATCTGAATCAGATGCATCTTGTGTCCAAACAAAGTTGGCTCCAGAGACAGAATTCTTAACACAGTAGCTCCCAAAACCTGCATAAAGGAAAGAAAGAACCAGGGAAAGCCACTGCCCACTTCTCATCGAGTCCCAACCGAACTCCAGAATGTCATCGGGCATGGAAACAGAACACAAGTGTTGAAGCAACCCAATGACAATATCTACAAGGTTCACATCCCTATTCACAAGATCATAGTGTCCCTGTCCCAGCAGCAAATGGCTAAAAAGAAAAAAATGTTCAATACTTGATGTATCAAGGTTGCATTTGGCACTCCAGACAGAAGACAGATGATTTGGGGACAACTCAGCAGCAGGCATATCCCAGCAAAGCAGAAACATGTACCTCTCAAGAACCAAATCCTCAATAATTGCAGCCTTCTTACCCTTCCAGAACTCCAAAATCAGTGAAAAGACAACATATATATCATTCCAACTCAAAGACGAATGTACATGGGCAGCATCAGAACTAAACAGCCTCGCTGGCACAGATTCAAAATCAATTAGGTGATTAAGCAGGTTACCAAGGAGAGGCTCTTCTTTAATAAACAAATTCATAACATTATTGACTATCAATGAGGACCACGATATCACAGGATCATTGAGATGGTGACAATGGGATCCAACAAATCGCGCTGCATTCAGCTTGGATCTGAAATCCATGAGAAATGATGTTGGACAAGCATGCATATTCAATAGCATGTGTCGAAAAATTACAATCAATCGAGAAACTATCAAAGCCCAGCATGACAGCTGCGAACTGCTCAATCTTTGCGAAGTGGAAGCAAAGTTCTTTATATTGGAGAAGATAAGGTCTACCAGGGCAACCTTTTCACTTTCAGAAGACAGATGGAAGGCCAAAAGAATAATCTCCATGTGGAAGACATTGGGCAGAGTAATGAGAAGTTCCCTAAGTTCAGGGCAATTAGAACGCACATCTTTTTCTTTTTCAACAACAAAATTCACAAACTGCTGGTAGACCTTAATCCTCAAATGGCTGCCAGCTGAACCAACCCTGCAGATTAAAGTCTGAGCTAGCAAGATAAGGGTTTGATCATTGTAAACGAAAGAACCATTTTCGACTTCCAAAATTTTAAGGACAATGTGATCCTCCAGCACATCAGAGAGAGAATGCCGCTTGAGCAAACCGTGGAGCATCTCAAAGCATACATCTTGAATTTGCTCTATCCTCCTATGCTCATTTACAGCAGTATCATTGTCAAACCCCTCAGAGTAAGATGTTTGAGGGCCAAGCATTGACAGAAGAGAATCAATATGATATTTGCTAAGCTTCTTGCAAGCATCCTCATAAACAGGGGCAACCCATTCAGGAGAGAATATGCAGGACCTGAGGAAAATGGATAATTCTGCAGCAGCTTGTATTATCGTGTTGTAGAACCCGGTGAGTGGATTAACAGAAGGTGCTTGCTCATACCCATCATTTGATCCAACTGAACGACCACCCTCAGAAAAGAGATCCCCAAAGAGCGCTTCATCATCATGGCAACCAGTGTTCTCCAAATCAGAAATGGAGCTGGTTTTTGCACCAGAACAAGATTTCTCAAGTTTTGGTTGCAATTTCCCTCCCTCGGTGTGCAAGAAATAAAGAAGATGTATTAGATTATCCACCCACTGAACTGATTTAGGAAAAATGATTTCCAATAGTTCCTCGACCGTGTAACTCTTTGCCAACATAATTTTGTCAGACCGAACATGACAAACACCTCTGGCCTCAGAATCAGAGATACTAAGTGAGAGGTTCACACCAGAATCCTTCACTGCATGCATCTCACTAACTTGATTTTTAACATCTCCAATGAGTTTGACAACATAAATAACACAGCGAGGGAAGTATATCAAAGGAGGTTTCAAATTATTGACTGACTTGTTGTATCTCCATACACTAAGATCCAAAAGATCAAACATAGAAGCCAGTAGAAATGCCCTAACATTTTGAAAGACACTCTTACCGCAGTTAAGTAGTTGTACCAAATGTAGAAACTCTTCAAGGATATTAAGCACAACACCTTCATAGTAATTATCAGAAGTTAAATTGATACTTAGAAACTCAATCCCTGGTCTAAACAAACCAGGAAGCATGTCAGCAAAATCAGCTATACTCTGCAGCAATTCAGAGTCCAGTTCAACAAAAGGGACACTCCGTGCAAGATTTCTGAGTAACTTCAGAATATTCAATGAAAGAGACAATTTCCGGCAAATGCTCAAATCTGCCATTTTAACATCCAATGTTTCTGGAAGCTGAATAAGTTCTTTACAATATATAATGAGCCGATGGATGCATCTTAAGCGAAGAACAGCCCACTGCTGTGAAGAAGACACTAACTTGTTGAAATCCTGGGAAAAAGAGGAATCTGTAGGCGATTGTATGGCATTTTTAATTTGCATGTCTGAAACTAATGTCATAACAAGCTGATCAACAGGTTGTTCACCTTCACATACAACAATCGAGAAAATCAGAAACGTTAAATTGATAAAATGCAGAAATATAGAATGCAACGACAATATAAAAGTACAAAAGCACCATACCTTGCAAGTTCCACCGAGTGTGCTTTTCTGACAGAGAACCTTTATCATCAAAGGAGACAAGAGGCAAGCCATCCACAAGGGAATTGGCTAAGCCAGACTGAGATAAATCAGATTCATTATCAATCTGACCCAGTAATCCTGTTTCCAGCAACTTTACTGCAAGATTCTGGGATGCATATGGAAAAAAAGCAGGTTAGTGCTTTGTCATTCAATCCAATACACATAATGTAGAACAAAATCCTTAACAGAAAATAAATAACATTATATTCCTTTCTCCATTCCACTGAAGATGGTAGAAATGGAACATGAGAAGGAAAAGAACAAACACTTTTCAGCTTCAAGTGTGTACAAATATTATGTATTTTAAGTTTCACAAAGAAAGGAAATGCTTATATAATATGCAGTGTCATGATAAACAGTCAAATGCAAGTAACTGATTATCCAGCCACTAATACAGTAAAGGTACAAAATAGAAAAGAGATGTGTGATATCCATGAACCTCACGAAATTAATTGCCATAGAAAAAACCTAAGAGCAATATATCTTTAATAATTTAGTTCATCTTTAAACAAACCAAGGAAATACCACTTCACATAATAAGCCAAAAGGCAGATATCATAAGTCACAGAATTCTTCTTAGAATGCTTCTAATACTTCCTAAAATTGAACTACTTCACCAATTAAGTTACAAAATGATGTTAAGAAGCAAAAATGATACGCTATCATGAACAAACACAGCACAATTATGACATACAACAATAATTTGTATTCTAATAGAAACAATTTTATTTGCTCATGACATTTTTAGGATTATTCAGTAATAATTGCTACAATAGTAAATCTTAAACATTCATCAAACATACTATATATCTATATGTTGACTAGATGTACACAACACGGAAAACATTGAATGTTCCTAAATCCATACTGAATTTTTCCTCTTCTTCTTCAAATAATCCTTGCATAAATAAAATAAAAATCGCCATCAACCTTCCAAAATTTTCAAAATCGTTAAAATGGAATCAAACAAAGAAAATCACTCACTTCATGTGTAGATCACAAACTATCTCTTCTCTTTCATCAATTACAAATAACAGAAAATTTCATAACATTTCCCCCAATAACAAGGAAATAGATGCACATTTCTACCACAACAGTTCTCCAGAATTCAGCATATGAACTGCGCATAAGCTTAAAACAAAAAATAAAAAATGACAAATCCGAAATGCCATAGCATTTACCAAAAGGCAGACTACAGCATTTAAGTTCAATTTTTCTACTATTTGTTCTATATATAAAAAAAATAAAAAATAAAAAATCTGCAATACAAAACAATTCACTGACCTGCAAGCTCGAGTCATCACTGTTAATCTTCGATTTCTCCAAGCAGCACAAAGCGAACTCCATTGATTCATGTAAAGTAGCAAAAACCACAGGCTCAACATGCTCAACTGCTCAAAAAATCCACAGAAAACAACAAAATATATGAAAAAATTCAAAAAAAAAATTCCAATAATCGAAAATTTAAGTGATCGAATTGAAGAAGAAAGTACCTGAAAGAGATCGATTGGCGGAAGCAATCAAAAGAGCGAGAGAGCAAACAGAATGAATCTGAGAATGACTCCAACTCTGAAGACCTAACTTGTTATCAAAATCATCGTCATCGATCGCTTCAACGCCGTAATTGAGGATAGAGTAGAAGTGGTGCAACCCTAATTTAAGTGAACCAGAAGTTCGAAGTCTCAAAGAGAGATCGTTTTGCGGAGCCGATAGAGCTTCGACGAGTTTGGCGAGTTCTTCCGCCATTGATGCACCTTCAAAGAGCGATCGGATGACAGAGAATTGACGATCAATTCATCGAAGTAGCGAGAAGATGAGAGAGAAAGCTAGAGAGAGAAAGTTTTAGAGAGAGAGAGATTTGTGGTGGTTTGATGTTGTCGTGGAATGGGAGAGGAGAGAGAAAGACAGGAAGAGAGGGAGGGAGAATTTAGAGGAGGTTTAAGAGAGGTGGTGTTTTTAGATGCACTGAACTGGAACAACGGTGGAAAGAAGAAATGGGACTTTTATTTTCTTTTGAGTTTGATTTGGACAAGTTCTTTTGGATTCTTTTGGTTATGTTAAACTGTTTTAAGTTTTCTTGATGAAGGAAAGAAATTTATAGAGTTAATTTAACCGACTTTAAATCTCTTTATTAAAAGTCTTTTTTTTTTTTTTCTTCACACGTTTTTTTAAAATAATTAATAAAAACTTATTAATTATTAATTGAGAATAAGGGTATGTTCTCATAGACTGAACTGAATTGAATATTTTATAAGAGAAGGAATGTAGGAGCTGAATTAACTGAACTGAAAATAAACGTATGAGAACATACCCTGAATAAGTTTTGCCTTTTTGAGTAAAAGTGATTAAGAAAAAAAAAATGGTGATGTAAGTTAATTAAAAGCAAATAAAACATTTATAAAAAGTGAAATGAGACTTTCATTTAAGAACAAATCTTTCACGTGAAATGAGAAGACATTTACTTGAAATAAATGAAGTACATAATTCATATTCAATCTTGACAAAAAATGGAGAAATCAAAAAGGGGGAAAAAAGAAATTGAAGAAGTTCATCATTAAATTATTTTAATTTTCATAAGTATTGGGAGAAAAAAAAAAACAATCTTCATGAAAACAATTAGGGTTGCATTGGTCTTCGCACCCTATACATTGAGGGTATTTGTGTAATTACCAGGTTAACCCAAGAAAGATTTCATTAACGTTGTTCTGCAACTCTTCCAGTAACATTACAATTCTCTCTCCTCCGATCCATCACACGAATTTGATGAATTTCAATGGAGAATTAGCTAGGTACAATGGAAAATTGAAATTAGATGACATACACTACCCTTTAGGGTTAACCATGCTCTATATTTCACCACGTTTTCATAGAATTTTCGTTTGTTTGCCGCCAAGATTGATGGTGGCCGACCCGCTTGTTATTGTTGGTGGTGTTGTTGGCGAATTTGAAAGTGCAGTGATGGTCAACCTGTACGTGTAGTTGGTCGTGTTGTTGGAGATAGGAGAAAGAAGAATAAGCTGGTTAGTCATTAGAGGGGGGAGAAGATGAAGCTAGTTAGAGGAGGAAGAAGGTGAACTAACGTCGTTAATATTGCATCTTTTATCACACGTGGTCACACTGCAAGTACATGATATGTCGCATTTTACTATTGCCAAAATTCACCGAATTGCCACTAGATAAACAAAAAATAAATGAGGGCTTTCCCAAGTATCGGTAACATACAATTGCTCTCACTCTATTTAACAAAAATGTCATCATTTGCTTCCCCATCAAAATACATAGCATGATAGCAATAGGCCAACAGAGCATCCAACACAAACTTGCTACAAGAGCAACCCTAACACAATTGCTAAACTTTGAGAATATTGGGAAATATGGCTTCTTCAATTAAAGCATCTTTCCATTGGAACAATTTTTGGCTTTCTTTTCTTGAGAATTATATTCAAAAAAATAAAATCATAATACACCATTGCACTACACTGTACATACTAAAATGATTATTACGGATTTACAGTGTCACGAAGATAAGTTTGCCAAAAAAAAGTATAAAAATAAAAATTGCCAAAGTTGTTGCTGCCCAGGATCGAACTGGGGACCTTTAGTGTGTAAGACTAACGTGATAACCACTACACCACAGCAACTGAATAATGTAAAATCTGTGTCTTTGTTAGATAGAAACCAAACCACAATTTCAGTTTTTTTTTTTTTAAAAAAAATTTACATGCCATGAATTGAACCGAATTTAAAGTCCACAATGGTAGCATTAGTAGAATTTGGGCCGGCATTTCCCATGAATTGGGTTCCGAAAAGATATCCAGATTTCAGAGTTCCGAATCAATCTATTATCGGATTAGTTAGAAAAATAAAAACAGGGGAAAAGCTCTGGTGGGAAACAAAAGATTTTAATTCCTGAAATTGTGCGCTTGAAGCATCATAAAATTTTCGTTTTTAGGGTTTTTTTTTCAGAAAATTACTTGGGAAATTCACTGACTCTACGATCAATTTCTGGAGTTTTCTCGAGGTAAATGACTCTTCATGCACTTTAACCTTTAAAGATTTCATCTTTTATCAGTTTTTTATTGTACAAAACCTTATTGTATAATTCTCTTTAATTTTGGTTTGTTACTGCCTGAAATGGATGGATTTCTTGTGTTTAATTAATCTAGGGTTTTTGTTTGTGTGAATTGATTGAAATTCTGGTATTTTTTTGGGCATACTAAAATAGAAGATAAGATGCATTGCCGTTATTCTAATAATTTCTACGAAAATTATCAGGAACAAAAAGATGGGGTTGAAGATTATGGATGCTACAGTTGCAAGCTTTAATGAGGTATTTGATAAGTTTAAAGAAGAAGCTGCTAATAACAAAGCTAATCTCATCCTCTTTTTGGCTGACAATGACCCTTCTACTAATCTCAGTTGGTGTCCTGGTAATTCTCTATTTTTTTGCTTTGATTTTGAGATTAGGTGTTACAAATGGTTACACATTATAATTATGATTCCGATGTACACCTTTGATCATTAATATGACAGTACTTCATAGCTCTTAATCAGTCGTATGCTTGCTCGTATATATAAAGATTGTGTGATTGTGTTTGTGCCACTAAGTGCAGATTGTGTGAGAGCTGAACCAGTGATATTGAAGAAGTTGGAAGAATATGGAGAAAATGTGGCACTTTTGAGAGCTTATGTTGGAGATAGACCAACATGGAGGACCCCTCAGCACCCTTGGAGGGTAGATTCAAGGTTTCAGCTCAAGGGTGTTCCAACCCTTATTCGCTGGGAGAATGATGCTGTTGCTGCGCGTCTGGAAGACCATGAGGCTCACATTGAATCAAAGATCAGTGCCCTTCTCGGCAAGTCCAAGTGATCAAATGTACGTTGTTTAGTTGTAGATGCAGAGTTTTTAAGCTAATGCACACACTCCCTAATAAACTTGCTTAGATGGTTGTATCTGAGTGACAGTCTGAACAAAAACTCAAATCATAAGATTCATAACTGATGTCTGGTTGCCAGGCTATTCTGCTTTGTAAGGTTGTTACTAGCTAATAAATGTTCAGAGTTACATTTTATCCTAAGAAAATAATCACTATGAGCTCCCAAGCTGTTCATCGTTCTTTGGACCTAAGATCTGAACATACTTTGGAGGGAAAAACCATGCTAAATTGAGACATTTAGTGTGCATCTCATTTAGAAGCTTACATCATCTATCACTTCGTAGTATGTGGCTCGTGGTTCATGCTAGTAAACCCATTTTTTAAATGTAAACATGCCTTCCTTAAAAGAAGAGGTAGAATAAAAATACACTAAGAATTACCATGTGGTCTTTGTTGATTAATTTATTAATTTTCCTAGAAAGACATTTTATGCTGCTAATGTAACACAGATAATGTGTTACTTCGGATGCGAATGTGTGCTGGTGTATCAGTATTACAGCTTCTGTGTGAGGCTTTGTTATGGTGGGCAGCTCTGCAGCTGTTTAGCAATGCTGTTGCTGAACTATGGCTGAGAGAGTATTTCAGTGAGGTTGCTAAAGTATATACTGTTATTTCCAAAATTTAAAATCAATGCAAGATTAAACATTAAAAAACTTTGTATATCTGAAACCTCAAAGGCCTGTAAATTTTCAGTTTGATTCTGCTAATTTCACATCTTCACAGCAATAAGCCTGCAAGAAGTTCTAGTTATCAAAAGCAAACAACTATCTTGATTATCAAACACTTGTTATTTATGAGGAATCACACACTGTCTTTATTTAGTTAGCATGTCTTTTAAAAGAATAAAATGAAATCAATCCACACCATGTTAAAATTTCAAATTACAGTCGCAGTAGCAGCCATGCTCTTGGTGACAGGGGTTGGCCGAAAAGGTGGACAATAATGAAACAATTTGAACCATGGGAGCGAAGTAGATACATTGGACTTGAAGTCAGCGAGTAATTGCACATTCTTGCTTTTCAGGTTCACAGAGAGTAGACATAGTTCCTTAGACAACACGTATAGCACGTCTCCATCATAGGGATCAAAACCTTTGATAGACATGCACACATCGCTACAGAGCCAATTAATACTTGTAAGATCCACAAAGTGCTTTATACTCCAAGTACGGTTATGGCCATTGGTGTAGTCCTTCATATCCCAGACAGTGAGTGTTTGAGTAGAGGCGTTCACGTAGCTCCATTGATAAAGCCGCAGGTTCTGTTCAACATTTGCTATGCATATTGTACGTTGATCAACTGGTGAAAGTCTCTCATTGTACATCTCATCGAGTTTAGCCTCCTCGGGAAGATCAATAAAATCGCAGTGCTGGGGGTTCTCTTTGTCGAATGGATTATATACCATTATCATGTTGGTGCACCAAAAAATCGCGCCATCCAACGCGGTTGTGTATTGACCAATTTCTTTATCTACCATTCTCACCGAAACAAAGTCTTCTGGGGGTGCACAAGAAATTTACACCAACTGCTAGTATCAGAAGAGAAGACGTAAAACGTCATAAACTTGCTACATCTTACAAAGTTACGTCCGTGCCTAACTAGGCGCGGAGTGTCCTTAACAAGCACCACTTTGTAATGGGCAGGATCATCGACACTACATACGATGCCATTTAAATCAGTAATGCCGTTGGAATCAGTAATAGGGTTATACGAGAGACAGGGCGGAGGTTTGGGGAGTCTATAAGATTGCTTAGTTAAGGGGTTTGATACGTTCAGATATAACGAGGGAGTATATAGGCCAAAATCTGACACGGTCAAGAGTAAATCATTAGATACACAAGTATTATGTTCATAGGCCATTGTTGATTGAAGTGATCTAAGGATATTAAGGGTTGGCTCTTAGGTAACGCCTGGGCCTCTATAGTTCGGAAATCATTATCGATCGGAATAAAAGGATCAAGAGGAAGACTAATGCTACGATAATTGACAAGTTGTAGATGATGGTTACCTTGACGTTGAGATGCATCATATTGTCGTCGATAGCAATCGTTAAAGTGTGGATCAGAAATCAAGGCGAGCCAACGCTTGGAGACGAGCTTACATTGATGGACTGATTTCACTGGTGCTCGAATAAGAATCTCAAATTAAGGTCTCATCACTTAGATCTTCTAATTCTATTTTTCTCCTCTTCACACATAATTCTTCTAATTCTGTTTTTCTCTTCTTCATATTCATTGCCATATTTTTTACCAATGCAAGTAATTTTTGGTGCTCGAGTAATACTTTTGTATAATTGTATGTGTTTGTTGAAGGCAGGAGGGGTATATATAACCTCAACTACACCGACTCTTTTAATTCTAAATATCAAGTCTAACAAAAAAAAAAAAAAAAAAATCCAAGATAAAGTCCTAATATAGTTATATTTAGTAATTACATAAAATTGCCAATATCTGTTTCCTAATTGTTGTAGATGACTATTGGTTTAGGAAACATCTTTGTTTTCCAAGTACACGTCTTTTTCGAACTATGATATTTGGCAAGTCTCGGCATTGTGATTGGACATAATGTTTTAAGAACAATCAAGGTGTATAAACTATAAAGTCAGTAGTAATAGGCTTCCTTGCAAAAAAAAAAAAAAAAATAAAATAAAAAAAATGTAGTAATAAGCAATGACAATTAAGATATTTTATGTGGAATTGTGGATAATTCAGAAATCCATCAATGTTTTAGCGTTCGTATGTACAACATTAGTCTAAAAAATTACTCATATATTTTTTATTTAATATATTATTGTAAAACAAACTTGTACTCGTAACGATTACGAGAATATAAAGATTATACAAAATATATTTTTAAAAAATTACATGGGTTTAACCTATTAGTTTAAAATATTACTCCGTAATGATAGAAGATTACATTAACTAGTCGTGAAAAAAGTACGAGTATTTAATTAATGAACTTCGTAATAAAAGATTAAAAGTAGGTAAGTAGCTATTACGAAACCTGATATCTAGATAAGTTCAAAGTCATAATGTCTACCAACAAGAGTTGACTCAAGTGAAGTGGTAAGCAACTTGATGTCGCTTAAGGGAGGTTTCAAGTTCAAGCCTCTAAAAACTCTTGTTAGAAGACTTACTCACCAAGGTGTGCTACCCGAGTCGAATCCGGATGTAGTTGGAGCTAAGCTCCGGTGAACCGGATGAGCATCCCAAAAAAAAAAAGTTATAATGTGTAGCATTTGGGCCTGTATTTTCCATAGTTTGAGTCTTATTCATATCCAGATTTCCGAATCCATCTGTTATTCGGATCTAAAAGAAGAATGAACAAAAACAGGGGAAAAGGCTCTGGTGGGAAACAAAAGATTTTGAAAACATAAATTTTCATTTTTGGGGGTTTTGCAGAAAATATACTTGGGAAAGTCACTCAAGTTTACATTCAATTTCTGGGTTTTTGTTCTAGAGGTAAATGCTTCTGCATGCAATTAACCCTTTTAAAGATGTCATCTTTTTATTAATATTTTACTGTATAAAACCGTTGAATAAGTATAATTCTCTTTGATTTGTTGATGGAATTCTTGTGTTTAATTAATTCACTCAATTTTACAATCAATTTCTGGGTTTTTTCTAGAGGTAAATGCTTCTGCATGCAATTAACCCTTTAAAGATTTCATCTTTGTGTTAATATTTTACTGTACAAAACCGTTTAATAATTATAATTCTCTTTGATTTGTTGATGGAATTCTTGTGTTTAATTAATTTAGGCTTCTTGTTCGTGTTGATTAATTGAAATTCTAGGGTTTTTGACTTCTTGGGCATTCTAAATTACAAATTGTAAATTTAAATTTCTGCCATTATTTTAATTAATCTCAGAATTATCAGGAAAAAGATGGGGTTGAAGATAATGGATGCTACCGTTGCAAACTTCAATGGGGGTTTTGATAAGTTTGCAAAGGAAGCTGCAAATAACAAAGTTAATCTCATCCTCTTTTTGGGTGACAATGATCCTTCTACTAACCTCAGTTGGTGTCCTGGTAATTCTATATACCTTTTTTTTTTTTAATTTAATGTTGGTACTGGATGTAAATGGTGGTTGCACTTAATGGTTTTCGTGTCCAATGTACATCTTTGATCATTAATACGACGTGGCGCTAAATCAATTGTATGCTCATATCTTATTGTTGCGACACTAAATGCAGATTGTGTGACAGCTGAACCAGTGATTTTGAAGAAGTTGGAAGAATTTGGAGAAGATGTAATGCTTTTGAGAGCTTATGCAGGAGATAGACCAACTTGGAATAACCCTCAGCACCCTTGGAGGGTAGACTCGAGGTTTCAGGTCAAGGATGTTCCAACCCTTATTCGCTGGGAAAATGATTCTGTTGCTGCGCGTCTGGAGGACTATGAGGCTCACATTGTATCAAAGATCAGTGCTGTCCTCGGTGAATCCAAGTGATCAAATGTATGTTGTTTAGTTGTAGATGCAGAGTTTTTCAACTAATGCACCCACCCCACCCCTTAGAAATAATAAACTTGTTTAGTGGTTGGGTTTTAGTCTGAACAAAACTCGAAACATAACTGATGTCTGGTTGCCAGTCTGCTGAGTAATTTAACAATGTTACTAGCTGATGAATGTTTAGAGTTTGCATTTTATCCTACCTAACATATATTGTTAATATTGAATGATTAAAAGGGATATAATTATGAGATCACTAGGAATTCGTCACTGAAAAGTTATCTGATCATACTTTGGAGGGAATATCTTACTAAATTGTGAGATTATGTTGTTTGTGTGCATCTGAAAGGTTTTGCGGGGCTAGGGTGGTTTTTGCGGGGGAGGGGAAGGCGGCGAGGCTTGGGGGAGGATCGGCGGTGGTCGGGGGAGGAGTGGCGGTGGTCAGGGTAGGGGTGGCGGTGGTCTAGGCTGGTTTTCTGGTGGTGTTGGTAGGTGTGAAGGTGGTGATGTGGTGGTGTGAAGGTGGGTAGGGAAAGGGAATGGAAAAGTCTAGGGGGGGTGGGGAATGAAGTTGGAAGGATATGGGGTAATGAGGAGGGTAAAGGGAATGATTAAAAGTGCTAAACAAACATCAACAAAGGGAATCGGGCCAGTTGATTCCCATTCCCTTTCCTGGTTACCCCCAACCAAACTGCCCCTAAGTAGTCTAACAAACTAGATAAATTTTTCATTCAAATTCAGGATACGTCTTGACTTACAGCTTTTAGTTTTTTCGATAATTAAGCAGGCTATTTGCCCAAAAATGGTTTAGCAGTCCAAACACATTTTTAGTATTATTCTATTTAGCAAATGAGGCAATGGAATGAATATGATGATATATTGTGTGATCATATAATGTACTAGTATAAGTGTAGTGTTCGTGATAGTTCTCTATTGTTAAAAACTCATATGGCCCCTTTATATAGATTACTATAGTTTCCTCGAAAAAAATATATATAGATATATATAGATTACTATAGAATCCTAAGTTCCTAACCCTTCAATTCTTACGTGAGTAGGAAACTTTTTCCTAGACTAAATTCAACTAAATAAGATGTAGTTATAACTAGATCGAAATAATAGAATCCTATATCGACCAAGCTAATGAAATTGAGCAACAACAAGCAAAAAAAAAAAACACACTTGGACTCTGCTAGGCCACGGACTAGGCTGCCCTTCCTCATTTACGTGTTGGACTTTCAGGCTTGCTAAACTCTTAACAGTTGCCCTTCCAAGAACACTTTACTCATAACTTGGATGACTTATTTTTTCAATATTATAGGAAAATTTTAGTTCATCAATCCTTTAAAATGATTGAATTAACAAAACTAACACAAGCAGAAATAATGTAATTTGAACAAAAACATGCTAACTTTAAGTAAGAAAACATGTTACAGTCTTACAGACCTATATATGTGATAATGTGAATTGTGAAGTAGGCCAAATCTTTTTTGTTTCCCTTCCTTGTACAAGAGAAATTAAAGTAGGGATGGAAATGATAGGAGTAATAGAAGATATGGATTACAAGAATTGTACATGCTAGCTAATAGCTGTTCAAGGGTTCACTGTCTTGGTCTTAACCGGGGGAATGCCAGGGAAGAGTGGCGTGGGCGGTAATGGGATGATCGGAGGAAGGGGGAACGAAGATGCGGGTGGAGGTGGTAAGGGTGTGGGAGTCAATCCAGGAACTGGTGGTATAAAAGGCAATGGAGGTGTTGGAGGCAGTAAACCTGGTGGTGATGATGAGGGTGGAGTCAATCCAGGAACTGGTGGTATAAAAGGCAATGGAGGTGTTGGAGGCAGTAGACCTGGTGGTGATGAGGGTGGAGTCAATCCAGGAACTGGTGGTATAAAAGGCAAGGGAGGTGTTGGAGGCAGTAAACCTGGTGGTATGGTCGGGGGCTGTAATGGGTTCGGGATGAGTGGTGGAGCCGGGGGCTGTAAGGGGTTCGGCAATAGAGGTGCTGGCTGAAGTGGATTGGGTGGTAAAGGGATAGGACCTTGTGGGGAAGGTAGTATTGGTGGAATAATTGGAGGGAATATCTGTTGTGGTTGTCTCACAAGACCATTCTCCACCTTGTTGTCCTTGTAAGGCCCCACGGATGTATCAGGAGTTGTAGCTGGGAAAGGCGGTAAGAGTGGGACCGAGGGGAGTTTAGGAAATGGTGGGAGGGAAGGAAGTGGTGGAAGGTTAGGCAAATTTGGCATGATAGGTGTGTCTGGGTTAGTTGATGTAGGAGGGTTTGGTGTAGGATTTTCAGGAGTTGGAAGTGTAGGAATTTGAGGGTTTATGCTTGGAATTGTTGGGTATTGAGGGTTTAGTAAGCCTTCAAGAGAATTCAGCTGAGACCGTTGTTGGTTACATAAGCCGGGTTGTTTAAGTGGTTTGAAAGAGAAGAAGCCAGCAGAAAAGATGTGTTTCCTTCCCTTTCGGTTCTTCAGATGAATCGAAGATGAAGTAGCAGTCGAGGCCACAGCACAGTATGGCTCGCTGCTCTTAACCAACTTAACGGTACAACCTTCAATCTTGTTGACATGTTTGCTGACCGTGAAGGGTAGCTGCACCTTAAAATTGCCCTGTTTATCAGTTTTCACCTCTTGGTAAAATGCTGGCCTTGAACTCCCTTGTGCACATTCTACTGCAACAGTTGCACCTGAAAATACCAAATTTCAGAAATAATGCAGGGTTAATGGTTTTTTTTTTCTTTATCTTAATGTATTGGAAAGAAAGAAACAAACAACTGGAGAAAGAGCTGTATTTACACAAACAACTTAAAGTCTGATTTGGCTGCTTATTGCCTAATAATGCACCTGTCTTCTCTAGGCCATGTTACTATTAACCAATTTATCATAACTCAGAACATTGTTTTTCCACCCTTTTGTCCTTTTATTATTACCAAAACTAAAGAATCAAAATATCAACATTGAAATGCTTTGTGCCCCTAGTTTTTCAAGATAGGCACCATCCATAACCAAAGGGTGCCTCAGCTCTATCCTCCATGACTTCTGAACATAGGACCGTGACACAGCTAAACGGACATAGCATTAAAACTCGGCCATGATATGAAGTCCAGGAACATACACAGTTTTGTTTAAAACTTAAACAAGAGGGAACATAAAAAATAAACAAAAACATAGTCTTTCAAACCCATAAGAAAATACAGCTATACTCAAATATCTTCTCCAAAGTTAATAATATGCAGCCTAAAGTCTTAAACATATGAAAAAGTCTATGTGATCAAGCAACTAACAGGGGGTGAAATGTCATTAAATAGTAAATTCTCTTAATGAACTAACTATAGTTAAAATAACTTTTAAGGTCGTGCTCAACTGTTGGACAATTAACCGGACTCTTAAGAAACTCGAGAAAGTGACCAAATTATAGGATTAAATGAAGGGATTAGTGATTTACCTGAGATGTGATGACTGCCAGCTTTGGAAAGGTCATCTTGAAAGCAAGTATCACAAAAAACAGCACCAACTACAACTGCAGAAGGCTTCTTCTGATGATGATGATGCCTTGCTTCTGAGCAGCATGTAACAGAGAGAATCAATATTATTACAAATGAGAAGGGACACCAATTTCTGAACCCTCTCATCATAAAATTAAACCAGTCCCTCTGAAACCAAGTATTATAACATAAAGCTTCAGCCTTTTTCTTTTTTTTTTTAAAGCTATGCTTTTTATATTTATTATTGTATAAGAAGAGCTTCTAAACTTATAGAGAATGAAACTATGAAAGAGCAAGTGTCATCTATTTATGTTATTCATGCTGAGGCCAGTCAACTACAAACTAGATGCTGTTAATGCTACAGTAAATCATGCTCCTCATATTTTTTTAATTCCTATTTTATTTTATTTTATTATTGGAATTATGTAGGTTTTACTACATGCTACATTTTACTGAAAGTTAGTAGTTCTTTTATTGGTGGTGTACATTGCAATAGGTAGAAATCCCAGTTGGTTCACGAGATAAGTTGAGTAAACCACATATTTCATGAGTTTTGACTTGGGACTTGTAGGTTAAAAAAGCTAAAGAGATTAGATTGATATTGATTAGAGTAATACTTCATATCACCATTTTTCATTATTTTTGTTTTTCCGATTCTCCAATGTTGTTTACTTCATCCCCTGAGATAGCAGCTAGTCATGTGTACTATTTTAGAATGTCCGGAAATATAATTTAGGAATCAATGAGCAAATGATCGCAGGCCACATTTACACGTACTTTACAAGTTTACATTAAATCAGTTTGTTCCCTCTTTTGCACTAGTCAGTAGTCATTCATAATGCATTTCTTCCATGTATCTTTTTTTTCATTACTGTTGTACAACTCTGAGATTTATTCTTTGTAGGTTTACAGCATCAAATATATGTGATGCAGTGAATCGATATCTAGTTGAGGTTACAACGTATGTGTACAAATATAATACAGTAAAGCTTATGTTTGAACAAAATACTATCAAAGGCCGAAAAAATATTAATTTCTCTGCTTGTTATAGTCCAAACTAAACAGAATAGGAGTGTGGACAGATATATATGCCGATCTTAGGTATCAACCCTAAAGACATTCCGATTTCTAAATACAGAAACATAATTTTCTTTGCTAAAGTCTATAAGATACAGAAATAGGCAAGTCGATGATTCATCTTGAATTCTATATAGATATGATGTATTTCTTGATCGAGGTATTATATGAATAATTCGGATATCTTTTGGAGTCTTGAGCTTATGTATGCTCCATCTCGTTTAAATAAAATGAATTTCTACTTATCATCGCAAAATAAAGAAATAGGTAAGCCGAATTAAACATGTTACATGTACAAACATTTTTTGTACAGACTTAACCAATTAGCATACTTTGCATTAAGTTTTACTCCGATATAGAGGTCATAGATTGAAATAAGGTACAGAAATATATGGTGGATAAGGATCCATTTTTAGATAATTCTTATCTACTTTAAGGAAAAGGGCAAATAACACACATAGAAAACCATTAGACCACCCTAAGGCAGACAATCAGTCACTTCTTTTTTTGATTTTGGTATTTACTACGCAGTTATTACAAAAGATACAAAAACATCTTCAATTCTTGTGGCATTTTGCTAAAATAAAAATCTTGTTATCAGTTTATGCAGAGTATTACTGATTATTTGTGTGATTCAAAATACATATCTCAAGCACCACAAATTTTATATTGGTAAAAAACTAAACATACGACATATTTTAACATAAGTATGCACCGATTGCTGAATTGGGTGGGGGAATTGATAAGTAAATTTACGTACGAAGTATATTGTGTGGCTCAATTTTTTGGTGTGTGTCTTTTAGTGATAATTTAAGATGACATTATTCCTCGAGCAAATAATGCAAGATTGTTGTTGCTCGACCAAGAAAAAAAAAGGTTGTGATATACAACCCTTACTATTAGGTTATATATTTGAAGTCGACGTTTACAATTATGTAATACTTTGTATACATGTATGAACTAAGAATTACGGAGTACTTTGTAATGTGGAAGAACTAAAAAGAGCAACCCTTTTAGTCCTAATTTAGTCTATAACCATCCAAAGGTCAAAAGAAAAATGAATCTTTAATTAATTTATTTTTTAAATCACAATCAGAACATAAGTTTGTGCATATAAATTAAAAGTGGGGGATGATATTAATGAAAAGTGGCATTTCATAAGTACTTTCAACAAATTCATACAGCTATTTATGGTTTATTAATGATATCTAATTATTTATCTACTCCCTTCCCTTTAAATAGGTGAATCGCTAAACACCGCCTACAAAAATGATCATCACCGCCAACATTCGGTGTGAATGAACAATCGTACCCTTATTACTTCACCACCCCTTATCCTCCCGACGACCCACAACTCACTCCTTCTGATCGGCGATGACCACCACCACCCTGATCGGCAACCCACCATACCCTCCTCGATGACAACCCACCACCTTCCCTTGCCGGCGGGAAGGTGGTGGTTTAATATATATTTTTTTTATTTCAGGAAACCGCAGTAACCGAAGCCCAAAATCGGTTGCCGTAGACGATAATCGGAGCCCAAAACCGGTTATCGTGCACGGTAACCGGTTTTTGGTTCCGGTTATCGCACACGGTAACCGGTTTTGGGCTTCGATTACCGCGCACGGTAACCGATTTTGGGCTCCGGTTACCATGCACCTTAACCGATTCCATGGTAACCGGAGCCCAAAACCGGTTTTGAGCTCCGGTTGGTACGGTTGTCAAAAAAAACCACCACCTTTTCGCCAAATAGGGAAGGTGGTGGGTCATTTTTGAGGGGGATGTGGTAGATCGCCGGTCAGGGTGGTTGTGGTGGTGGTCGTCGTCTCCGGTCAGTGTGGTGGTGGTGTTGGGGTAGTGGTGTCAAGGTGTTAGTGATTGGTGGCAAGAGGAAAGATAGTGGTGAAGTACTAAGGGTATGGTTGTCAATTCCTACTAAATGTTGGCGGTTTTGATCATTTTGGATGGCGGTATATAACACCCCCCTTAAATAGGTGCATGGAGTAATTTTTAGAATCAAGCTAGCTAACTAGTTCGTAATTTATAATTTCACAAATTAACCTTTTTTTTGTTTTTGTTTTTTGGGGGTGGAAGAGGGGGGTAAATCCCAATTGATTTATGTATTTAATGCCTAATAGTGGTTGTAACTTACATGCGAGGCTTACATAAAGTAAAGATTAGGTAAAAGAAAATAAAATAAAATAAAAAGATAACTCTTTAAAATCTAGAAAATGATTCCCTTAAAAAAAAACTACCACACATATAATTTTGAGTTATAATAACACTGATCTACACTTGATATCTTTCTAAACTAATACTTTATACAAAGTACCTAATGATTAATTGATCATCGTTATCGCTTATAATAGCGTACATTAAAACCGATTAAACATCACTAAAAGAACACTTATCACAAAATAATTCTAGTAACAACATTTGATAGTGATGAAGAAATTAATGCTGATTTTGTAAAAAGGGAGCTTACAATTCCATAGTTCACGGGTGTCCAAAAAAGTTGGCCACCTTATCTCACAAACTCACGGGTTGAATTAACTAGCACCTCACGACGTAACAAATTACGTACTAGTATGTCTGCTCTTCTAAATGTGTTGTTTTTTTCTTTTGGATCATGAACATTCTATTAACTTTGGCTTTAGGATGACGAATATATTCTGTTATTAATTACACATAAAACGACGTTTGTCAATTAATTAAATGCTGAATGTCATTGTATTACAAATTTATACGACTCCAAATGATGTGATAACCAATAATTAATCATAAACAATATCTTCCTTCATTATCATGTTATTCCAATATCCAAATCGTCACGGAAAAGATTTATAATTTTTTTTATCAAATATCTTCTTGAATGGATTTGTATAGTGTTCATTCTTATTTGAGAGAAACAACTCTCTAATTATGATACAATATTAAAAAATCTAACTTCCTTCGCACACTCACTTTTAATTGCAACACTTGAAAATTTACACTAGTCATATTCTTACATTTGGCCTTCTTTATTGATTTATATGTTAGGCAAAATATATTATGTGAAATCTTGTTAGATTCGTTTCAATTTAAATCCTTATAATATCTTATTTTAATTATTTCTAATCAAAGATATGAAGCATTAAAACCGTACATTGACAAATGTGAAATTCAAAGTGTTGCAACTAAAAGTGAAAAAAAAAAAAAATTGTGAAAATTAAATATTATATAGAAGCTGTACTTACAGCGTCTATAATTAACCAATCCGTTCCCAAAAAAAAAAAAAAAAAAAAAAAAGTACTTATCTTTCAGATAAAGGCAGCATGTGACATTTGTATTGCAATAAGATTACATTGGGTTGCATCACTGTTAACCCAGTTTACATCGGTTTTCAAAGGGTAGGCCCGCAAGGGAGAAAATATGGTTCATATTTTTTAGCCCTACAGACGCAAAAGGCCAAATGATAGAGCTACGTGATGTAGTTTTGGTCTATGAACACCTTAACAACATGAAGATGGAGCGAGATAAGACTTAAGTGGCTACCTCATCAGTCCAAAATAAGCGCCTCAAGTTAAGAAACTTATTGAACACCATATACTCGAGGATAGAAAACATCATCTGTCATTCTAAAAGATTGTTCATATTCAGGCCGACTGCATGATCACCGAGATAAACTTAAAGTTGCTCAGTCTATAGATCATACATTGACACGATGCATTGTTACTATATGTGTGGAAGATGGATAATCCCACAAGGTAGGTATAGTACCCCCTAGTTCCTACTTGTACTGAAGAAATCCAGGACAATCTGTAACTAAAACGACAGTTCAAAAAACCCTTTGAAATTTAGTAAATTATGGGGTACCTGTTATTAAAAAGCTTGCAACTGATCATCTTGGCTCAGCTGTTGCCATGTTCTTCGCACTTCACAGGAGCAGCAGCTGTAAATTCCTCTGGTAAACAGCAAATGATGAGTTGCTCATCACAGGATCCCTTCAGCAGTAATGTCAATAGTAATAGTTTAAAGAAGACTTTATGCAGAGAAAAAGGAAAATGTGTGAGAGTTATGATTCACTTAACAACAGATAGCAGAAGCATTAAGAATGGTAAGTACAAAAAGAATGGCATTTCATTAGCATTATAGTAAACTGAGGTCTACAAGTACAATTCTTTACATTATAAATCACGCAACACTGCTCTACTAAAATAGAGAAATTAGGTGAAAAATACACTGCCCTTTTAGTGGCATTTAAAGTTGTAAACCCAGCGTAAGAACTGATACAAAGTTTATACAAGGGGATAAGATGCTGTACAATAAGGAGGGTTGAGAGAGAGAAGAAAAGGGAGGGGGGAACAGAGAGTGGGAGGGAGATATTTCTTGTACCTCAGATTTGGAATGAGATGATTCTACCCACAGTCTCCAAGAACTTAATATCTGGTATAATTGCACAAAATCTGTTAGTTCAAGGTTTCAAGACACCTCTTAGCCGAAAGTTGGATTTGCAAGTGGCTAGTGGAGAAGAAAAATGTCACGAAGTTGGTCCACTGAGGATTATCAAAACCACTTATAACAGTTCCTTGTCATAAAATGCAAGAAGCTGCTTCACGTGATTAAGCCAAGCACCAACGTTTTGACCATCAACTGTAACCCAGTCAACAACAGTTGAGGCTGGTTGTTCCCACCACTCATCAAGCTGCAGAACACATCAAAATTGGTTAAAACAGAAACAAAACTGCCAATACAGATCAGACAAGCATAGCTTGTAAATTGGGGTTTTACTAGTATATGATCATTTTTACACCTTAGGCACTGGACAGGCATGTGCTTGGATTTTCAATAACAAATTATTTTTAATCTTTGTTAAAAATAATAATGCACAATCTTAAATTTGCATCCAGAATATTGTTATACAGAGACAATGCAGAGTTGAGTGCTTGAGGCAGTGCTGTCAATCTTTCAATTACGAGTCATTCCAACACAAGACATCACTATTTCCATAAAGCAAAGTTTTTCATTCATCAATTTAACAATCCCAATCGTCAAATACCATCTACTGACAGGGAATATTAAGGAATTCTGAGAAACAGCCATCTATATCTATAATTATCTGATTATTAAACTGATCCACCATACGTTTCATTTTATTGTAAGAATTAAGACCAGACCAATAATGCCAATAAAACAACTCCATATCGAAACTAACCATTAACAATCTAAACACGCAGCTTAACAAGCTATCCTCCTTTCTAAGTGTTATAAGGTTCAATATAAACCCTTCAAGAGATGAACAGAAACAAATATAATCTTATTCTATCTGAAAACTACAAGTCTAAAATTAGAAAAAGTAACATGTGGTTAAGAGTGGAGGGTGTATACTATCCTAATACACTCTTATTACATGCAGACCCTCAGAACACACATATGATTTCTACTAAACGCACAACAATTACTTACCAAGCCCTTGACATATTTGCAATCTTCCAAGCTCTTCTGAGCATTTATTACAGCATTTCTGAGCTCAGGCAACCATTCATCAGTCACAGTTCTTTCTTGTTCAGAGGCCAATGACAGACAGTACCTTGTAGTTCTGCCAAATTCAATTAGAAAATGTTAATTAGTGAATGGCACACGCCCTAGGACAACAGGCACACTGACCACAGGAGAAGCAATGCACATTAACAAAATTTAAAATGGTTATAGACCATATAAATACAAAAGATAAGCTTATCTCAGTAAGAAACTTAATAAACTCAAAACTCCGAAGAATATGAAGGAAAATATAAATTTTGTTAGTGCAGCTTCAAAAGAATAATGATTCATCATACTAAAAAAAAGACAACCTTATTTATGAGTGGGCTCTAATGTAATAGCACACTGCACACCAATGCATAAACAAAAGCAGGAGTTCAGAGAATCCTACATTGAAATAGAAAAGGAATACATGTTACCTTTCATATTCCTGCTGTGCATGGTGAGCATGGTTTAACACTGTACGACCACTTTCAACAAGGTCTCTTCGGCTATGAACCAAATTGATTGCCTTTGCTAAGTCCTCCAGCACACAGGCCTCGGAACCCCGCAGTTTCAAAGAGAACTCCACGGCTTTCAGTACTGATGCCAAACCATCATCTGATCCTTCAACACAAAATGAAATTATTTACTACACAACCTAGAGAGGAGATATTTAAAGTGCCAATCATAAGAAACAAACAGAATCTGCAGAATATCAATGAATAATCAATATTATCATTTACACAAAGATAATGCCTCAAAACATGAAAAACTTAAAGAGACTGGACCATAACTCACTGATAACTACTTTTTAAACTTTCTGAATTCAACTAAAATAAAGACTTTAAACAACTGTGTAAAAAAAAAAGACTTTAAACAAGAGCAATATATAATTGTTACTCAAGTACTCAACTGCACTAAATTAGTATCAGGAGTTTGTACCAACTGAGTTACATAGTTGAAAGATCCCAAACACAACACTCCGTCACTTACAAAGTTCTTCCTTTTTTTCTTTTAATTAATTTATGACAGGTATGAAGTGATGGAACCTTACCAGAAGGATAATGAAGAGCAGCAGAAATGCGACAGATTGAGGGAATTGCAGATGGATCCCTTGCACCAGCTCTTGCAGTCAACAAAGCAGCATTTTTCTCAGCAGCAGCTAGGGCCTCTGGTCCCGTGGACCCACTAGAACCCATGGAGTCCAAGAGTGCCTGATAACAACCAGAATACAAGTAAGAAACTGATCAAGACAAGATATTTAATTGCCACATTAACAAGAAAAGCCTACAGTCAGAAATGAAATCTAGACCACTTCATAGCTTTTGTAAATACATTACTTTGGTAGCTGAGACATAAGAAAATCATTTGGGCAGGAGAAAACTACGCCTTGGTGCTAAACTTACCCTCAAGATTCTAAACAGTTAAAAAACTCAAAACTCAAAGAGAAGCAACAGAGAACACAAGGTCATAACTCATTAACTCAGAGATACGCAGAAAGTCATGCAGAAACCTAAGTTAAACACTCATCCCTTTCTCTCATGTTTAGCTCGCATTCTCAACTTAGCCCATTGCTACTACTGTCAAACATAACATATCCATTGTGCCTCACTAATTTGATCAATAACACTGATTGAGAAAAACTGAGGCATGTCTGATATCTACATAGTAGAAATCCTTTATCCACCCTTAAACAAATATAAGAGGAAAAAAAAACAATTAACACAACAGACTAATTGTTTACCTGTGGGCTAGCTGGCAGCATGTAAAGACTGTTATCAGGACTTTGCAGGAATGATGAAACTTCTTTTTCAATAAGATCCTTTGCACTGTTTGATAGATCTATCACAATTCCAGAAGCAGGGATGATAGTACTAGATGCAAATTCACGAGCAACCAATGGCTGTTGACTCCAAAATGCAGCAGCAGCCTGGAAGCAATTTAAGATCATGTTAAGGGTAAGAGAAATTCAAATGTTTATAAACCACTGAATTTGCTTCATAAAGGCCCCAACACAGGTTATCATACATAAATTTGCCAACAAATCCACAAAGTGTAAACAGCTATAAGAAAGTCCATATAATTTGAATCGCTAGTCTTTTATGCAATCATTGTGATCCCACAATCACCTAAATACTACCTCCGTTAACTATTATTTGCGACAAAGGGGTATTATTGTGAGATATAAAATATTCCTTTGTTGCAAAGTGTGGTCTTTGAAATCTCACAGCAAAGAAAGTAGAGTAAAAAAAAAACCTAACAGCAGAAATGATCTATATGCTGCTACCTCCAGCCCTAACTAGTAGGCCACATATCTTATATAAACCATCCCAAAATAATGGGCCAATTTCTAAAATTTGATGTATAGCACTAAAATTTCCACATATTACTTTAAATGTAATCCCTCACTTAAAGAGTTCCCAGGAAAGACTATGTAGTAGCACAACAAAGACATGTAAACTTAAACAGAAAATAACTAGTATGACAATATATCCTCAAAGATAACCATGATCAATGTGGCTTATAATTTAGAGATTGATAGAGTATTTACAAAGCAAAAAATGGAGACAGCACATATTAATAAGGGCTTTCAACATATAAACATAACATGAGGCTTCAGATGCCAGCAAGAGACAAAATGAAGCACAGATGCTACCAAGAGCATATGTCATGCCTGTAAGATAGAAGCTTAAATTGATAGATTTTAGTAATGAAGTTTTACTGGGCATGTAAGCTCAGGCCGTTATTTGAGAGAGAATAAAAAAAAAGGGGGGGGGGGGAAGCAAGAACAAAATTAATGGAAGTCGCCTTTCAAGCTGTCAGATAAACGTCCATACTCAGATAATTTAATAGCCAAGACTGGAAGCAGAAAAGAGTCCAAAACCAACGAGCAACTTCCATAATCCCACTTAAGTGAGTCATACACACAGCAATCACATAGAACTAGCACTTTTAGGGATGTGACTACTGTGGATGATCCAATGATAAGTTTCTTAAATTTTGAAAAAAATGATACAAAACAGCATACCTATGGACACAACCCTAACAAGTATCCAAGTGAATAAATGATATCGAAAATTTATAAGACTCTGTAATTCTGTATACAATACTGAGTCTTGAGGCCATAAATTCATAAAGAATGCATTAAGTGAAAATTTTATTAGACATCAATGTCAGAAACAGTTATCGATTTTTTAATTTTCTAGGCAATCAAAGACAGGCTCCAGCTCAATTACTTACCTTGTTAGCGTCAAGAAGAGCAGTATATATAGATTCAAGTTCAGATCTTCGAGAATCAAACTCCTCAATCTTTTTCCATTTCTTTTTCAAAGAATCTTCGGCTTCTTTCCTCTCAGCACATAACTTATTCAAACGCTGCACCTCAGACATTAATGTGTTTACACTTGCCCTTAATCCAGAAGCTTCTCTCTCCTTCGTCCACACTTCCAGCTAAAAACAAGGAAAACAGTTAGCATACACCCAACAAAGTCTAAAGCTTGCTAGAATAAGTCTACAAGGCACCTATGCAACCAAGAGTGACAAACTTAAATGTTTAAACCCTGTATCAGCACAGCTCTGTTCTCACAAACCAGGAAAAAAAAAAACAGCTAGACAGGAACAATGGGTAAATTTAGAAGAATTTGTGCTAAGCAGCTCGATAATCAATGAAACTTTCAAACTTCAAGACAAATTCAAACCCACAAACCTACAAGGCTATTTAATTGCAAAATTAAACACCTGACGCATATTCTATGTCAACCGATAGTGATCCAATGAATTACCGGACTTGAAATTTTTTTCAAACTGTTTTAACCAAGGTTACCTGGAATTGCCTGAGACTCCCAACATTTTGTGACGCTCCTCCAACAATGGGCAGGTGAGAATTAACATCACTTCCATGCAGACGAATTAGAAGCTTCTCAGACATACTTCGAGCTTCTGCAGATTTATTTAAAGCATCCTCTGTAGCTATAAATTGCTGAACATGAGCTTTCTGCGATGATGAAAGAGAGAAACTCGTTAAGAAAGCAACTCACAAATTCAAAGAGTTGAAATGTAAAACCATATAAACAATTAAAGAATCTCAATATAACATGTGTCGATCAATAAATCACTCACTTCCAAAGGAAAAGGAGACTGACAAACATAATCAGCAAGACATCTACACATTCCAAATGTAAATAATGTAATAATAAAAACAATATGCTATGTGTCAAGGTAGAACCAAACCTGTCTTTCAAGAAGCTGATTTTCACTTCCCTTTGAAGGTAGATCTTCCCCAATCTCTCCATTACCATAAAGTTGATAACTTAATGGTGAGGTCATATCTGGGGATGAAGCATCCATCACTCGGTTGTTCTCATACTTATACCTGATCAATACAATCAAACTTACAATTAGTTTGGTGAGGATTACAAGACATGTAGATATACAATGCTTGTACCCAAGGCATCAAATAAACAGTACATTCCACACAGGCAAATGTGAGGATTACAAGACATGAAGACAGTGATATTAACATCACTTACCAATCAAAATAATCCATAGAGTAATAAAATAAAAATAAATTGCCACTAAAGATAGTAAGGAAACATTACAAGTACCTGAGTGCTTCAGCATCTGCTCTAACATCAACTTTCTCAATTTCTCTACCAATTAATGAATTCAACCGCTGAGTATATGCAGTAATAGCTTGAAGTAACAAAGGTGGACTTTTTAGACAATTTCCAACAACAATACTAACTTCCTCGGGTATTTCACCATCAAAATCATAGCCCAACTTAGCAGCTTCTAGCTGAGGATTTGAGTGCACACCACTTCCTTCAAAAGCAGGAAAAGAGCTGCGTATTCTGTCAAGCGTATGTGATGCAAGAAACTCACATGCTTTTCTGATGTTCCTTTCGCGAGTAGTTTCAATAAGAATGACATCTTCAGCAGCTTTGGCTCCCTTGACAGTTGAGTAAACACCCTCTTTCTCACTGCTTGCATGCAGGGTACTAGCTACTTCAGTAGAGAGATCAACACTGGACCTCTGAGAATTCCTAGCCTGACTGACGTAATAACGAAGACGTTTATGATATTCAGCAAATATTTTTGCTGCTTCATCACATTGTTGATCATATGTCTCCAACATAACCTGCTTATGCCTGCATTATATATAACACATCATCAAAAATTGCCCATATTTAAACAAATAAGTTTCACATTTTAATATAAAGTAACACTATTCAGGTTAGTATATTTACTGTCATCCACATCTTTTGCAAATTGTCAAGGCTGAATAATGAAATGTGCAGTCAAGTTTGTTTGGTTCTTTATGCATTATACTTCCCATGCTACAATAGCAATTCATTGTTGAATCTTGCTAAAGAGCCCTTCTGTTTGAAAGGATCACCTTTAGAACATAGGAGGCCAAACTCATACGAGCAACTAGAATGCTTGACTCTTTACAAGAATACATAGTTCATACTACAATGCCTCAAAGATGCCTCTTGGCAGTTGGCATGAACTGTGCAAGTACAAATGATTCACTCTCCATTCCCAACCCAAAGTACAAACCCTCAACACTCAATATGATATGTAGACAATACTACAACAAATAGTGTACTCAACTAAAGTAACTAATGCCCAACCCTCTCCAATTATACCCACACATTATTGTCCTTCCACGTCCTAGGAAATTGTTACAGCAATGCTCATACATCCACCACATCAAATCCAGATGATTCTATGTCATTCCCTCCATCCCATATTCAAGTTGTCCCAACTCATCATATACTACCTTCGTTTCATATTATTTGCAACATATGCCAAAATTGGATGTTTCATACTATTTGCAACAAATGTTTTCTTTCCTTTTTAAGTTATCATTTATCTCTATCTCTATCTCTCTCCTCATCACATCCATCTCTATATTTCTCACTCCATTTAACACTCACAAACAAATTTTGCCTCAAACCGTGCAACCCTCCAAAGTTGCAAATATAAGGAACAAAGGTAGTATAAGGTTAGATATAGTTAAGCTCAACAACCATTACGATGGTTGTGTCCTTTCAAACTTCTCACACACATTCATTTCAAATGAGGTATTATTTGATATCCAATCATAAGCCTTTTCAGGAAATGTTACATCTTTCATTGAATTCCAAACTACTCTACAAACTATAATTTCCAAGCCAAGTTTGCTCCAAAAATACCATTTTGTCAAAACCAATACCTTCAATAATAATTCACAAAACATTGATAAACATAATCATAGTCATGCACTTCCTAATGTGAAATTATAACTTACAATAGTTATGTCATGGCCTATATCATGAAAACTCTATATCATACTACCAATGCCAAGTCCAACCAATCACAAACTAAAACAAGTATTGAACAATTGACTCCAATATAATCAGCTGCAAAGAGAAAGCAAGCTATACCTGATATTCCCGCGATCATCGAGCATTCGCTTCCTCTCGGCCTCCTCCCTCGAAACCTCCAACATTTTAGCCTTCAACTCTTTCCTCTGCCTCCTAAGAATCTGCCTCAACCTCTCAACCTCCTTCTCGGCGGCATCTCTCTCCTGCAATGCCTCCAGTCTCCCTCTCTCTTTCTCTCTCCTCTTCCCAACCTCCTTCCCCTTTCCACCACCGTCACCTCCATGAACCTGAATATTCCTTCGAATCGTCTCCGCCGTCTTCTCCGATTTCACCCTCTGAAGCAAGAAACTCCACACCGGAATCATATTCCCTCTACAAACCTTCCTAATTGCATCCGCCGATGGGCCCACCCCGGCCCGACTTGAGCCCGTATACGGGCCCGCAGGTCTATACCCCATCTCTTTCTGAAGCCACTCCAAAATCGCCTCTGGTTGAGCCGCCATTGCCGAGCTCGTCGAGCTCTGCATTTCGCAATAAAAAAAACACAAAACAAAAACCCTAGAATTTCAAATCACGACGAAATCATCGGATTTTTTGGGGATCGCATTACCAGTAATTCCAATTGAAAAAAGGGGATTGAAGCTAAAACCCTAGAACAGATCTAATGAATGCAAATGTCGAATTAATCGGAGGAATTTGTATGAATTGACGAAGAATGTAAGAAAATTGGAAGCAGATTTGAATTGATGGTGTGAGTATTGGAAGAGAGAAGAAGAGGAGTGAGGATGTTTTGTCTGAGTTTGAAAAAAAAAAGATGGAATTTGAAGAAATTGAATAGAAATGGAGTTTTCTTTTTTCTTTTTTGAAATGGGAGGTCCCGCTATTGGTACAAAGATTATGTTAATTGTAGCGTACAATTACGGTTTTAATTTCGTTTAGCTACTTAATTAAGTTGTGGATTAGACTATTAATTAAGTCGTAATCGTGTTGTGTTATGTCGTGCTTGCGTTTGATCTCGTATTAATTTCGTGTTGTTCACAAAGCCTATAAAAAGATTATGCAAGTGTAGGATAATTGCATGATTTGACCACATTATCTAAAGGATCGAGTTCGAGTTGGTTTCGCATCGTGTCGTGTTGGCTTTGTGTTTTCTCTCAGTAACTTCTTATCCGTGTCATGTTAGTTTCGATTGTGTCATGTCAGAGATGGTCAGTTGTGTTGTCAATGATTAAAGTTAATCAATTGATTTATGAAAGTTTAGCTAACGAATGGGAAGAATGATTTTATTGGCTTTGATTGAGCTAATAAGTTAATCCTCAACGTTGTCAAAAGTCATTCACACAAGAGATTTGAGGAGGTCACTAGTGGATCCAATATATAGAAAATGGCTTAAGATTTGATTGTTTGTGTTGTCATGTTTGAGGGTTGAAAGTTGAATATTTGTTTCATCTAATGACTAATGACTACTATTCTACTAAGTTATTGTAATTCTCTATGGTTTACGTTGAAACCCATCCCATTGTAGCCCATTTGTGAGTGTCCCACATTGGAGAAAGAGGAGAGATGATTCCACTTTTATAAAGTAGAGGAATTACTCCTACTATTGCCAATTGGTTTTAGTGTGAAAGCTCTAAAGCTTAGTTTATGGACCAAATTCTCCTCCTTTGTTCGGGTTGCCCAGACCCATTTCATATAGTTTTGAAATTTAACATGGTATCAGAGCCCAGGTTTGTCGGGCCGTTAAAAAAACTAGGTATTTGTCAAGCCACTGTTCAGATTGCCCAAGCCCATTTCATATTGTTTTGAAATTTAACAGTTTCTAACTTAACATGTATACTTCCTTTGCTCTTTAGATATCACACCTTACTTTTTTAAAAAAGTTCTATAAGAAATTATATAGTAGTATAATAAACAAAACCTTTTTTTTTTTGGGGGGGGGGGGTGGGGACTGGGAATGATTTTCTCTCTATTAAAGGATTTTGGGCTCTTTTTTCCTTTGGCAAAGAAATTTTCCCCTCTATTTCAATATTACGAGGGCCGTGTAATAATACTCCATTTATTCGATTTAATTTGATTGTCCTATTTGAAATCTCTTGCGATTCCTACTTATTGTAATATTTATCTTAGTTTCGAAGCGTTTATGTATACATATCAATTACCTAGTTTTAAGTGTAATATTCCGTAGTTAACATCACTCTTATACAACACACAATTTTTATGTCGCAACATTATTATAAGTTGTAACGAGTCATTTATTGTTCCATTCAAAGGAGTAACCTTTTGCTCTCTACCATCCACCCTCTTTCCCTTTGTCCTTCCTTTTTCTTCCCACTATATCAAAACAAATTATGAAACATTGAAACACAAGTTGCACTATTATACTCCACTTTTTTAAAATCACTCCATACCAAATTGACACAATACTCAACAGTTTTTGCACTTTTTTTTATCCTAAAACTTAAATTGAAATTAAAAAATTCGCCGTACACAATATTCTAATTTTTTCCGACATTAGACGTGACAGGTTACGATTAATCCATAAAAAATTAACAATAAACACAATATTAAATTTAAAATATTAATTAATAAATTAAGTTATTTAAAAATGTAAAAACCTTCGTTAACTAATAAAGTTAGTCAGTGCGTCTTCTTTCTTCCATCCACCCATCACCCTCTCTTCAAGGTCGCTTTAATTTTGCGCAAAAATCAAACCTTAATTTTTCCAATTTTCCCCCAAATTTTCTCCTCCTATTTTTTCTCCGAAAATTCATAAACCCTCTTTTTTATTTTATCCTTCCTAATGCAGAATCATGAGTTTTTGATTTGGGTTTTCTAGATTTTTCCCGGGTATCTCTTTGCCCCATTTTCCAAGGTACCTTTTTTTTAAAAAATTTATTTATTTATTGATTTGTTGGATTAAATTTGATTTTGTTGCTGAATTACTATATTTTGAGTTGTTGATCATATATTTGCATGATTATCTGAATTGGGTATTTTCAATTTTGTTGATTTCTTGATGGATCATTTCTTTCTGTTCCGCAATTTTGACGCTTTTTCATGATTTTCCTTTTTTTTTTTTGAGCTGTTGTGGATTCTGGATTTCTGGTATATACTCCAATTATCACTGATTTCTACCTTTTTACCAAGATAAAATTTTTGCATGTTTTTTCAAAAAAAAAAATAGAATTTTAGTCTTTTGGGTGAAGTTTTTTATGATGAAATTGATGCTAGAGTGAGCAATACAGTCATGAAGAAGATTGGAGAAAATAATCTAAAAGATGAAATTTTTAATTTTTTGTGTATGGTATTAATTAATTTCATGACTTTAAGAAATTCAACCATGCTGACTGACTATTATCCCTTGAAAACAAGGTTTGAACAATTCTACTAATCTTGTTTTTTGCTGCATTGACTCCTTTTATTTCGTCACAAAGTTCTTGTTGATTGAAAATGAAATTCTAAGTTGAATGTCTGTCGGTGGAGGTTTGTCTGAAAGAAAAGAGGTTTGAAATTTGAATAATCTCACTGGATTAATCACCTACCTTTTCGGGCTCGAATCTATTGTGATATTTGATATTTGAATTGCTAAATGGTGTTTTTTTTACAGCCTTTGATTGTGCATGAGTAGTTTTTTGAATTGTGTTTTGGGTTGATTCCATTTTCAGGTTAAGGAATTCAGTATTCTGTAATCAGAAATCACAAGGAGAGAGGGTACTAGTTCGTGGAGGTAGCGAACTTCTACGGACTGAGCGCCTTTCTCATTCTTTACTTGCCAGTTTCATTCCTTAACTGCTGTATGGGATGCTCATGTCCTTGGAGACATTGAGGAGCAGTTTGATAAATGTTAATGAAGCAGTGGGGTTTTAGTGATACAAATTTTGGTATATGACTGTATGAGTGAGACGTTAGCTGCAATTATGGGTTCTTTATGTTCTTGCTTTCGCATGGAGGATATCGAAGACTATGTGAACAGAAACAGTTCCGTTTACCGGAATTGTGTCTGTCTCAGTTGTTTCCTTCAAAATTTCTTTCATATGGTATGTTTTTGACTTGCTTGTACTTTTTTTGGTTTGTCTTTGTTTATTGTCTTAAGGGTCAGGCCCTATATACATCTATGTCAGAGATAGAAGTATAGATATTGTATTGATTACTGATTCAAGTTACTGCTTATTTGTACTTAAACAAAATGGGGAGCTGAAGAAGGAAAGTGGTTAACTAACTGTCATGGGTCAGGGAAGTGTTCTGTATGATGGTGGGCTGACGTATATTGTGTGACTTTATGCTATGATTTGAAAGTTGTTGCATTGTTTCTGAGGGTTGCAGATATATATTTATTGATCTCTTGGTGTTAAGTGTACTGTTCTTTTTTAAAGTCATCTCTCTCTAAGGGATGGAAGGAGTTTTGACTTTTGACAGAGGTGCTAGCTTGTTTGTCATTCTTCATAGCAGAGAACAATTATTTTTGAGTTGTGTATGACCATTTTTTCTTCTATTATTTGGTTGGAAAAATGTACTATATTTCTATTTTACATTCACCTTCTCTCTCTTTTTGTCGCACATGTGTCACCCCTCTGCCAAAAGGTCTATCATTTTCATTTATCACAAGCGTCGGCACCAATAAACATGATCTTTGTTCATACTCCTATGCTTGTGTATGGTGGTTTTTATGTTCTTTTGTGAATTTTCTCCCTCTTTCTTCCCTATTGTTGACCACTAAAGCGACCAAATCTTTTGCCATTCATCGTCAAATCTAAGGCTTCCTAATTTGTAAGCTTTGAAGGGGAGCTAAAGGGGAAGTGGGAGACTTGAAATTGGTAGTGGAGTGGGCTATTGTAAATCTGCTTTCATGTTAAGCAATGTCTGGTTGTTTTATTGCCCAAACCCACTTTTTCTGTCAGAACTTCTGGACTTCTAATGGTGATACTTGGTAGTGATGAATGGGCTGTGATGATGGGGTCGGAGTTGGTACCCCTGGTGCAAATTTTTTCAACAGAAATCCGAAATAGTAACAGGGGGAAGAGGGGGAGAGATCAGGTAAAAGCAATTTAGTGAACCCATTGATGGGAATAGATTTGTGGTTGTATTGAAATTTTGGAATAAATATCGATGTAATGGTGTATTGATTCTGCATATGAACTTCCTTGTGATTGATTTGCAGGTCTTGATTTTGAAATTTGCACTAAAGCTTTCTAGTTTATTGTTTGTCTTCGGCTGTCCTTTTCTCTCCTGTATAGATAATTGGAGATATGGTTTACGATTATTATATATGCCGAACTTAAATTATCTTAAAGAGACCAGTATGTCTGAGCCCTGAAGGGACTATGATAAGTTGAATTGGCAGTTTTTGCGTGGTTTGATTAGTCTTGGGCCAGTAGTTAGGAAATAGGAGGAGAGATATGATTGTCAATAGTAACAGTGAGGAGGAATTGGACTATTGGATATTGCAGTGATAAGGTTTTGTAAGATTTGAGATCGTGATGAAACGTTTTGGCAGGAGTTACCATACCCAAGTATGTTCGGTCTGCTCCTAGATGGCTTGGGGGAAGGGGAATAATTTTTTATGGATCTATTAAGAGGGCTATAATTTATAGGTGTGTAAGTGCCTGGTTATACCTTCAAGCTTTCCCTGTTTATGGGCTTATTTTTTTATTAGTCTATGCACACCATGTACTTGTTTGCTGATTCTTTGCCTTCAGTTAAGTAATTGCTTCATCTTACTGTGTCTGTAGTATTCTTCATTATTTCGAAGGGGGGAAGTTCAATCCTTACCTTCATCCATCCAAGGGGCTTCTTTGACTTCTGTGGTGTCAACAGACAACTCTCTTGCTGATATGTACCGCTCTCCTCCAAGGCCTTTGCCTTATGATGCAGATCCTAGATTTTATCGCATGCAGCGGGATGGGTTGTTTTCTAGACGTGAAAAGGGTTCCAGTCATTCACATGATGAATCAGAACCTCTGAGGAGAAGTGATATTGATGCAGATTCTGACCCTCTAAGTACAGGGGACAAGTGGACTGAGTCGACTTGTGAAGATGGCACAAAAGAAGGTCGTAAATCATCTGTAAAGCTTTCATCAGCTAAATCAACGCAAGTGATGAGATATTTTTACTCCTCTTCTGAGGATGAAGATGTTTGTCCAACTTGTCTTGAAGGTAATTATATCCATAAATTTCTTTGATTCTGTACAGGGCCATTTTATTGTTGTCAGTTGTCCATCATTTCTTAGTTGTTGGTTTCCTTCTGTTTACACTTGTACATCTAAATTTATTTCTTTGTGCCCCCAGAATCTTTATAGTAGTTTACATCTTGTTGATGCAGAATACACCGAGGAGAATCCAAAGATAGTGACTAAGTGCTCCCATCATTTTCATCTGGGTTGCATTTATGAGTGGATGGAGCGAAGTGAGAACTGCCCCGTCTGTGGCAAGGTATCAATTTTCTCATATCTGTGAGCTCTGTATCTATATATCTTGTGGTCAGCGATGACTTATTTTGTGTGTCAGTGTTGTATGTGATGCTAGAGATCGTCTATATGTGCTGGGAAGACAGTTGGCTGCAAGTTTGCGGAAAGATTTAGTTTTATTGTCAATTGCACTATGACTTTCAATACCACTCATTGCTGAAATTTCCAGCCTAATGATCTTGGCTTGTGTGTCTCATGCTTCTTATATTGAGAACTTCATGTTCGATGATTTGAAGTAATCTTTATGTAGAGTTCTTGAGAAAAGGTGGGATATTACCTCTATTTTGGAAATGTTTGTGATTTATCTGTGGGGTGTCCTCTGTGACTTGTCAGATGACTTTTATACGAAGTATGTTATAGGTTTTGTTTAGGTGTCAGAGTGAAGCTTTTCTTGCTCTATTAGTGCTCATGAGCTGTGACCAGGATTAGCTTTTGTTGGAGCCTCTTATCCTGTACAGTGCGATAACCTTATTCCTCCTGATTAGGCAGAAAGATGATTTTATGAAGTGAGACCAAAATAGAGCAAGTTTTTGCTCCAGAGTATTTTTTTCCATTGTATGATAATGGAAGAACCTGAAATAGCTCATCAAACTATTTGTAAATCTTATCTTTTGTGTATTAGAGGGTTATTGCAGCTCGAATCAAAGGCCCGTTTAAATTTTCCTCTACTCCCCATCCCCCTAAATGGTTGGAGCTTTTTTAGAGTATTAGATAACTTTTGGTGTTATTGTATTGTTTGTTCTGGTGGTCTTCTTCATCGTAATTTAACTTGTTCATTGAAGTTGGACAACTTGTTTGCTCATATCATGATATAAATTGTGGGAATTAATTGCTTAGTTAAGACACTTGTTTCTTTGAAAAATTTCTGCAGGTAATGGCCTTTGACAAGTCCCCTTGACTTTGTTCTGCCTCATGTAAGGAGCAGCTGAAGGCATAAAGGAAGTAATTACAGAGGAAATCAAAAACTGTATAGTCGTTGTGAATATTGCTGGTTTGAGGAGGTGTTTACGTCACATGTCAACAGTACATAAAAATGAAAATTGTTCTGCATAGTCATAACCACAAGCACATTATCACATAGCATCTTGCCTTTCTTCTTTCGGCTCATTATTTAGACATTTCTGGGTATAATTCTATATAATCATTGAGAAATGAATATTACGGGTTGGGTTCGTATATGAACCAAAGATTTGGCTAATTGCTTGTAAAATTTCCACTTTTGGTTATGTATTGTTCAGAACTTGTGTAAAAGGCTTTGAGCCACTGATTACATGCAGTTGATATACATTCTGGTTAAAATTTAAAATCAACTCTCTTGTTCTTGAGTTTTCTTTTCATTGCTTTCCTTCTTCTTTGTTAGAAACCACTAGTAATGAATTGTTAGTTTTTACTGTACATCAGATCAATTCAATTTTAAATATCCTCTTTGTTATTAGTCTTATTACATGGGTAATGCTGTGTAGACCTTTGTCATTTGTACCCTATCATTAACTTTTGTGTACACCCGATTTAAAATCATATTAGTGTTCATCGAATTGTTTGAGGTATTTTTAAGCCAATTAGAAGTAAATATTAACATAACTTAGGTGATATGATACTAATGTAAATATGCAATGAAATAAGTTTAATAAGAGAAAATCCAAGTTTATCACTGTGTAAAACAAATTTGTTTATTAGAAGGGCAAAAGTATTAATTTTGCGGCAAAAATGGTAAAATTGCAATTGTAAAACTAACCGCTACTATACTTGAAGTAGCGGTTTTGCCCCGTGACAAACAAAACTTATTTATCATGGAGATTAATGGGGGTGACCTTATTTTATAAGTTTGATGGTTTTTATTCATTTAAAGTTAGCATCATTCTATGACAACTTTACAATAGAGGTACACCCGGTTATTCCAAATACTCAGCTTCAGTTGATCATTTCATGTTGAGCAATTACTCACCTTCAGGCTTATGAGATATATCGCTAGATCCAACCATGCTAAAAGGCACCATTATTATAGTACTATATCATAGTGATTACACAATTTTTAGTTCATAATTTCCAAAAGAAAATGTACAAATTCAAATACAGTGGATCAAATACTCGTACAAATGGTGTGTTTTAAGAATTCATGGCATTACTTAGTAGCAACTTGAAAGGCGCAAAGGAAGCCTTCCGGCGGCAGCCCACCACTGAACTTGTGCTTGCCATTGATCTGTTAGTTAAAAGGAAGAGAAAATGTTGAAAAAACCACATTGAAACATTTGATCCTTGAGCTCAAAGTTTTGGAATACTCACCACATAGTAGGGAACACCACCAAGGTGTGCTGAATATTTTTCGAAATCTTCATTCACCTTCAACAATTACACAAAACAAGCTTAATGTTTTACATCACATTTACATATGTCAAATGTCATCCATTTTAGTAGAGCTGAGAATGATACCTCCTTCAGGCCATTGTTTGGATCCTCAAGAAACTCGGCTGCTCCTTCTACACCAACCTTCTCAGCACATTCCACCAAGAACTCCTTGTATCAATCAAATGTCACATAGTTTATAAGTTTATCTAAAAAATCATAATCAATCACCAAAGAATCGAAGGAAGTGAATGAATACATTATACATACCGGTCACCTATATATCTTCCCTGTGTCATGTATCCGCGAAAAAGCTCCTCAACAAGATCGTGTTTTTTATCAAGTTCTTGTTTTCCTGCAAAATATATGAGCCTGTGGCTATCCAGAGTGCATTTATTTATTTATATTTATGTTCCAGGTGAAAATTCTAGCCAATTTCTTGACTAGTACATCATCTCAAATTTAAGTAACAAAAGATGACTAATGTTGCTATCAACTTACGTTAACCCGTCCATGTTATAGTCCAGGCCAAGGCTCTTATATGCCTGAAGTTTATACTCAAACAAACAAATTAGTACAGCAAAAATATTACTCCGTACTCCGTATTGACAGTATCATATAAGTGTGACGTAGATGAAGATATACCTGAACTGTGTGATCTATGATTTGCTCGTACCGAGAACCAAACTTCCTTTTATAGAAATCCCTCTTGTTCACACCTTCTTTCGGAGCAGAAGGCTCGAGGAAATACGGGTGCCAATGTATCTATATAAAAAAAATGTGTTACATCAAGAAATAAATGATGAAATTGGGATTATTATGTTATAGAGAAAAAACCTCAATATCGAATTGATCTTTTGATGCTGCAATAGCTTTATCCAGATTAATTTTGCCCACATAGCACCAAGGACATAGATTATCTGAACTGATATCGATTCGAATGAGCTCTTTTGTTGTATTGCTAGCAGACTCAGCCATGAATTTGAGGTTCACCTGTAATACTACAAATATAAAGTTAATTTCGAGAATAAACACTAGTATTAAGCTTTTACGGAATACTACCTTCGTTCCTAAATAATTGACACTACTTTTGCCGCTTAAATTTGACTTTTGACAAGAAAATTGATAGGATTACAGAGATAATTGAAAATATTTTGTCAATTTGCACACAAAAATGTGATCGAGGATGACAATCAATAGTCAAAATTCGATCTCGAAAAGAAAAGGAACACTTAAATAATCTGATATAAAAGGTTAAGGTTAAGGAATTGAAATTACCAGTATTTAATCTGCAGAAAAAAGAGACAAAGTTTTGAGAATTGAAAAAAAAAATGGAAATTTTTCGTCAATAATGACTTGAGAGAAAGACGTTATAACTTATTGGGGGGATCGTTGACTACCCGCGGCCGTTATCTCTCACCAACCACCAATTTACCATTATCTTTGGACTTTACCAACTTTGTCATCATAATTGTTTGTAGTAACATTAAATTATAATGGAAAAAATTTAATTTACAATTAAAATGGATTTTTGTTAGTGAAAATCCATAAAGATAAGATAAGGGCTAATAAGTTCAAATAAGACAAGTTCAGAACTAATAAGAAGAGATGATATGAGAACGATACCTTAGTCTTTTCGATTTTAAAAAATTGAGAAATATAGATGTTTTGGTACAGCTAACCTAATTAGTCGTATTGTTATGTTTGCTTGAGTTTATAATCCCCATTAAACAAGCTTGGTTTATAAACATCTATTGTGTGTGATCTTTTAACTAGGATTTGCATTTGATTTGTATTTTAACTGTTAATTAGTTGACAAAAATAATTCCTTTTGACGCAGTTTAATTCCCTTTTGATTTTGGGAGCATTAGATGAACGAGAAACCCTCTAATCTGGTGGTTTAATGGATAAACAGCAATTGAATTTGTCACCGAATAAACAATATATTAAAGCAATAATGCATTCATATCTCATGTATATATACATTACGATAGGTCGATTGCTACTCAAAACACCAACACAGAGACATTAAAATGAACTACTCCAAACATATAGAAGTACAACCTTAATTACATAGAACACAATTCACAATTTCACACTTTTATTAAATATTTACCCTCTTTTTTGAGAAAACTATTTCCAAGCAAATAGTAGCAGAGTAGCAGCCTTAAACAGTACATAGAACTAGAACAGTTACTTTGCTGCGAGTTTGAAAGCTCTTTGGAAAACCTCAGGTGGTTGTCCACCACTCAATTTTTGATCGTTGTTGATCTGTCAAATTGAAACCAAACCCTCGTCAATGATACCAAGATTAATACAAGGCGCAGACTAAAGTTTCTCAAGTACTCAGTACTACTACTCACCACGAAGTACGGGACACCACTTATACCTGCAGAGTATTTCTCAAGCTCTTCCATCACCTTAAAAACAACAAGTGAAGATAAAAACAAATATAAGATGATGAAACAAAAAAAATTGTATTGTAGACTCCAAAAGGTATGAGAGAGCTTGTCTTCAAGCTATTACATTTTACGTAGGCTGCCTTATAGAGTGAGATAGATGGAGTCTTGTTAAATCTGACTAAACAACAAAGGTTAAATGAAATGCAATTTGGTGCCTTATATGTACCTTGAGTGTAGAAATGCAATTTATGACAGAAAACTATAGTCTAATGATCACAAACTAATAAAAATGAGGCTGTTCATCAGGACCCGACTAGTTTGTTGAGGAAAGGTGAGAGAGCAACAACAAACTAAGTCCTAACTCCTAACCGGCTAACCCATTGAGGCAACACATATTTGATTTCCAAAATCCAAAGAAAGCTGTGATAGCTAGTCTAAAATTATGTCCCACGACAAAATGCTCAATCATGTACTTAGGGTACCTTACTAGCATGCTCAACAACATGAGGACAGGTGGATACTATGAAAACTTTCTCAGGTGCATCCGGACATCCGGAGATCTGGAGTGATGAAACAGGATATGGAATACTAATTGTTTCAATCAGCAACATAATTTGCAGAGCTATCAACCAGTGCTAAGAAATCTAAGGCAAGAGAAAAAGACATAAAGATAAGGGATGGAAGAGCGTATACCTCCTTGACACCATTATTTGGGTCCTCTAGAAACTCAGCAGCACCTTCTATTTCAACCTTTTTAGCAGACTCCAACAGGAATTCCCTGCAAGATGAACATCAAATAAAATGCAATAACTGAAAAGACGAAAAAAGCCATAATGAATCCAACAAGACAGCCCTGCAATATTGAGTTTTAGGCACAGGTCGATTATAAAGAGAACTCCCATTCTCTTGTGCTACAGTAGTGTTTGATTTGTAATGATTCTCGGTATCTTAACTTCGGCAATCCTCCAGAAATGTCACCCCCGTCCCCCTCCTTCCCCAAATATAAAAAAAAGGACCCTCACGGAAGGCTTCCTTAATACAAATCTCTAATCACTTACTTTGTGTTTTCAAAGAGCCCAATCTTGCTTAGCTTCAGTCTTGTAAGAGCTTCTGCTTAAATTTGTTAAATCTCCAGATGGAGCAGTAAACCAACTTTTTTATACCAAAACCCTCTATCCAACCATATATATATAAGTAGCTACAGAACACATTGTTAGATATGTAACCAATTTTCTTGCAGAAGGATGACAGACTATTGACAGTTACCAGTGAACATATTAGAGTCTCAAAACACGGTCAACACATGGAGATCAATACTTGATGAAGGCAATAAGGCGCTCAATTCGTGCAATTTAGAACCATCACGCATGCATACAAACTACAAAGTGAAGATAAGAAATGCTTTGAAAACAGACATACCGATCTCCTATGTACTTTGCCCTCGTGAAGTAGCCCAAGAATAGTTCCTCAACAAGATCATGTTGCTTGTCGAGCCCTTGCTGGCCAGCATAATATATAAGCCTGTGACTATCCAAAGTGTTCCCCCTACATACATAAATCCCAAATGTTATGCCAAAATTATTTAGTAGAGTTGAAGATTATAAGCTTATATAGTTATATATGATAATTCCTTACGTAAGCCCATCAATGTTGTATTCCAAACCGAGTCCTCTGAATACCTGCAACACAAATCGGCTTGTGAGTTAGTGCCAAATGTAACTATAAATTGTCTTAATGAAATAAAAAAAAACGGCTTAATAAATATTCTGCCATACATCTGTCATTCGCGCTATTATCTGTTCAGATCGCGCACCAAACTTCTGTCTGTAAAAATCCCTCTTGTTCACACCCTCTTTTGGGGCAGAAGGATTGAGGAAGAAAGGGTGCCACCTGATCTGCAATACAAACTGATGACTTAAACAAGCACGAAATAGAAAACAACACGAGTATAAGCGATTTAAAAAGAATTGGGGGAAAGGGTTTCAGGAAATAAACCTCAAAATCAAACTGATCTTTTGATGCAGAAATAGCTTTGTCTAAATTTCTTTTGCCTACAAAGCACCATGGACAAACAGTGTCTGAACTGATATCAATTCTTATAAGCTTCTTCGCCGAAGCATCAGCAGCAGCCTCAGCAGCCATTAATCTACAGTTTATCTGCAGTTTTTTGAAACTTAATTCCAATATGAAATGCAACAGCTTCTTCCACAATTTCACGAAATATAATTCATTCTAACATTCCTATTTACATAATCAATTTCAAAAGCAGGATAACATTAAGCAAAAATTAGGTAGTCAAAAGAATAAGCAGTTTAACCAAATATTACAAGTGTCAGGCAAATTAATCAAGCTAGAACATCAAATTAATCCCAATTCGTAAGTTCATAAACCCCCCACCCCCCCCCCCCCCACAAAAAAAAAAAACCCTAATTCTTTCTAATTCATAATTATAAAAGGAAAAGATCAGAACTTTGATTAAATTAAAGCATATAATCATGAATATTTCAGCTAGTAAACACATTACATGATAGAACATAATCAGAAAAATAGAGAGAAAGATTACCGGTATAATCTTTAAAAATGTTGTTTTTTTGTTCAGACAATGGTGAGGAAACTGGAAATGTATGGAGTGGAAATTGGAGAAAGTTCTCTGAAAATTAAGACCAATCATCGGGGTAAATACATACCGTTTTTGCACACAGAAGAAAGTCAATGTATCACCAAATATTAGGATATGTTCTCATGACTGAAATGAGCTGAATTGAGGTAAAATAAACTGAAATGAAATAAATATTTTATGATAGAAGGAAATTAGCAGTTGAATTGAACTGAACTGAACTTATTAAAGCTAAATTGAACTGAACTATCCTGAACTGAAAATAATATGATGAGAATAATGTCTTACTTTCACTTCAACAAAACTAATTTCAATTCAGTAAAATAATATCAATTCATTAAAAAATAAATTTACTTTCAGCAAAATTTATTTTAGTTCAATAAAAATTAATCATTATTTTAGATGAAATACAACAACTCAAATTTGTATCAATATTAGAGTGTAGTTTTATTTAGTTACTTCCTCTGTTTTTTTTACTTGACATGTTTCTTTAATCACGCTTGCCAATGCAAAACTTTAACGGTCAATAACTTTAATTCTCCATTATTAAAAAAAATATAAAAGTTATATATTATGATAGTACTTATTGAGACGAATTCAAAATGATCCAACGTAAATATGTTTTTCCTTACATATTATTTACAAAACACGGTCAAAGGAGGGGTGGTGAATAGTGTAAAAGTCAAAGCGGGTCAAATAAAAAAGAACGGAGGAAGTATTATTATCATTCTCTAAAAACTTTCTTAAAGGTTTCTTCTCTTAATTTAACAATAAAGCTGCCTAGAATATAAGATGTAATTTCTAATTTCTAATTAAATTCTATAGTAAATGAGTATTTAGTCTTTATAGTCTTTAGAGTTTAGACATATACATTGAAATATTGGATGAAATCAGAAAGAACGTCACAAAGGATAAAATTGTAAATGAGACTCAATCTCAAGCTAAGTTCTTAAGGTACCCGTTGTAAAAATTAAACCGAGATAATATTGTAAATGAGACTCGTCTAAATCTTAGATACCCATTGCAAGAATTAAAGCAACTACAATAGACTCGATCTCAAGTCTTACCGAACTAAGCTGAACTAAACTGAACTAATTAAAGCTAAACTAAATAAAATATTTTACAAGAGAAACTAAACTGAATTGAAATGAATTAAAATTAAGCCTATGAGAAAGTCTTACGTATCCGCTACAAAAATTAAACCAACCACAAAAAACTCGTCATCCCACAAATCCAGAAATTCAGAAAAAGGGTGTTTGTTTCTTGCCAGTATTCACGACCACCGACCACTTGCTAGATTCCCCAGGTAATCGGAACGCTATCTTTCAAATTCCCTATTTTCTCTCTCTTAGGAATCTTGCAACTCTTAAAAGTCACCTTCTTTCTCTTTTCTATCTTAAAAAACCTCATCATTTTGTTCATTTTTTCAACGATTTGCTCTTTTTGATCATCTAGAAACAATTTCTAATCAAACTAAGGTAATTTTCCACCTTTTTTTATGGAAGCATTGCATTTTATATATCCTGCATTTCGAATTTCTTGCAAATTTTCAATAATTGTTTGGTTTTATGTTGCCGATTAGTCGTGCGATGACAATTGCTTTTCTACTGTTTGTTGTATTTTGATTGATGTATGACGCTTTAAAGACTGTAACTTTCGCAATTTTAGAGGATATATACAAAGTTAATCTTGCTTACAGTCTAATTTTGTGATAATGTTGATTTATTTCAGTTTCTTTTTTAAGTAATTGTGAAATTTGTTGCAATTAATTGATGGTTTTGCATATAATTTTTGAGGCTTAATTGGGTATATTGCGTTGCTATTGATTTAGGGTTTGAATAGTGATTTGATTCTAAACTAGTATTGCAAAATTTCAACTTTAACTGAACTTTTGATATCGATTTGCAGTTTAATTTGTAAAGGATGGAAATTGGTGAAATCCTTGGGGAGTCAAAACATGTGTCTGTGCCAACAAAGAGTGCCATCTATGTGTGGGGTTACAACCAACGAGGGCAGACTGGGAGGAAGGAGAAGGACCAAAAGTTGAGGATTCCGAGGCAGCTGCCACCGGAGCTATTCGGTTGTCCAGCTGGGATCAGTACTAGGTGGCTGGATGTTGCTTGTGGCCGGGAGCATACCGCCGCTGTGGCCTCTGATGAGTCGCTTTTTACTTGGGGTTCACATCTCTTACCTCAAATCCATCCTCCTGCAGTTTTGAACCTCTGTGTAACCTCATTATTCTTCCTATAAATTTATATGCTGGGAATAGAATAGCTATTAGTTTCGTGTTAATTCTCTTTTCGATTGCACCTTCGTAGTTGATGCTAGATAGAGGATAGTTGATTGTGATTTTATATTATGCCTAAGTGTTTGTTGTGAAATGGTGGGTAGTTTGATTTTGCCGCTGGAAATAAGAAAGTAATATGATTGCATATTGTGGAAATGAAGATTGATTTGTTTATACGTGAATGTGTTACAGACATATTGACTAGGGAAATACCACCTCCTTTCCTTGTTTGCGGATTTTGCGTTCAGATTTCTGTAATTTGTTTTATTTGGACTGTATTACTGCAGGGGCTGTGGTTTATGTACAGTGATATTTACTTGTAGTTCAATATTAAGAAAACTAAAAACGAAAAACTGACTAGTCCTTTAACTTGATTATGATTGAAGTGTGATGTTCTTGAGTGCTTCTTCACTTTAATTATCTATTGGTGACATTATTCTAAGGCCATGCATTTAGTTGTTTGTTTGGTCTGATTACTATGGACATACATTTCCGTATGTATCACTTCTCAATTGACTGGTGGTTGATAGCTTATGAAAAATTATTTTGACCTTTTGTTGTCCGCTCTTCATGTAGTAGTATCGGGCATTGTTGCTTCTGATGTCTATTGCCCATGCTAGAATTGGACTTTGATTATTATGTTTTACTATCTTTGGCAGGAGCAAATGACTTTGGGCAGTTGGGAGATGGAACTGAAGAAAGTAGGAAACACCCGAAGAAAGTAGACCTATTAGATACTGAATATGTGAAATCTGTTTCTTGTGGAGCGAACTGTACAGCTGCTATAGCAGAACCTCGTAAAAATGATGGGACTATATCAACCAGGAGACTATGGATGTGGGGCCAAAATCAGGTGACGGCCTAAGTCCCTTCTTTTCTTGCAGTTATTCACTTTATATATTTGCTCCAATATTTTAAGCTCTTTTCTTTCATTGCTTCAGGGCTCAAATTATCCTCGTCTATTTTGGGGAGCCTTTGCACCAAACACTGTAAGTCTTTTATAGTGCCATGTCAGCATTCTGATTGCTTGAGTGACTAGAGATGTGAAAATTATGTGACTTGTATAAATAACTGCTTGAGTGGCTTGAGTGCAATTTTTATTTCGATGTTTATATGGCTAATTCTCAAGATTAATGGACAATTCACTGTATGAATCACCTTCCTGGGGAGGGGATCATATAATGCAATAAGACTAGTATCTGGAGGAAGAAGATGATTTAGTTCATTAGAAGAGGAATGTTATATAGAGAGCTCATTAGGGTGTAGGACGAACGATGAATATTGATGAGAAATTTAGGGAAACAGGACGTAGGATGAATAACCGTTTATCTTGTTGGTTTTATATAGTGAAAATCTGAAAATGTCCACCCACTTAATCTGTGATCGTATGCTCTACCTGGTAATTTATCGCATCGAATTCAATCTATTATCAATCCTTCCCCAAAAATTTTCTTCCTAATTTATATTTTTTCTGTTTATTAATTCCATAACAAATCTGTGCCAGACCAGACTGTTCTGGTAGATTCGATTGCTCTATAAATATTGTGTTGATCCATATTTGAGCAGCTGTGTGTATGTGTACGTTTGTGTGTGTGTCGCATAACCTATGCTGTAGCTATTGTTATCCTGCTCACCTGCTGTTATTAGTGCAGCTTGCAAAGTAATTGGTACGCAGTTGTTTCCTCGTGCTTGTTAGTTCAATTTGCTTACTATTCCATATGTCAATGTGTGATTGTGTACAGGTTATCCGTCAAGTTTCCTGTGGATCTGTTCATGTAGTGGCCTTGTCGGAGGATGGTCTTCTCCAATCTTGGGGTAATGTTCTGCAGCGTGTCTTACTAGTGACATCACTTTTCTCTTAAACTTGCTCTAGTCCTTTTCTGTTTTTAAAAAAACAAAAAAAAAATTATTTATTAAGGTGATGGGGCCATGGGAGGGAGGAGGGGATGGGTGCTTTCAGTGATGGGGTTTTCATAATATACTTTGTATAATTATGGCTGTACTAACTAGAATGTAATTGATCTTCTGCTAGGATACAACGAATACAGTCAACTTGGCAGAGGATTTACCTGTGAAGGATTGCAAGGGCCAGGTGTTGTGAAAGCATATGCAAAACACCTAGATGAAGCCCCTGAGCGAGTGAAGATCACTCAAGTGTCATGTGGGGAGTACCATACTGCTGCTGTATCTGAGACTGGAGACGTGTAAGTGATATAAAAGTACCTTCTTGTCCTTCACTGACAGAGTTGTATATTTAGCTCTCCGTTTACCAAGCTTAACTGCTCAAGGTTAATATTTACCGAAAAAGGATTTCCCAAGACTCCCACTTAAAGTTTATTACTTGTACTCACATTTCCTTTTTTACATTATTTTCTGAAATTTGGACTCACATTAACCTACCTACTTCCCCTCCCTCCTAAATCCTTGCGTGTCAACTCAATGTGAGCCTTGAGCTGGGATGGAATATGTGCTAGTGATGATATTGCTCACATGGCACAAGTAAACAACATTGACTCTTGTAAAAATATTATTTAGGGTCTATTATTCTATCACATGGTTAAGTAGGCATGGCTGTATGGATATTATCCTGATACGAGTCTATCTCTGCTCTGGCAGGTATACTTGGGGTCTTGGCAACATGGGTCAACTAGGGCATTGCTACCTGCAATCAGAAGATAAGGAATTAATACCCAGAAGAGTGGTTGCTCTTGATGGGATTCATATTACAAGTGTTGCATGTGGAGGTGTCCATACATGTGCAGTGACTGCAAAAGGAGCTCTCTATGCGTGGGGTGGTGGGCAAGTTGGTCAGCTTGGCCTCGGTCCACAAACTAGTTCAGCATCTTTTGTTTTCAAGGATTCTCTATTGATGCTTCGGAATATCCTGGCTTTGGTTATCCCAAGTGGTGTGCAGCTTGTTGCTTGTGGCCACTCTCACACACTTATCTCTACCTCAGATGGGAGAATTCATGGATGGGGTTATAATAGCTATGGTCAGGCATCAAATGAGAAGTCTACATATGCGTGGTATCCCTCACCGGTTGATTGGTAAGAACCTACATTGATGCAATCTGGTGTGCGCAAAGTTTGTTATTTGACTGTATATGACTACAACTATAAACAACCACTATTTGTAGGTGTGTTGGAGAAGTTAGAAAGCTTGCCGCTGGTGGTGGTCACTCAGCTGTGTTGACCAATGCTTGTTCGTTGAAAGATTTATGTGAATTCAGGCTTGCTGAAAGTGTTACTCTGGCAAATGCTGCTCACATTGAGGATGTTGCATTCAGAACCAGCTCTGATGCTTTAGTACGCCTTTGTGGAAGATTGAGGTAATTTTCCTGCTCAGAATTTCTCAGGCTACTATTTTGAAGCTTGTATTTTATCTGAGACATTTTATGTTTCATTTACAAAAATCTCCATTAGACACCACCATAATTTTTCATACTTTGTGGCCTTACTTTCACCAACATAGGAGTTTGAAATATGCTTAATGCTTTCAGTGTTTAAAGTTATTGGTTTGAACTAGTTGTTGGCCCGCGCGCAACGCGCGCGGTCCCCCAACGGTGATTTTGCTTTGGTGATTAGTGTCTAATTAGCCGCTGTTTATCCTTTAATGTAATTCGCCGTAATTTGATTGTTGGTGGTGCTGTTTTATTAGATTATTTAACACAGATTATCATCGTATAGATGGAGCAGAATCAACGTTTTGCTAATATTGTATTAGAGTTTCGTTTGTTATATTTGTTAATATTGTATTATTGGAGAGTTTATCTTGTTTAGGAGTTCTAGGCAAGTTAGGTATTACAATATTCTTTAGTTTAACACTTACCATGCATTTCTATTGGAAATAACAAGAGTTATACAAACTTTATACATATTTTGCACTTTCTTGATACTCTATTTTTCATGACTTTAAGTATGAGTACGGTTTTATGAAAGAGGTAGTGAGTATGACTACATCGATATTTACAAAGCTTCAAGTTGGTCTTATGTATAAATAATATAAGCATCCTTTTTTTAAATTTTTTACTTATATATATATAATAAATAAAAGCATCTCTTTTTATGTAATTGGATATAATTTAATACAGTGATGTCTATCATACTTTAGTTCCATATCATTGAATATTAGTTGTGCACAAATAAGAAAATCTCGAATTCCTTTGTCATGGAATAAAATGCGATGTGGTTTATAATGACTTGAGTCATAATAAAGCATCTTAAAGTTCGATGAGAATTATCTAATTTTATGCGTTTTCATGTTAATTTGATCCAACTGTTTAAATAGTTACAATATCATAAATAATACATTAATAATAATGGTCACTTGCTCATGCTTTAAGGAATAATTAAAAAGAAATCAAACTTAAACAAATACATACCTACTGACGTATGCAAAGCATTACTTTAACTTTATTACAATTAATTAATTAATTAATTAATTAGTTAATTAATTAATATACTTTGCATTTGACAATACCTTAAAAAAGGACAATTTTTGGATTAAGGTTCAATCCTAGTATAGGCTATACACAAGTGTCTAGTCTAAATGGGTTAGGTCTGGTATACTCTATGGGCCGTAGGCTCATGGGCTCATTGTATTGATCATCTATGAATTGCAAACTAGTGATCGAAATTAAAACCAAAAATAAAAAATCAGAATCAATACTATCTTTACCTCATTTAGTTGTCACTTTAATGTACATATAGTAGTTGAAAAATGTATGATAATTTAATTTTATTGGTGAATGTATCTACCTTGGTTATTTTTTGTAATAGTAGATCCTTTCGAATTTTTCTAGTGAGTAATTGCTTCAAATATTTCGTTTATTGGTGGAATGATCCATAAAAATAGTTTCATATTTATTATGATTTTGAACAATATTAAAAAATAATTTAAAAGTATATTAAATTACATTTATTAAGTAATAGTAATTATATTACATGGTAATATCGTGACTTTACACTATATACTTTAAGATACAATTTTTTCTAATGATATGTAAAACTTTTTTCGCTATTAGCCATCTAACGTGTAAAATTCTCCAATATGAAGTTGGTCAGTTGGTGTTGATCTTCTATTATGGAGTTTTCTATATCTACAGTTGTAATATTTAGTTAATTTGTATTATATGTATTAATGGTTTTTTTAGAAAAGTCTTGTTTACGTGAATGTTAGCTAATTAATGTGATCTTTTGAAAGCTTACTGCTCTCAATATTGTGTTAGTTATTTGATCATAATTCAAGCAGCTTTAAACAAACATCATAGTAATAAATTTCACCAAAAGCAATGTAATAAATTTCACGAAAAGCAATATACATAAACTAATATATTTTTTATAGATATATTTTAACATGCACATTAATTTAGCAGTACATTAGAATATAGTCCTAGTATGGTGTTTTCCAGGAACATTAACTATTGCTATTGTTCCTGGAAAACTCCTCAAAAGATTTCTCTCCACAGCATCTAATTCCTATATACATGAAATTCTGGAGATAAACTGAAGTTTAGTACTACACGATGCTGGAGCTTTTATAAAATTTTTCGGCAACTATCTATTGTCCTTATCATAATATGCTGATCTACTGTCCCAGCGAAAGCGAAGTTCTTATAGTTGCCCATATACTTAAAGTCTAGCAAAAGATTTAATATGCAAAAGATTTTCATGTAGTGCACCTTAAGTAGATAATCTTCAATACTTCATTAGCAGCATATATAGTTTCTTAGTAGTTCAGGGACTACTTTTCCTTGGTGGCAGATTCAACAGATGGCTTGTTAACCTTTTCAGTCTTCACAATAATTGGTGTGGTTTGCCTGTGCTCAGATCCCAGAGGCTCAGCTACATCTTCAACACGATCCTTTGCCAAAGGTATTGTAGGATTTTGACCTGCAGTGTCCTTCTTCGTAGTCATTCCACCAAAGCAAAGTTTCTTTTTCGCCCCGACTTGTGATAGTGGCACTTGGGATTCGCTTTCTTCACTTTCAAATTCCATAGGACTTTTTCCTAAGGATTTCTTGCGCTTAAGTGATTCAATACTTTGCTGAGGGGTGTCAAGTGTTTCAGTGTAAGGCTCTTCTTGTGTATGCTTGTCAGAATTTTTCTTCAAGTTTGGGGTAGGAATGAACGGTTCAGAATTACCTGACTCAATAGTGTTTTCTGGAACCTTTTCACTTGCATCTTTTTCTTGGCTGAAGTAACCAGCAGATAGTTGCTCAGCTTCTTGGGTGTGAGGATTTTCTTTAAGCTCAATAGCTCTGAGTGTCCACTCCAGAACATTGTTCTGACCCAAGTGCCAAGTAGGTCCAACTTTAATATAGAACGGTGTGCTGCTGAGTAAGTCTTGAATGGTCTTGAATGCGTTGTGATCATCCTGCGTTGATTTTGTTATAACAGCAAGCATTAGAATTAACTGAAAGAGCACGTGTAGAATCGTTACTCATATAAAATAAAAATGTAATCTGTATAAGCACTGATTTCATGTAAGTAGATTGCTTTATTGGTCTTACATAATGAATTATGTAGAGAAGATTTCAAGTGTTAAATTTAACTTGATTAATCCTAAGTCTAAGCATATTGTTGCCTATAACTCTAATTTTCTGAATGCAAAGTTTTTTTAGTACTCTTTGTAAGGTTAAACTGCACATATAGGCTGAAAATTTTCTGAATGCAAAGTTTTTTTAGCATTCTTTGTAAGGTTAAACTGCACATATAAGCTGGAAAGTAAATAGAAGGTAAGAATATCGTAAATTAATTTACCGATTCTTTAATGGCATAAATTTCAGCTGCAGTTTTCCTGAATAATCTTTCTGTATCATCGTTGAAAGTGGTGAATGCCATAGTTCCTGTGGTGTCGCTAGCTTCAAATTTGAACGTAATTCTGGTACAAATGTAAAGTAAGCATTGTCATCTAGAATATTAATAAATAGTAATGGATATAAAAGGAATACCTCTATGCATTCTTTGTTCAAACAAGAAGAGCAAGAATAGCGCTTCTGCAATGGAAGGTTGGTGCGCTTGCAGCAGTTTGAGCAGCCCGTATATGCATTCACTTTTTCTAATTCAGCATCCTGAATAGTCACTTCAATCCATAAAGTTTCTTCTTGCAAGGTGTTACTTGGCTACATGTACATTATATTTATGAATATCAGTTAGAATCTGTATACTTGATTATAGTTTAGCATGAACGTCTGAAAACAGGCAGTAATTCCTTAATGTTTACCTTTTTCTGCTTTAGTTCAGCAATGGAAACAATTTTTTTTGTTTTCACTTGGGTACCTTACATCTAAGACTCTTGCTTGTCTATCTACTAACCTCTGGTGGAAGAGATTAGCCCTGACACAATGTTAGTTAAAGAGTAGATCAGCACATTGTAAAGGCTATTATTTTTGTTAGTTTAGGTTTAGGAAATTACCAATCAGACACCACACGAGCTTGTTCTCCCTCAGGTTCATATATTATTCGAGTGGACATAGGAGAATTCATCGAAAAACCTAATATAACCAAGATGGGATTATTGATTCATCGCAATTAACCATTTACGTAAGTTATAGTAATATCTGTCTTACCACGACGAGTGTATGGTTTATGAGTCGTGAATCCTATAACCTTGAACGCTTCTGCCCAAGTAGGTAATTTGTCGAAGTACTTTCCTGCCGTAAGGTCATTCCACATTGAGATGGTTGAGTGATCGATCGCAGCTGTTACATGAAATGCATATTCTTAGTGATCTTAATTTGTAATTTGTACCAAATTATATATCTGGCATATCCGAACATTTAGTTCTTTGAAAATGAACCTTTGATCAGTGATGACTATTTCTCGCACCCAGCTTTCTCTCTTTCCATCTCTGGCTTCAACTTATCTCGGCTGTGCATAAAGAGTTTATGAATTTGCTTCACAAAAAATAAAATCCATTATTATAAGTCATGTACTTTACCTAGAAGAATTATGATTTGATATCAAATCACTTATTCGCTTTGATTTCCGCCCTCTACTTGATGGTCTCTTAAAGTTAACAGGTGCATCAGCTATCATATACATATTAAAAGCAATAACTCAGCATTTTAAACATTAAACAAACATCGTAAATGAGTATAGCAATGAGCATATATAAAAAAATCCTTCCTAAATATCATGTCAATTTTCAGACATACCCATATTACTTTGGTGCAGATCAAGCTATCTCAACAATGCGCACAGGATATGATGATTCCTGTTTATGTCATTTACAGTAAAAAGAAAACATATTAAATTCTCCGAAGCTGCAGTTCAGAAGATGTTTTTTGGTCTGTAAAATGAGAGGCTCTGCAAATTAAATCCACAAAAATTCTATCAACTTGATACATTAACCTGCACATTTCTCTCAATGATTCTAAGTAGATGTTTACCTGTTCAATATTTGTTCTGCTTAAAATTCTGTGAATTTGACACTTATCTCAGGTTCTAATTGCTGTACAGTAATTCTTGAATTTGACACTGATCTCAGGTTCTAATTGCAATACCCCCCTATTTTCAATGCCACAAAACAAAACAAAATGAATTCTACTAATCCACTACATTGCTTTGTATCTTATTAATGGTATCTGCATATCACTAACAATATTTGCATCAATTTCCTTTTAATTAATATATTCTCTCTATCTCTCCTACATTACATGAGCCCTCTTTATTTTTTCTCTCTATCTCTCTGTACTCCAAAAATTGCCTAGTAGTCCTTCATTTTTAAAGTGATGCATCTAAAAATAACGGAGGAAGTTTAACCAATTTATTTACTCTATGGATGTTCAAAGGTTCTCTTCATCTACTCTAGAAAATCCCTCTTCAATCCCCAAAACAAAAGATGCTAAATGCAAATATATGCTAGGTTAGCAAAGAAGTCATATGAACCAATAATTAGACTCATTACACTTACAAATTATCCAGTATGTAATTAAACAGATAAAAAGATGACAAGGTAAAACAAAAGCTAATAATTCACCAATTTATCAGAATGCCGTATTTATGATGTAATAGACAAGGACCCACTTATTGAATTACCACCAGATTTCCAATTAGTCCGCCAGCAATCTCATAAAATTTGGCATCTGAAAACCCAACCGCAAGAGCAAGTTGCGCCAATTCCTTTCCTACATTAACAAAACTTTATGGACTGAATGAACTATCTGACATTTTAAAACTTTCAGATTATAATCTAGTCAATCCTTATTTCTTCATTCTTAACAAACACAAAAAACAATAATAGAAGCATTACACAAAAACAAAAACCTTATACGACAACTTCAGATAGATTTTAAAACTATAGAGGATGCCTACATGACAAATGTCTGGTGCATAAACTCAGGCTATTAGGCAAATGTAATGTGCTGAACATACATAACATCAAACACAAAAGAGTATTATTAAATTAAGAAGCCATGCAATAAACAGTAAAATTATAAAATATTCTTGCACCAACATGCAACCAAAAGTGCATCCATTAATTACTCAAAATACACATTACATTAGATTTCAGTTACAGCATACAAGTCTATTTTCTAATGAAATATTTCAACAATCACTACTCTTAGACTTAAGTTTTAAAACAAAAGGAAAGATAGAAATCTAGATAATATAAGGCATATGTGAATACTAAACCTAAACACCTTTAATCAGGCAAACATCTTGCTACCCAAAATACTAAACTAAGATTCCAAATAACCTAAGCAAACTTTGTGCGCTTCCAAACAGTCTCTAGTTCAGGTATGCCAGAAACTAAAGGCTCGGAAACTCTAATGGTAGAAGAAGATGCAGCATCTAATGGCGTAGCAGAGCGTCTTTTCATTGGAGCTGGTGGAGGCACACCAACCTTAGGTATCCGAAACCTTTCAGAAGTAGGAGTCAAGCATTCATCACCAGCAAAGTTTTCTTCTCTGGCAGCCAAGTGTTCCTTTAACTGGTAAAACCTACTCTTAAAAGCATTACAAGCAACACTCTTCTCCAAAGCTGCACCATAATTAGCATCAATGATCTCTAAGCTATACTTAGTCACCAGGTAATGAATAGCTCTTTTAGCAGCCTTTTGCTTTGCACCAGTTACCTCAGGACAAGGATCACTATATATGCATTCCATTTCAGCTCCATTATGTGGGCAAGACACTGTTAGCCAAGACACAAAACCCAAATCTTCAACCCAAATAGTCTCTAATGGACTCACCTCTGCTCCAGTCCTTGTAACAACAGCTCCTAAAAAGCTCACAAAATCAATTGTCACATGGATAACTTCATTAGATGGTTTTTTTCCCAAATTCTTTTGAGCAGTAGGCATCTCTATTCCTTTCTCACGACATAACTCAACAACCTTATGCTTAAAAAGCTTATTGCATAGCTGATACATCCTTGCTCTATCGGATGTAAAATCACTCACCTGCACCCCAAACTGGCTCATCAATTTTTGCACAGCTTTTTGAGCAACCCTTTCTTGCGACTCCTGAACTGTATTAGCCTCCCCACCGAAAAATACAAATTCAGACTTGCCACAGTTAGTTCTAATACGAACGCAGGCATTGTTCCTATCCTTATCTATAAAACCATAAATTGGTTTAGGAAAATTTAAACAGTCAACCAATTGACCTAAAAGAGGTCGAAATGGAATGGCAATTTTGCTTGACTGAATAGCCATAACCTGTAACCGGAAAAAATTAAAATTAAAGAAACATACAGATCCACTAAATCAAAACTACAATCAAATTACAGCCAAAGTCAACATATCTAAGAAAACTAAGTGACCTTGTAAAATCTTAATTTAAAAGATCTCAACAAACTTACCAACAATAGCAGCAAGCAATTTTAACAACACCGCTCCAACTGCACAGACCTACAATAATTATGTTTTTTTTTTCAAAAAAAAATTAAAAAGAAAAAGGAGAGAACAGAAAACACAGAAAATAAGCTACCTAACCAAATTCAAGGTTCCAGAAATCTATATTAACTTTAAATAACTCGTTTTAGATTATTAGTATGAAGTTCATAATTGTAAAGTAAGTAATTGTAGTTCAATGTATGTCCAGGTGATCATGTAGCGTAAAAGTTCAAAATTCATTAAGTCATTATCCAATGTTGTCTGTATAATTGAGATCCATGTGGAATTTCAGCAATCACATTACATTTTTATGAGATAATTACAAGCTAAACAATTACCCCAGCAAAGTTTCACAAACCAACCTTTTTTATAAGAGTTAATAGATAGATTAAATTCTCAATAATGATATTCACATATGCAGAGTACATGTTAGGATGTTCGGAAAAAGGGTGTTACTTTTTCTTTGAAAGTTTGAGTTTATGATTGAATTTTCTTATACGTCACTGCTTAATTAAGTGACAAGGAGAGGATAGGCAACTGAATTATCGTCTGAGAAGCATAATGTTGACATCATTTTTGTGTGACCAGGGAGCTGCAATGTGCTGGTGGATGGGAATCGGACGATGATGGGTCTGGTCTGGTCTGGTCTGGTCTGATGAGACCTTGACGAAGCATTTGTTGCAAGAACCTGGCTTCCTTAGCATTTTAATATTTTATTGACTTGGGGAGATTGCTATTGTCTGACAGCTGCCGTCGCTATTAGGAATGTTTCAGCTGTTGTATCTCTATTCATTCCCCTGTAGGTTTTATTATCTGTAAACCTGAAAATAATGAACTGTTGTATTCGTCTGCATTCAACAATTGTAATATCCTTACCCTCATACTTATTGATTCTGAATATTAATGTAATCTGCTCCAAGTGCTTAGTGTATGAATTGAATAATCAGGTCAATGAAATTATGTTTTCCAACAAGAGCAGATTTAATAGAGGTTATTTTGCTAACAATCTTGTAATTTAATCATATTTTTCCATAAAACCAAGTATGTGTCCATTTGCAAGAAAATTGAAAAGTTAAGTTAGGTCAGAAACTTTATACTCCTATTACACTGAGTACTTCGTAATTTTTTCTTTTAATTTTTTTATGAAAAGGTTTATTGTAAAATCCAAGTGATTTAAACTATTTACAGCTACTAGGAATGTAAAATTGTGTTAATAGGAGCGGAGCTGAATCGAAGTGAACTGAACTGATTGGAGCTGAACTGGATGGAACTTAAATTAAGTAAATGTGAACAGGCCCTAAATATTTCAAACAAGTATTCTTGAGACTTAAAATGGCTGGTCATTAACCTTAAACCATATCAAGGTTGCATCTGAAATGGCTGCAGTGCATTGATGAAGTAAAGTTGAAGGTAAATCTTATACATCAGCTCATTGCCTATGCATTCAAGGATTAGCTCCTCATACAGGTCAAACCCGAGTACTAGTTGAGGTCTGTCCATTTAGTTTATACTTAAATCATGGTTTATTTGATTATGCGTATTTATATCATTTTTCGTAAAAATAATAGTGTAGCTCACTTACTAGCAAGAAGGTGGTGCATGCTTAGCATAGGTGATGAATTATGCCAATTTTATTGTGGCTAATCAACTTATGATTAGCAACTTATTCCCATTAAATTCATGATTACATACATCTAATTAAAGAGAATTCAGGCTAAAATTAATGAATGAAGCCTAAGTACTCTCAACATAACCCGATTTATGTATAAACAAATAATGTGAAAAAAAAGAAGAGATTTACTACTATTCAGGCTTGAAGATAATGTGAAAAATCTTGAAGTTAAATTCTCCTGCAATGCAAGGTGGAACCTTTGTACACCAGAGATACATACATTCGAATAAACCAGATTACATTCATACTAATATACTTACTAGTAGATATTTTACTAAATTACTCGTAATTTACTAGCTAAGCCGTGAAGTTATAATGAGGTACGGTTGTTTGGCAGCAACCAAACACCTTTGATTTTGGTTTTTGCTGTCTAATATTATGATTTACAAATAATTAGTAGAAGCTAGGAAACACACACTTTCAGCATTTTAATCAGAGAGCTGAATCATAGAGCATTGATCGAGATCGAGGGGGATCAACGAATTAATCAAACTTGTTATTAACCAACATGACTAAACATCCATGCCGGGATGTTAGTGTTTGTTCTGGCTGGAATTTCGGCTTCCGGGTTCGCTTGCTCCTCTAATTCTCTCATCTCCTGATAAGCACCTCTGTATGATACATGGAAAAAAAAAAACATGATTAGATATATTAATCTCTTAAGTTTATTTTAATAATTTTATGTTCCACTTCCATTTTCAAAATACTAGTACTCAATTAATAATCTTGAAACCACCCAATTCAAAACATAAATAAATTACTAAACTATGGACATTATCATATGACCTAACAAAATGGCCTTTTCAAGTACTTAATCAAGTAGGAAGTGAATTGTTAGTTAATTAAAAAAAAAAAAAAAAAAAAAACCCTTTTTTATATTCGTAGATTAATGCTCTAACTTTTCAAGATAGATAGTAAACTTAAGAGTCCAAAAATATGATAGATCTAAAATGGTTGTTACATCATTTGAGTGTTAAGATAAGGTGAAAATGCATCTTAAAACTCTTTATAAGTAACTCAATGATATGGTTCGTTGTTACATCATTTGAGTGTTAATTAAGATCTTTCGCGTATGCTAAGAGAAGAGTTGCTTACCCAATGGTGAGAGCAGGAAATGAAAATGGATTAGATGTTGGTAACATGAAGAGTTGGCTAGGGTTTTGATCGTCTTTTTGTGGTTCCTCAACCTTCTTGTCATTCTCCTTCATCTATTTCATATTGCAATGTATATATATAAGATAAATACAAGTGCAATATAAATTATCACATGCTAAAAGAAAATCAAAGATGAAATTTTATGTATAAGAAAAAAAAAATACCAGTTTAGATAATTGGTTATTTTGCTCCTGCATTGCCTTTTCCTGCCAAAAGTTTAAACTAAGCTAGTTAGTGAACTGAAAGATTTGATATTCTTAAACAAAGAAAAAAAAATATACAAATTGAAAGGTGTCGCATACTTTTTTGTGGAGCTGAGAAATGGATTCATGCATCAGTTGATTCTGCAATTTAAGACAAGAAAGTATAATTAGATATAAAGTAGCAAGTTATACATGTTTTACAAGATGAAAGGTGCAATAGTTGAGTTGAAAATAACTGTTAATAAAATGTTCGGATTTAGTTGTCATACTACTAGTTCGATAAAATTTCACTATTGCTAAAGGTAATGTGTATGTATGTAACTATATATATACCTTCTTGCTTCTGATTCTCTTAAGAGCTATGTCAAGTTGTTGCTCCAGATGTTGGAGCTCCCTCAGGCTCAATGCATCAGTATCTTCTCCTACATAATGCCTGAAATGTGCACCAATTATAAATTATTGAATAACATTGTATTTAGTCCTTAATATTAATAAATTTTCAATTCTGTGTAATTCCATAGCTATCTAATTCTTTGTAAATTGTTTGTGTTAAGCTGTAGTAATAATTAAAAAAAAATGTTAACAAAAGACAATCTCTTTTAAACTAAGGGAGTAATGGATCAAACTAAACTAGCTCCGAGAGTCTAATTTGTAATAAATCTATTTCAAGTCAAATTTCTAATTAGTGAAAACAATTAAGCAAGTCTAGTTAGGGTTCTTCATTCTAGCTAGGCCTTTATATGACTTTTTTTTAACAAAAAATATAAATAAAAAATATGTTATAAGATGAAGCAAGTATAATGGTCTAATATTTCTTAAAGTACCAACAACCAGTGGTAAAATGGTGTTAGAATCAGAAGTCTGTAAATCAAAAAGACGCTTAATGTAGCTTATTAGTACAACTAATCAGTTCCAGAGTCGATATAGAGCAGATAGATTGATAACATTCATATTCAATAGCTAATAAAGTATACTTATGTATGTAGTTATATTACTTATATGTAGAGGAAGAGATGTCAAATATTTATGCTAAATGAAGCATTACAGGTTATAACACAAAGGGAAAATTATATGATTGCAACTTGTTTTAATTAATCAACAAATTATATGTACACCAGTGTAAGCTATCATTTTCTACTCTCATAAAATTGCTAATGCAGGATAAAAACGAGGGAGATTTGTATTCATTACCTCATGTTCCTTTGTAAGACTTCGAGTCTAGCAACGAGCTTTGGATATTCCATAGCCCAGCTTCCCTAATTAGGAGTCAATGAACACCCAGAGATAATCAATTAAAAAAAGGTCAGATATTTCATTCAGCTAAAATAATAACATCATCTATTCAATTATAACATCATCTATTCAATTATATAAAGTTCTGGAATTAAACATGAAATATATATTCATTATAGCTTATTAATACCAGCATTTGTACTATGTCAAGGCAGTTTATGTCAGCTTAATTAGGTTGGCTGCTTAAGCAATAAGCATCCAAGGGAGTAAAAGTTTTGAGATGTTTTATTTCTTATGTTTTACACTACTAAGGTGTAGGTCATCTTACTCAAATTTTGGCTCATATTAGACTTTAGACAGGTGGTCAGATTCATTGTCACCCCTGTTACCCCTCTTCTCTATACGCGTGTTGAGAATACTGAGTATCGATCCTAGGACAAAGATCCTAGTGCTAACCCAACATAACCTCTCAATCAATTCACTTAGAATTCATGTTTTGCCCATTTTATATGAACTATGAAATTGATAGAAATTTTTCTTAGAAAGAATCTACTGCATGTTTTACACTTTTACATGTATACTTTGAGTACACATATTACCTACACATAATGAATTAATCAAAATAATTCTGTTACATTATATAGTACATAAGGCTTATATATTCAACCAATTGTATGAGTAATGAGTAATGAATATCAAATGTTGAAAGGTCATTTCATAGAAGGTAAATGTAACCCTTCAATATATTGTAAAGTCACATAATTAGGAATGATTAAGGTATAAAACATGTAATTAAGAGTTAACAAGAACATCGTCGTACTAATCCAGTATAATATACCTCTTGTTGGGACTCTGAATCAGTAGCAACAAGCTGTCTCTCTGCATAACAGTACCTCTCATACCTTTCCAGGATTCTTTCCATGCTGCTGCCAAAAACAGTAAGGTCTTTGTAAAATTATAATTATTATACAATTATATCAAGGAATAAATATAAAATGCTTAATATAACATGAAATATATTTACTACTATATAGTATATTGTTAGATTATGCTATGGTTTCCATGATTAAAAAGCTTTTATAATCTTTAGTGAATGTAACACTAACTAAACTCCGGATATATGTCTGTTTATAGTACATAGTGGCCCCTTAATGCTAATATTATTTCTGTTTTACACTGATTAGTGCTTACTTAAGCACACTTATAAAGTTCATCATCATTGGGACCCAAAAAAACCCTATAATTAGAAATTGATCAATCAAACCTACCTCCGCTTTTTCCAATGATCTTTAATTTCATGCTTGTAACTTTGAAAAGATAAAGAGAAAAAATAAATCTATTTCATTATAGTTGCAATAAACCAATAACATTCTAAACATAGATGGTCTTCAATTTATCTGTCAAGACTTTGACCAATGAATGAAGCTAGTTGACATTCATAGAGATATATAACTTATTGTACATAATTGATTTGTAGTATGACCGTCATAGTTATGAAACAATAAGTTTGCGTATAATTTTACAAAAGAATATTGTGTGCTCCTTAATGTATTATGTCATTTCCATGTGTGATAATATACGGGAAAAAAAAAAAAAAAACTTAGTACAAATAGAGTTGCATAAAATACAATAACTTAAGTAAAGTGGAGTGTGGACGTTTAGTTGTGTGCAGTAGTCTTGATTATTCATACAATTGCATATATAGAGAGGATTAGTGTTTGATTATTATATATACAAGCTAAGCAACGAAAGGTAGTCTGCTAAACTTGTTTTGAAATACTCGATTTTGGACAAAATGGAAGGAGAGACAATTTAGACTTTGAACTCGGTCTAATTTTCAATTGGTTCATACCAAAGAAAAAAAAAATCAAAAATAAATTTAGAAAAGTTAGATTTTAGGAAATTAAGTTCATATGAGTAAAAATTAATTTAGAACAACGGTATAGGACTTGTCAATTTGAATTGGGGAGACAAAAAATAGTTTAAGGGTATGCAAATCGGTCAGGATTTTATATATCTATATGTATTACGGAGTACTGTAGTAATTTAAGTTGATCGACAAATCAGATTACAATTTTTTTTTGCTTTAAAAGGTATTTGAAAAATCGATTAGCTAAGAGTTCGTTTGGCATCGTTGTGGTTTTCTGTTTTTTGGTTTTTTGGTTTTTAAAAGTATATGATTTATGTCACATAATGAATAAAAAGTTATTTAAACTTATTAAAATGAATATAATTTTAAAAACTGACAACAGAAAAGTGGAAACACCTTTTTCTTGTTTCCTGTTTTTGGTTTTTAGTTTTAAAAAAAATAGAAAACTAAAAACCAAAAATGATGTCAAACAAGCCCTAAGTTGCTGGATTTTTTATTCAGTCTAGTTAAGGAAATGATGCTACAAATTTGAAATTTTTTTCTCTACCAACAATAATGCAACGAATTCCTCACCCTATTTTCACTTGTTCATATTTATTAATATGAAGTTAGTCAAGTTCCAACATACACATAAGATATGGGAAAATAAGTCAAATAAAATAGGATAAGATTTAAGATGCTCAAATGAGTGAAAAAATACTACCCAAGTAGCTAGAAAGTTAAAAGTTTTTTCCTTAACAACAAAAGACAAAAATAAATAAAGTATTGATTCAACTCCAAAACAAATAAGTCTTCCTTAATTCAATTTATGATTGGAGCTTGAGACTGACCATCACTATCAAATTAAGTTATTAAATAAGCTAAGAAAATGACTAAACAAAACTCAAGTTTGTTTTTTAAGAGCCACACAAAATATAAAGGGCTAAAGATTTAGATTAAGCAACAAAATTTTAACCTAGTTCTACAAGTTGTGTACATGAATATAAAAGCCATATTTTGATAAATAATAATATTCAATTGATTTGACTAGCTCTTCGATCAAAATATTTATATATATTAAAATTCAGTCCCCAATGTAGAATTACTCCTAGATGTATTATCTCACTTATAACAATGGCGATCAGCAGCCCTTTTCATGTAACACATGATGATATATATAGAGTGACCCTAACCCTAAGTTTCATCAAAATATAACATCAATTATATGAAATAATAAAATTATTTAAATAAATAAAAGGGAAAAAGTACTAGGTTTTAAAAGGGGTGGCAAAGTTGGGAAGAGCCCCATAAAACCCACACAAAGCTCAAGATCACAAGGCTTAGCCAAAGTTTTGGACACTATTTAGATTAAGTTTGGTCCGTTATCCAAGATTTAACTTAAGAAGCACTACACAATACACTTCGATACATAATATCTGACCACTTAACTAAACTTATTGAACTTTTTATAGTATAATCCGTTACGTTATTAAAAAGTAATGGTGCACTAATATTTGTCGGTTTAAAATACCAATATGGTTTTTTTTTTTTAATTTTAAATTTTTAAATTTGAGACAGTGATTAGTTAAAATTTTACAATCCCTACTTGACAAGCTCAAAACCTTGAAGATTTATTTTAAAGTCAATAGCTTGTCCGTCAAATCTAGACAACTGGATAAAACCGATAGATAATGATCATATCCACTGGATCAAGTAGTACTAGTATTGGAAATTTTATAATTATTTTATTGCACCCAAAAAATAACAATTTTAGTAAAGATATCAGTATTAATGTTGTTATTTAATCAACAAAAAAAGTAAAATTAATAAAATTTCAAAATAATAAGGAATAATTAGTAGTCAAATCCAATGCTTAGCTCCTGCTTAAAATTTAAGCTAACATACATTTGTAGTTTGTTAACATTAGATAACCAAACATCATTAATACTTGATTTTGAATCACTAATTTAATCAACAAAAACAAAACAAAACAATCGTAAATTCGTAGCAAAAGAAGAGATTAATATGAAAATAAGATTTTGAAATGTTGTTCTCGACCAAAATGAGGGGAGAAAAAACAAGAGAGAATGTTAAGGTTCATGTACACAAAAGAGGAGAGAATTGAAGAAAATAGACATAACGAACTTCAAATTGTACATAAAATTGACATCATTCATGTCACATAGAGTTTGTTGATGATATTATATATGGAGTAAATAAATTTAATCAGTTTTTGGGTCCCCGCCCGCCTAACCTGACTAAAAAGAGTAAAAGTATGTACATCTTGACATCTTTAAACTCTGTTCCTAATCAATAAACAGAATTCATACTGGGTATCCGATAATACCATATCAAAAATCTTATATATACCGCATTAGAACACACATACACCACATTGATTTTCAAATAATTTTTTACACATCATATCATTGTTTATAAATTTAAATATAAAAAAATAAAAATCAACGCATGAAATTATAAGAAAATGAAGAAACAAACCTGGAGTCAGTACTAGCATACTCAAAAAGTTTGCCTTTAGTAGAAAAAACAATCAAAGCAACTTCAGCATCACAAAGAACAGAGATCTCATGAGCTTTCTTCAACAACCCAGATCGCCTCTTTGAGAATGTTACTTGTCTACTAATCTTATTTTCGATCCGCTTTAACTCAACTTTACCCCTCCCCATTTTCCCTAATTCGAGATTTATTATTACTTTTTTCAATTTCTCCCGGTTAAATAAGTATATAAGACGACCACCACAAATTAAACTTGGATACACATATTTTGATGTACAAATTTTTATATTTGTCCCAAATTAAAATATATCAAGACTTCCTAGTAAAACCCTTGTTTTTTTAAAAATAAAAATAAAATAGTAGTAAAAACATTTAATTTTTCAATAGACGAGAGAAAATGAAGAAAAAAATGACCAATAAGAGAACATGGTTGGTTTCTATTTATGAATGGAGGGAATGAAGTGGAAGTGAGATTTTATTTGTAGGGGAGAATGAAAATGAAAGGAAGTGTTGGTAAAACTTACTAGAGAAAGGGTATGCTTGTTAAAGATAGTTTCTCAAGAAGAGGGAATTTATGGTAAAAGGGTAGTTTTGGGAAAACTAGGTTGTTTATGCTGTCGCTTTTGTATTGGTTGTTAACAAAATTATGGAGCATATATACAAGATTTACAAGGTACTAGTACTACTCTCTCTTTTAGTTTTTTTTTTTTAGATTTTATTTTGCCAAAATTGTCTATGCTATATTTACTTTTATGAATGTCTTCTATGGAGTACTCACTCTCCTTGTTATGTTCAATTTGCTGTGAATTTATCTGAACTTATATAGTTATATGGAATACTACTTGAGCAGTCGATTTTGAATATGAGCTTTATAAATTAAACCTATTCAAAGTACTTGTGTTGTTATTGGTCGGAATGAACTTGTTAGCTCGTATTTAACGCTGTTAACTCTAATCTTAAAACGGGATAAGATTTTTAAATAGCTTATGTTTTTAAGATGAATAGACAATAGTTTATTATTTTTTTTTTTTTGAAACCCCATAGTTTATTACTTTATTACTTGGTGCTTAAGGTCAAAATGATAATCAAAAGTCACTTTTTTTTTTGTTTTTTTGTTATAACTTTATATCTAAGAGGAGTTCATTACATAAGTTTTTATGTTGTTTTGTCTGTTTGTGGTTAGTGTCAAGGCAGTTATCACATAAATGCATAATTCGTAGTTGTTAATGACTCTCAGTATTGACGATACTAAAAATGAGTCAATGGAAGAAAACATTAAAGTGATGGTCGTGGTGAACTGGCAAATAAAAGAGAGAATGGCTAATTAATCAAATTATGTATGAACTTTGGCAAAATTTACTGTTAATAATCTTGCCGTCTAATTTGACATTAAATTATTTTAATCCCTAAACTTATAAAGATTTTAACAAAAATCTTATAAATAGTGATGTTTATATTCTTAAAAATATTATTTTACATATTTTTCTCCATTTAATTTCAAAAACTATAAATTTGTCTCTTAAATCCCCTAAATTGATTAATTTATTCAATTTATTAGTCTCAACAAGTACTTAAAATGCAATTTCGTCTCAATTTAAACATTTAGATTTCTAAAACTCAATATTTTTATCATTTCCTCGCTAAATCAAAGTAGCTTTACTAAAGTTTCAAACTTTGTACAGGTACACAACATACATAATCAAAGTGCATTGCTTTCACTAGAATTCCTAGCATATCCAAACATTTACTCCGTAGTATTGAAAGAATTGACTTGGGTAACTTGAAAAAAAAAAAAAAAAAAAAAAAAAACCTTGAGTTCCTATTCATAGTCAATATAATTAAATGGCTTAATTATTTGTTAAAAATTTAGTACTGCTTTTATTCTCAAAACTAGTGTTCACACTTCTCCTTGTAATAATTATAACAAGCTCTTTAATGGTACTACGCAGTACTTTGCAATAATTCACTTCTTCAGTTCTTCCTATGAGAAATGTATTTACGTATTTGCAATAATGGAACTTGTGCCTATTATTTTAGCCAATAAAAACATGTCAAATTAGATTTGTATGTAGGGACCACATACAACAATTGTATGTGTAGCCTATGCCGTAGCGGTATCTTGTGAAAACACACTATTGAGTATTAAGGTAGGTTGTTGTAATTATTGTAAGTTTTATCATGAACTCATTGGATAGTATGTAACAACTTAGTTGAGGAGCTATTACTCTTGTGTTTAATAACCACTCCATTTAATGAGTGATCTCAATTTTTCTATGATTTCCTCTCCTTTAAATTAACTATCACTTTCACTTTCATTTTATGTAGAGGCAGGACTACAAATGCTAACACTGAAAATGATTCGGTGCATTTTTATTATATTGGGCCCTAATCATTTCTTTAAGGAAAAATATTTTACTTAATTATAATTTTTATGATAAAATTGAAGATTCGATAATTAATTAACAAGTTTTCTCTTTACTTTGTATAAGTAAATTTAAAAAATGGGGCCCTCTTATAGTAGTTTCACTTAGGGGCTCTATTCAACCGACCACCCCACACATGCTCAAAACCACCCCTATTTTTATGCGGTAATAAATTACTTCCTCTTTTTTTAGGTATAATGTACACAATAATAGTTTGGCTTTTATATACTGTATAATTTTGTACATAACATTCTCACTTTAATCAAAAATTTATACAATTAAATAAATTTTACAAAGTAATAATAAGGTTTATGTAGTTAATTTAATATAAGTAAAAATCAAGTCCATAAGCTATTTTATCATTGGAACATTTTTAATCAAAGTTCCCTTCATAATATAAATTCACTTAACACGAATACAAGATTATACTGGTTTAACATAAACCTGTCCGGTTCTCGATGATAAAACTTCAATACTTCCTAAGTTCTAAAAATATTGCACCACATAGATTTTTATACTTGTCATCGCAGGAGTTTAATCGTTTATATGTTCAACTTTTTAAAAAAATGAAATCATAGTAAAAAATATAACAATGTGGTGCAATATTTGTCATCACAATTAGGCCTATTCACTTCACCTTTAAAAAAAATATATTTGGTAAAATTAATTTTAGGGTTTGTTTAGTTCAGCTTAATTTCAATTCAATTCAATTTAGTTCAGCTCCTAGTTTTCTTCTCTCATAAAATATTCAGTTCAGCTCATAATTTCCTTCTCTCATAAAATATTCAGTTCAGCTCATAATTTCCTTCTCTCATAAAATATTCAGTTCAGCTCATAATTTCCTTCTCTCATAAAATATTCAGTTCAGTTTAGTTCAGCTCCTAATTTCCTTCTCTCATAAAATATTCAGTTCATTTCAACTCCAATCAGTTCAGTACATTCAATTAAGCTCAATTCAGTAAATGTGAATAGACTCTAAATTCAGTAAAAATAAGGTCAGTTCAGTAAAAAAAAATTCAGTTAAATAACTATAAAAAAAAATATATATGCGTATTTTTTCTGTTTTTATTTTTATAGTTGCAACACTTCTCTTTTTACACTTGTCTATCTATGAATGATTTCAATCATTAATATCTTTAACTACGAATATGTAAAAATTATAAATATTTGATATTAAAGTAGTACTCCCTTCATTTTAATTACTTGCTCCATTTCTACTTTTTGCACTATTGATCATTTGTGATACTTTGAGTAATGTCTGTGATTTATATATAAGAAAAAATATAGTCTTGTAGATACTTATTGAAATTGTTAGAATTTATGCTTATCAAACATTAAAGATATCAATGATCAAAGATTAGCTTGATATACGTGTCTAAGAAAAATGGATCAAGTACTTAAAAACAAATGTAGTATAAATTGAGGCGAATCTAAGATATCACATGACTATTTTTTGCTTAGATATAAATCATCAAATCTACTAAGTAATAAAAGAAAATAGAAAAAGTAGTAAAAAAAAAAAATTGATAAAAATAATTTCAATTCAGTAAAAATAATTTCAATCCTTTAAACATAATAAGAAGTAAACATAGTCTTATTACGGTGTAATATATCGAAAGCAGATTGGTTAATCTTAAAACGAGAGAAGAGAGTGGCTTAGTTGGGATGTGTTGTCGAGAAGTGAATGGGAGTGTACAAAAAATGTGGTTAATATTGACAGCTAATTAAGAAGGTCGTGAGAAATCACTGTTCATTCTTCAATCTTTTCCATCAGATAATAGTACCTCTTCTTCCTTTCTGACCGTTTTCGTTTCGCTTCCTAATTGGACGCTGCTCTTTTTCTATTTCTTTTTCCTTTTTTTTTTTGGCTGTTTCATTTTTACATGCTACTGTAATATTGCATATCACGTACATAACAGTCATCATCATCTTTTTTACCTGTTTTTTACTACGTATGTCAGCCAGATTTATAACATCATTTTTTTATTTTAGTTAATTAACTACGAGTATTTAACATATAAACTTAATGCTTTTTTGGTTGCACTTGTAATTTTGTTTGACATTTGTAGTACATAGTATAATTTATTAGATCCCTTAGACTCTATTCATATTTACTGAACTGAACTGATTATAGATGAACTGAACTGAAATTAAGCTGAAATGAACAGGCCCTTATAACATCATTTTTTTTAATTAACTATGAGTATTTAACATAAACTTAAAGCTTTTTTGGCTGCACTTGTAATCTTGTTTGACATTTGTAGTACGAACTAGAATTTTTTAGATCCCTTATTATTTGGTTAACATAAATAATGTTTACAAAATTGAAGAATTGCAAGTTCTTAAGAATTTTGAGTTTCTACATAAATCATAATTTGCATGAAAGGTAAATTCTCTCATGTCCAAAAAAAAAAAAAAAAAAAAAAAAAAAAAAACATGTATGACAAATTGCAATGAAATTTTCAAGCTTTATCTTGCCTTATGTTGTTACTCCTCACACATTGAATATTTTATATACTTTGTAGTTTGTAATGTATTTTAACAAAAGTATTACTCCGTAATTTAATGATCAAATAAATGCATGATAAATTGTCCAAAAAGTGAAAAATACAATATTTAATTTCATTTAAAAGTAAAAACAATTCATTAATAAATTGTCATACAACATTTACAAAAGGAATATGAATTATACAAAATACATTAATCAATTTGATTGATAATGGATTATCTTCAAAACTACAACTGCAATCATCGAAAATATCTTGTACTCCGTACTGTAGGACATATTTTTACTCTTATACACATATCACTGAACGACTTATTATATGATTAAAACAAGTAGCAAAAACGACTTATATTTTAAATTAAAGGAGGACGATACATCAACGTTTAGACTTTTGATCCTTATACATCTTTCCAACATAAATTCTAATCAATAATGGAACACACATGGAAAAAGAAAATTACTACAAACTCTTCTTTTTAAAGGCCTTCAACTTAGACAGCAATATTTACATTTGATTTTCTTTCCCTAATGTTTGTATTAGATTATGTAAATTATTGTGTATTCCCTAAGTGTATATTCTCTAGGTTCACTCCCCTTTCACTCCCCTTTCACCTTTGCATTAATTATTTCTATGTTCACACTCCTTAATCATAGCTTAGTGTCTTGTGTAATCTTTGTATTTATACACTTACCAATAATGGAATACGGGAGGGGATTATTTCCTACATGGTATCAGACTAGGTTTTCTCCCTCTAGCTTCTCTCTCCTCTTCTCTCTCTAACCGTCTCTCTGTTTTCTCTTTTTCACCATGGGTTACTCACCTAAAACTCCAAAAGCTTCCCCCTTCCATCCTGCTTTTACCGTCACCAACATCAAGAGCGTAATTCCAATTGTCCTCCAGATGGACCGTGCTCAGTACATCTCTTGGGTTGAGCTCTTTACAATCAACGCACGATCCCATCAAGTGTTGGAACACATTCTACCTTCCCCTGACAAAACTGACAATTCCTCTTCTCTTTCAAACACTGACCCTGAACTTTGGACTCGCCTCGACGCTCTTGTCCTTCAATGGATATACAACACCATCTCCAATGACCTCCTCAATACCATTCTCAAACCAAAATCCACCGCCGAGGCCGCGTGGGGGCGATTGAAAGATGTCTTCTAGGACAATCAAACGAATCGTGCCGTTCAACTCGAAACCGAATTCTCACAAATCGATTTGAACAATTTTCCTAATATCTCTACTTATTGCCAACACATTAAGATGCTTGCGAATCAACTCGCAAATGTTGGTGCCAAGGTCTCCGAGCATCGCCTCGTCATTACTCTCGTGCGTGGCCTTCCAAAGGCATACGGCAATGTGGCTGCCCTTCTTCAGCAATCCGACCCTCCTGTTCCGTTTCAGAAAGCACGTTCCATGCTCTTATTGGAGGAATCTCGACAGGCGAATCAGGCTACCAATGAAGCAAATGCTTCGGGCTCCGCTCTTCTTGTTGCGGGTAACTCTTCACCCAACCATGAATTTCACTCAACCCCTGCTAATCATGGAAATCGCAATCAACAAAAACAATACAATGGTGGTCGCGGTGGTAGTCGCGGCGGCAACAACAACAAAGGCCGCAACAATGGTGGCCGGAATAACAAGGGCCGCGGCGGCCGTGGCTCCGGGCAACAGCCGCAACGCCAACAACCACCGCAATGGAATGACACCCAAGGGTGGCAATTCCCACCTTGGGCTGCCTGGGGTCCTACTCCATGGGCCGTCCCCCCATGCCCATACCCAACTTCTCAATGGGCCCGACCTCCTGCTGGGCCAAGGATTCACCAACTAGGCATCTTAGGCCCAAGACCACAGCAACACCAACAATCTGCCTTCTCTTCTCAAACTCCCTCATCAGTCGGGTATGCTCCTACGGATGTCGAAGCGGCTCTTCACACTCTCTCTTTGACTCCTCCCGATGAGAATTGGTACATGGACACCGGAGCTACATCTCACATGACTTCTCAACAAGGTACTCTCTCGTCTTATTTTAATTTGAGCAATAATCGAAATATTATAGTTGGTAATGGTAGTGGCATTCCTATTCGTGGTTTTGGGCAAACTTCCCTCCCTCCCTTTACCTTAAAAAATGTTCTCCATGCCCCTAATCTCATAAAAAATCTTATCTCTGTCCGAAAATTCACTTGTGACAATTTAGTTTCAATTGAGTTTGATCTGTTTGGTTTTTCTGTGAAGGACCTTGATGAGTGACATTTATGTCACTCTTAGGGGTAGTATTTAGGTCTTTTTCCTCTTATTTTTCTTAGGTTTTTCCACCTCATTATCCTCTTATGGCTTCTTTTTGTGTCGATGAAAATTAATGCTTATTTTGATAATCTTTATGCATTATTTTATCATCCCCATGCTCTCGTGAACTTTGGTATCTTCTGCAGGTTCCGTGACAGTCCTATGCACGGTGGGAGGCCCCTTGGCCAAGCATGGAAGCCATGGACAAAGGAAAGAGGGGCAAAAGGGAAGGAGAGGAAGCAAGAAAAGGAAGTGCAAGAGGAGGTGTGGCCGAACCTCTGAAAGGTCCGGTCGAACCTTGGTGTGGTCAAACTTTTCAAAAGTTCGACCGAACCTCCAGGGTGCAGTGAAGGCAGTGTCAAACCTGTTTTCAGCAATTTTGCAGGAGAGGTCGAACCTCAAAAGTTCGACCAAACAAGGATCAGGGAGGTTCGACCGAACCTACACATGGTTCGACCGAACCTACCCTGAGTCCGACCGAACTTACCCATAGTTCGGTCGGACCTTTTCCCGATCTCAGCCGATTTTGTACGGACTATTTAAGGTCCTTTTGAGGTCGTTTAAAAGAAGACGGGAGAAGCAGGACAGTAGCCTAGTTTTCAGAAACCTCCCTTAGTTTGGAACATTCCTTAGGATTAATTTAGCTTAGTTTTCATCAAATCAAATCATTGTATTAGTGAAATTCAAGAATTATTCTCAAAGTTGGGCAATTTGTATTCAACATTTGAAGCTTCAATTAGTAATTTCTCCAACCTTCTTCCTTTTAATTTCAGATTTCATTTGGTATTTGCATGTTATTTAAATCTTCTTAGTTCTTGGTAATTTGTTATTGGATGATAGTTATTTCAATTGTTAACCACTTTTCCCCAATTATTGAAGTATTTAGAACCCTAATTCTTGATTGCATGTTGATAAACATGAGTTGTGAGTAGTTTTCTTGCTAGGGGTTGGGTGAAGCTCGACCTTTTTGGGTTAACTATGCAAATGTGGGAGAAGCATTGATGTTTGTATTGCAATTAAATTGATTATATGAGATTGCTTGTTAGTTCCTCATGATAGGTTTAGCTACCCTTGACTAAGGAGCTTGATAGTATGATATGCCTAATTTGACATGGAAGTGTAAATTGAGTACGTCATTACTTATTGTAATTTGATTATGTATCATCTATTGCTAAACTAATGAGGAATCTAAGTTTAGTAGTGTGAGTTGTTTTCTAATTGCATGAGGTTGATTTTACATATAGTCCTTGCTATATCTTGTCTATTTTACTCCCCGTTTGCCTATTTGCCTTGGTTGAGCGGATCTCATTCCCTAGTATCTTTAATTCATTGATTTAGCACCATAGTTTGTTTGTCTTCTTGACGAACCCCTATTCACCAATTGACTTCGAGCTAGCTTAAGTGTAAAGATCTTTGGCAATCATATCCTGTTCCTTGTGGACCGAACTCTTACTTGTCATTATGCTTGGTTTGTAAGGTGTTTGTTAATAAATGTGTTTGATTGAGTGTGGAATGTACGACCGTTCGCACGCCCATCAGACCTCCGGACGGGGACCATTCGTATGAGATGTACTAGCTCGGGGGAGCTATATCCTTTCACCTCCACCACTACTCACGCCTCACCACCCACCACCCTTGCCGCCATCTCCTATACTTTGTGGCATGATCGCCTAGGTCACCCCGGCTCTCTTGTTTTGGACTCTCTCAAGAAGAATAATTTTATTCAATGTAATGGGAATTTGAAATCTACTGTTTGTTCTTCTTGTATTTTTGGGAAACATGTCAAACTTCCTTTTTATTCATCCACTACATGTACTACTTTGCCATTTGATATTTTGCATAGTGACATTTGGACTTCCCCGAAACTTAGTAGTGCGGGACATCACTATTATGTGTTATTTTTGGATGATTTCTCTAATTTTCTTTGGACTTTTCCAATTGCTAGAAAGTCTCAAGTTCATTCTCTCTTCCTCCAATTAAACGCTTATGCTAAAAATCAATTTGAGCGTCATATTAAGTGTTTTCAATGTGAATGGTAAAGAATATGATAATGATTCTTTTCGTAATTTTTGTGTCTCTAATGGTATGGTCTTCCGCTTCTCTTGTCCCCACACTTCACCTCAAAACGGCAAAGCCGAAAGAAAGATTCGTACCATCAATAACACAATCCGCACTCTTCTTTCTCACTCTTCCATGCCACCTTCTTTTTGGCATCATGCACTCCAAATGGCCAAGTATCTTCACAACATACTTCCCACAAAACTTCTAGCCTACGACTCACCCACAAATATTCTATTTCAACAAAACCCCTCATACTCTCACTTACGGGTTTTTGGGTGTCTTTGCTACCCTCTCTTTCCCTCTACTACTATCAACAAACTCCAACCTCGTTCCACACCTTGTGTGTTTTTAGGCTATCCTCCTAATCACCGTGGCTATAAGTGTTATGACATGTCCACTCGAAAAATTTTCATCTCCCGTCATGTGATTTTTGATGAAAATCAATTTCCCTTTGCTAAAATTCACTCCCCGTTACCTACTGACTACGACTTCCTCGATGATGGTCTTCTTCCAATTTAGCTCATCAAATTCACACTCAGTCCAGTCCAAACTCCACGGCCCAGACGCCTCCCCCTCCTCTCTCTCCTACGGCCCAAAACACTCCAGCGCAAACTCCTCTCATCTTTGGCTCTCCACACCGCCACACTCCTTCCTCTTCAGTGGGCTCACCATCCCCTAGGCCCACCAGACGCCACTCCAACCCAACTCACTTTGGGTCATTCCCCATCTCTACCCCCATTAGCCCAACTGATCAGGCCCAACCTACACCTCCTCCTCCTACTACAGCCCAATCTCAGTTGGGCCAGCAACCAAGCAAGCCCGTCCCTCCTCCTTTGGCTGTACGGACCAGGGCTTCTCATGGGATATACAAACCCAAAAATATCTTTGATCTTAGTTGTCAAGCTACTCCATCCCCTTTGCCCAAAAATCCAATTGCTGCCCTTTCCGACCCGAATTGGAAAAATGCCATGATGATTGAATTCGATGCTCTAATTAAAACTAAGATGTGGGAGTTGGTGCCCCGTCCTCCAAATGTTAATGTTATTCCTTGCATGTGGCTTTATAAACATAAAAAGGATGCTAATGGTGTTTTTGAGAGGCACAAAGCCCATCTTGTGGTTAATGGCAGGAATCAATAGGTGGGAGTTGATTGCGATGAAACTTTCAGCCCGATGGTCAAACCGGCAACAATTAGAACTGTTCTCAGCATTGCTCTTTCCAAGTCATGATCCATTCATCAAATGGATGTCAAGAATGCCTTCTTCAATGGTGATATTTCTGAAACTGTCTACATGCATCAACCACCGGGCCTACGTGACAAAACTAAACCGGGTCATGTGTGTCTCCTAAAGATGGCTCTCTATGGGCTCAAACAGGCTCCGCGGGCTTGGTATCACCGCTTTGCCTCTTTTGTTGCTACAATTGGCTTCTCTCACAGTAAATCGGAAAATTCTCTCTTCATTTATTCTCATGGCAAGGATTTGGCATACATCCTTTTCTATGTCGACGACATTGTTCTCACCTCCTCTTCCGATGATCTTCGTCTATCTATTATGACTCGCTTGTGCTCCGAATTTTCTATGACTGATCTCGGGCCCTTGAGCTCTTTTCTTGGTATCTCGGTTGTTCGGCATTCGGGTGGTATGTTTTTATCTCAAAAATCCTATGCTACGGATATTCTAGCTCGGGCCAAAATGTCTTCTTGTAAACCTTTAGCAACACCGGTAGACACCAAGGCAAAGTTAAGCTCCACTTCCGGCCCCCCCACCGACGATCCGACACTATATTGAAGCCTTGCCGGAGCTCTTCAATACTTGACTTTCACTCGCCCCGACATCTCTTACGCCGTCCAACAAATTTGCTTGTATATGCACGACCCTAGGAAGGAACACATGGCTTCTATTCGCCGCATTTTACGATACATCCAAGGCACCATATCCTACGGGCCGCACCTGTACAACTCACCCACCACCGGCCTTATTTCTTACTCAGACGCGGACTGGGGTGGCTGCCCAGATACGCGCCGATCCACCTCCGGATTTTGCGTCTATCTTGGGGAAAATTTGATCTCATGGTCCGCAAAACGGCAACCCACTCTCTCAAAGTCAAGTGCCGAGCCGAATACCGTGGTGTTGCAAATGTTGTTGCCGAATCTTGTTGGCTACGCAACCTCCTTCTCGAGCTTCACTGTCCCATCAAGAAAGCCACAATTGTTTATTGTGACAATGTTAGTGCGGTTTATCTCTCGGGCAACCCGGTTCAACACCAACGAACCAAACATATCGAGATGGACATCCATTTTGTGCGTGAAAAGGTTGCTCTTGGTCAAGTTCGTGTTCTTCATGTTCCCTCTCGATATCAAATTGCGGACATCTTCACCAAAGGTCTTCCGCAACTCCTCTTTGAAGACTTTCGAAACAGTCTTAGCGTCCGACCATCTCCCGCTTCGACTGCGGGGGTATATTAGATTATGTAAATTATTGTGTATTCCCTAAGTGTATATTCTCTAGGTTCACTCCCCTTTCACCTTTGCATTAATTATTTCTATGTTCACACTCCTTAATCATAGCTTAGTGTCTTGTGTAATCTTTGTATTTATACACTTACCAATAATGGAATACGGGAGGGGATTATTTCCTACAGTTTGGATTGAGATGTGCTTTTCGAACCTTTTTTTTTAAGAAGGATAATTGTAATAGTAACTAGTAACAGGAAGAATGGTAATACGAATAATAGTCAACCTGTCCATTTCAATTGGAGCTTATCCAATGAAACTAATCAAGTACAATTAAGCGCTTAAGTATGAAAATTACAACCTAGATAGCCATCAAATGGTGATATTTTCACTATTACCATAAGCAAATTGTATTAGATGATGAATTGATGACATAAGACATTTAAAA